TTTAGAGTCGAATGTCCCTCGACTGATTTCTTTCAGTCTTTCTTTCTCTCTCTCTCTCTCTCTCTCTCTTTCTCTATATCTGTCTCTCTCTCTCTTTCTTTCTCTTTCTCTTTCTCTCTGTCTCTCTCTTTCTTTCTCTTTCTCTCTATCTGTCTCTCTCTCTCTAAAATGGTATTAATACCATAAGGTATTTCAAATTCAAGTGAAGTATAAAGAAAGCGATTTAGAGCAGATTAGTAGTCTTGAATACTAAAGGGCTTTCAAATTTTCACCATTGATCAATATTTTGTGAAGGAATTTTCATTTTCAAAATTTGCACTTTGGAATTTTTTATTTTTTTTTTATTTGATTGACGAATAAGTCCCTTGGTTTATAAAGACGTTAAGAATCCCCGAATCAATGACCCACTCAGCTAAATGGCAAAGTAGCGCACGATATATTATAAAAAAAAAATTAATAATAATAATAATAATAATAATAATGAAGCGAATCAATTATGAATTGCGTGTTTTTTCAGTCATTGTCATGATTACACGCTTTATGAATACGAAATCAAATCATTATCAATGAGCCTCCACCGCAACAGTTCTTTCAAACGTTTGTAAAATATGGAAATAATCGGTCCGTTAAGTGATATATCATATATTCTCGTTCATTGTCCAGGGTAAATGAGCGGCAATGCTTTTTCATATCAAACCAAAAAACACAAGGGGGGGTGCGTTGATTTTGTAAAAATGTTCACAACAGACACAATGCAAGGTGTGTGTATAACCTCGATCGATTTAAGCATGTCGCTCTATCCATCTGTGTACAGTCCGTTCCAAATATTCTCTCGATCGCCTTCGAATTTAAGAAAAGGACATGAAAATGCCGCAAGCAGGGTCGAAGGACACACTACAATGGATAAACAAATGGAATCTCCACATTTGTTGCACAACAACAATTAATAGAAATCGGCAATGTCCTCTTTTCGTTTTTTCCTTCTTTCTCTGGTCTTTTTTAGAAAAACGGGTGTAAGTACAAGATATTCGGTTGCAGTCGAATACGATTTTCTTACTTGTTTTAAGCTCAATTTCTTAATTCGTCAGTTTAGACTTTAAAAGTACACCCACGGTCCCAATCAGCCAATGCCTGGATATTGCAAAAATAGTCTCAAATAATATTCTTAATGTCGCTTGTGAACATGAACTATCCACTTGATCTGAAAGTTACTTATAGTGCAGTTCTCGTACATATGAGTTATGAGAAGAGCATTTTTCACGAAACATAAAGAGAAGAGGACAAAAGGATGCTGACAAGACAACTTCTTTTTTAAAGGTCCAATTTTAGGTATCGTCAGAAGAATCGAAGCCGTCGATTGAAGCAAGCAGTAATGAAAAGGAATAAGTCTTATTATCACATCCATATCCGGGGATAATCTCTCATGTTTCCGGGACAGGTTCTGCTATATTTGGTCAACAGTGATTATGGTGTGAAAGAAATAATTTTATCGCTAACTACTTTACCGCTAAACCAAAAAAAAAAAGGGTTTAAACATGTTGTCTTCAGTTTCCATTTGTGGGAGACTTTTTGAGAAGAAGTTTTAACATATTTCTTGAACTATGCGAATATAATGATCAGAATTTGTTATTGTTGTTATTGACAACAAATTTTCACCTTAGTAGTTATAGTAGTTATAGCTGCCGAGAAGGTTACACATATTTTTTAAATATTAATTATTTTGAAGTTGTGAAAAAAAATAGATCAAGAAAGAGGAAGAAGGAGAAGAGGAATAACTTGTCGTCACCCCTCGACTTCTTCGAACATAACTTTCATCATTTGTAAAATGTCTAAGCATTACTGAGAGACTTGCGGAGCGGGCAAAGACATCAATGACAACAATTGCAAGGCAATAGATTTGTGGCTTACGGTCAACCATTCAAGATATTTGTAGACGTAAGGTGGAACGCTGTGTCACAATTTTAAACAAAAATGGAGACAAATAGTAATGGAAATGGAAAGTAGAAAAGTTTCACAAAGTAGACAATACTCGAGCGCTGTAATTGCAATCAGTCTCCGCAGAGTGCTCTATAATAATGGTTGGTTCATAGGAGAATATCGAAAACATATATATATAACATACATGACATCACTACTGACACACCTGTAGAATTTCTAAATAGTACTCATCTTCACACCATATGTGCCAAGTTGCAGTTGTTTTAATGCATTTATTTTATAATTTTTAAAACAATTGAAAAAAAAACCTGATTTTCATATATTGATTAATAGGTGGTTTTTTATGAAGAAAAATACATTTACGAGAAGCGCTGACTTAAAAGATGTCATAGCGACTCTCACCCGTCGAAAAAATAAACTTGTGTGTGTGGTTTGTCAATGATGCTGAACGCTTTTGTTCGTCCGAACCAGCAAACTTTCGCTTTCTTTCAGAAAAAAGAAAAAAAAATGTGTACTAAATCGTTTTGAAAGATCGAAAACTGACGTCGCTTAAGATAGCTGACATCACCTGTCAGAGATGTCAGAAGGCAGTATATTTACTATTATGCATGAACATTTCCGCATGAAAAAGCTCTGCTCGATGTGTGTGCTGTGTTTGCTTACTTTTAGCAACAACATGTTTATGACTCGCAGCGTTGCCTGACGTTGTTTCGACAAAATAAAAGAGACTTTTACGCGATATTTGACAATGGACGAATGGGCTCATCACTAGACAGCCGAGTGGACAGCAAACAGCAAATGCCCTGTGCCGTATGTCGCGTACGCGTCTTGTGGGTTACGCGAAAGCCGATATAATGGATAATGTGCTCGGCTGACGACGATCTAGCTGGCTTATAAATCTAATCTAGGAAGAGAGAGAGAGAAAGAGAGAGAAAGAAAGAAAGAAAGAAAGAGAGAGAGAGAGAGAGAGAGAGAGCGAGAGCGCTATTTAAAGTTTTTTAAGAAACTGCATTGCTTTAGATTTATTTCTTTGTCTGTACAATCTGATCGACTCCAAGTTCGTTAACTCGTCTTCTTGAAAGTTACTTAGTCGCTGTGTATAAATTGCCGTTTCTTCCTGTTTCTTGCTTGGAATCTGATAATTGCCTGTAGACGTGTCATGTTGCCTATGCTTCTTTTGCTTGCTTGTGTTGTAGTGATTTCTGGGCCGCTAGTTGGCTGAATTCCAGTATGTTTGTGCAAGAAGTTGCTTAAAAAGACACAACCAACTATCTTCTGCGCGTAATGAGGTGAACGGATCATACGGATTGTATCAAAATTTTACAAAAGGTGTATGCAATATTAATTGGGAATTCGATGCTCACCTTTCGCTGCGCGGATTGTTTGAACGGTTCATCGGAGGCATTCCTACCTCAGCAGCTTCAACAGGCCGTTAATCAAATCATACGGAACTTCAACATAAGATTTCAAAAGAAGTTTAACTCATGCATTAACGAGTGATGAAGAGGGCGGGCTAGTCAAAAAAAACCGATTTTTGGAAATAATGCCGAGTCCACTTTCTCGATATTATAGTCATGCGATGCATATAATTAAAATCCGGCATTGGTGCTGAGATACTTTCTCGAATCTATATCAATGAACTTCTGCCGCCACTTTGTGTGAAGCTGAATGCTTTATTCAGACAGCTGAATAAGAATGGTAAAATGGTCTTGCGATCCGAAAACGTAATCTAAATTTCTATCTGCCTCTAAACTGCTTAACATACGCAACGTATGTTAACAATTATATTTAAGTGTTTTCTGAGTGCCCAAGGTATAACTTGGCGACCATATCCTCTCCATCGTTCACGTTTTTTGAAAATTCTCCTTTCGAGATTATCTAAAGTTCAAATTGCATCTCGCCCTCTACGAAATTATTGAAACTCGATCTCCAGCCCTATTTAAATGTACGGCTGCAGTTCTTTAGATTGAATAGAAGCCTTTTCATATTAATACCACATTTTTTTAACTCATCATCCAATCGATCATTTGCTGTTCGTGTTGCTAGATATCGAAATGTCTTATCACTAAGCATGAAATCTTTCAATTATTTTCGAACAGAATTGATTGGATTGCTAAGCTCATATGGTATATTTTATTGCTACTGGTAGGGATTGATGATTGCGGATTTTATGGAGCAGGATGTTTACATTAGCAGTCATCCAGCTGACTTGTAAAAAAAATGTTCTTCCGGAGATCGAATGTTGGCTTTGATAGGAAACGGATAGCATAAATAACTATTTGAAATCGATACATGTATGTATTGTTCATATGTACGTCCACGTATTTATTTAAGCTCGAAATTCTTAAGGAATACTTCGTATGCATGCATCCTCTCTGATGCAAAATACAAGTCAATTAATGCGAAAGCTTCATAGGATGAATTTAGTAGACATCCTTTTGCTTAAAATACAACAACAAACAATAAGAAACAAAAAGAGTAAACACTAATCGATCCACAAGTTATTAAGCGTGAACATCTACTATAACTTAGTATATTGCCCAGCCCTGACTATTCATACATACGGCAATAATGATGTTTATAGAAATCCTATAGAGATTCTATTGAATAACTCTCCGAAAGAATTATTCAAAGATTTTAACCTATGCATTTTATCCTAACATTTTTTTATATTACTTGCTGTAACGGGTATATTCGGTTTGTGCGAATGTATGCAACACACGAAAGGACTTGTGATAGAGCCATCTTTTATTCGAAACTGGTTTACTTGTCCGAAGTCTGTCTATTTTTAACTTACACTACGTAATTTTTAAGATATTTCTACAAAGTTATGTGCACGGAGACTTGCCTTGACCCAAGCACAAAAGGATCAATATTTTTACCCACTTCCCATACGATTCCTTAATTTAAAAAGTCGTAATCGTATTAAATATATTGTTGTAGAGTACTCGATGATGCCGGCTGTCCTGTTATCACGTGCTTGCTTATTATTTTTTAATTGTATTTAATTGTTTATCGAAATTTAATTTATTTATGTTTTTATTCGATTTATTTATTTGCAGAGCCATTCAATATTATCAAGATAGTGGGCAAACGTTAAGTTTTAAAATTAACGAACAACGCCAACAACCTGGTGGTAATCGCTTAGGTGGACCGCTACGTTATCCTCAGGCCATATTGTTGTGGTTGAAATGTAATCAGGTAGGAGAACGAATACTGCCTAATAGTCTAATAACATACCATCCCGCCTTGAATTGTAAGGTGCCCAACGTAATAATCTTATATTTTATGCAAAAATTGCAATATCTTTTTGTCAGTACTTAGTTAAATATATAGAAAAGCAGGCAATGTGTGTATGAGAAAATGTTCAAATCAAAATACGAAAAGTAAACGGCCAAGCCATGAAAAATCATAAAATGAAAACTCTATTGCTTTTGGTCATATTCATATAATTGGCATAAGCGCATACAGCATACAGCATACAGCGTACAGCATTTCCATTGTACCTCTAAAAAACATGTCTACCCAATATATTCTCCTATCGCACGCATCTACTCATAGTTTTACACATGCATATCGAATCAAATTGTTACTCTCTCATGTTCTCTTCTATAGCGTTCATTTGTATTTCGGGTCCTGAGGTACGACATAATAATTTTGTTGCGCAAATGTTGGTAGCGTAACGTTCCAGCCAGCTCTGCTCCCACTTTTCAGAGAAGAAAATGTAGCTCAATCATAGTTATAAGCATAGTGCCGTTAACCTTGTCAGAACGATCTACGCGCTGAATAGTAGCAGAATATCAAACACTAATTGATCACTAATATGTCGTCTTCGCTATAGTCGAAATGACAGTGCTGCAACAACAACAAAAGAAATGCTCAAAAAGCAAAATGATTTTGAAAACAATTGACTTTATTCACTGACAATACACATTTATTTTTTGTGATATTCATAAAGGGCTGGCTAACCATCATTATTCTACGTTATAGATGCTTGAATACCTTACCTTGTATCGTAATGTAATTCAAAATTTTAAAATAATTCGTTTTCTTCAATATTATTTACTTTGTTCGTATGTACATATCACCGAAGAATGCGAGATATATTCATTTTATTAAAGCGTTTGCAACGCCCAGATGAAAACATTAAAGACTCCACCAAATACTTATATTCTTAATTAGTATCAAATTCTAAATTGATTTAAGCATGTCCGTCTGTCCGCCTGCCTGTCTGTGTAATGTCTGTTGTAATCATTTTCCTGGCCGCAAAATGAAGCTATCGACTTCAAAATTGACGGAAACATTGAAAGTTCTTGCACGCAACTTGGTATTGGGCCAAATCGATCGAAGGATACGCCCACAGCTTCACGTAAACTGAGAACACCTCCGTTTTACAAAAGGATCGAAAAATTGATTTTTCGCTCATTACTACTCATTACAACAACAGTAAATAAATGTACAAAAATTTGAACACATCTTGTATGGGCCAGACTCTAGTATTCGTGTACAAAAATTGACCACGGTTACCCAATATTATAACGTATCAAACCTTTAATTAAATGTTTTCTCAATACCTTTAGAACGCGTAGAAACAAGCTTCAGAAACTTTACAAAGTATATAAATTCTTGACCAGTTTCAAATTTGGAATACACCTAAACATTTCCGCCTATTCCAACTGTCCATCTGTCTGTTTGTTGTCTGTGTGTGTGTATGTGGTACACATACTCGCGTTATCGTAAATGAAGATATCGCCTAAAAATTTGCAAAATAGTTTGAAATTGAGCAAAACTTTTCAAAGGACACACCTATAACGCCCACATGCGTGTACGATAAAAACTTTTTTTTGAAAATAGAAAAAATCTGCTGCGCCCACTTCATATTGTGGAGCGTACAAATTTTGCTCTTTTAACTCTTTTGTCTTTTTCAGGATAACGCGTATAGGTATAAAAGATACGATCCCGACCGAATTTAATTTTCTTGGTTGTTTTTTCTTAATGTTATTTTAATATATGATGCCTCTTGATTAGGAATCGCTTTATAATAGATATTTTTTTTGTTTGTTCGTTAGCATCGTAAAATTCATCAACACTTTCACTCTGATCTGGTGGTAAAGTTTGTTTTTGATTCTCATTTGGGGCGAAAGTTTCTTTACATTTTTGGTTTTTGGTTTTTTTTTTGCTGTTGTAAAGTTTCTTCAGATTTCAAGCTGATTTCTATGTTTCACAACACTTATCCACCTGGCATAATTCTATTCTTCGTTGTTCAAATATAAAATCCTTTCATTCATTCACCAAAAAATTGCGTTTGTCTTATTTACAATATTGACTATAATTATCATGATGTTCTATATTTTTACTTTTATACTTGGTTGATTGTCCGTTAACGTTTGAAACTTCTCCTGGGGAAGACGTAAATAATATTCGAGCTTTATACGTTATAGGAATTAATAAATAAAAATAAAAGTAAGTCCTTTGGCGGGAAAATGAAATATTTAATTTTTTATGCTGAAAATTGGTCCATAGTAGTATAAAGAACATAATCTTAAGCAAGCAGATTAAGTTTGCTAAATTTGGATCACATGAGTGAGTTGACGTTTTGGACATAGTCCAATATGATTAACTAACTCTATTAGGCGAAGTTACCTAGAGTGGAGTAGATTTTATCCGCCTATGAAGTTTTTCCATGTTTTCCTATTAAGCACCTTATTTACTGAACATACTCCGCATTGTTTTTATAAATTGTTTTTCACGTTATTTGCGAGCCTATCCCTATCCGATACAGTTTCACTGATCTTCTTTCTTTAGATGTTATTAAGAAAAAAACCATTGCAAAACTCGAAAAAAAGTTGAGCCCATGGTTCAAAAAAGAAAAGGTTCACTTTTTTAAAGGAAAGAAACAGAGAGAAAGAAATGGACAGAATAAAAAAGAACGAAAGAAAGCGAATGATAAAGAAAAAGAAAGGTTGACTACAGAGAGAGCGCTGAGAAAGAGGGCCAGGGCGTGAGTGAAAGAAGTAGAGCTAGAACGAGAGAGAGAGAGATAGATAGATAGAGAGAGAGAAAAAGAGAGAGTAACAACGTAGAATGAAGCGCATCACAATTAATTTAGCGTTAAATCAAGGCTTGTTCAAATTCTTCTATTCATGGTAATTGTTGGAAACCTTTATACCTATCATTACAGGATATATTAAATAGACGTTTGGAGAAGCGCATCGACTCTATGCTAGAAGGAGGTCTATTACGCGAAATACGAGGCTTTTACAATGAACACAATCCAAATAAAAAGTAAATACCTAAAATTTCATTATCTATATATATATATATATATTGCTCTATGTGTATGTATGCATACCTATGCACGTGTAAATTTATGAGGCAATTAATCATATGCGTGCATTTGTTTTGCCCTAATCATTTGCCATAAATCTCTTCTATTTTTTTCTTACCTTAAAAAAAAGAAAACAACAACAATAACAATAACAAAAGCTTGCTACGATACCTGAAGCGCTTTTATTTATATATTAAAAAAGCAAATAACTAACTATTCGTTTTCTTTCTCTTTTTAAGCTTATTTAATGCGGGCAATAATTTATATACTAAAGGGGTTTTGCAAACAATCGGTTTCAAAGAATTTATACCATATTTAGAGCAATTTGATGCGGCAAACGATGAACAAATTGAAGCTTATCTAAAAACAAATGAATACAAGATGCCAACTGAAGGTGAGATTTGACTGAAGTACAAAGTAAAAAAAAAAAGAAGAAAACAAAAAAAAAAACACTAGTAATAATGATATCATAAAAAAAGCAAAACCTAAATCAATCGTACAAAACTAAGAAAAATTATTTTTAATTTTTTTTTTTTTTTTTTGGTTTCAACCTTACATATCCTATAAAGTATCTTAGAAGCTTCACTAACTATATCCGAAATATTCGGTAAATAATGTGATTCATTCGTAGGAATAATTCATTTAACTGATGTTACTGACGTCATTTTTATGTTAGAGCAACTTTATTCTTTATATAACAATTTTGCCTCATTATACCTCACATCGTTTGCGGCTTAGGGTATATTAAGCTAATACGGATATATATATATCCGCTTTGAGACACCTCTCCCACCTCTTCTTATGACAGAATCATGTTCAGAATCGAATTACACTTCTCTGTCCGCTCGCAAATTTTCACGAAGCCTTGGCAAAGTTTGTTTTGTTTTGGTCCAAGGGAAAATGCATCTGAAAATAGATTGAGTCGGACCAGTTTAATGGCTTACACATATAACGTCCTGTTATGAAAAACCAGTAAAAACCTTACTGCCTAATACAATTCATAATTTACTTCCATGATAATATACCAAAAATTTTATCTTGTTTTCATATGAAGCCATCAGAAAAATTAAGCGGCCTGAAAATTGAACTAATGAGATTCAAAATCTAGCTCTTGTCAAAGATCTTTTTCGTCCTAATCTATTTTCGGCATAAAGTATTAAAATTTCGATTTTATTGCTATATAAAAGCTTATAATTCATAAGAAGCCTTACACGGGAAAGAAATTGATTCAAATTTGGTACAATCAATTTCTATGTCAAATTATTATTATGGATCAATTCTCTTTATCAAAATATAAAAATTAAAACTTTTTACCCATATAAAGGTTCACTTTTCATCAAAACCTTTATCATGAATCTGGCACACAAAAAATAGACTCAGATGACTCAGATTTAGTACAGCTGATTTTCATATCAATCTACTGCTATGGACCAATTCTAACCGTACACTATTGGAAGTTAGGCAATTTGCTCATACAGAGGCTACTTTGGTGTTATTAGTTTGCTGTTATTCAAAAATAGTAACGCAACAAATACGTAACGGATCGCAATTTATTTTTAGTAAGAAACGCGAATTTTTGCTGCACAAATTTTTTAATTAATTTCAGGTGTGCCAACATTCTGCAAGCTTACCAACTTTTTTACATTCTAAATATACCTTAACAAGGTTGCCATCAAACTTGAAACTGTTATTAACATAACAGAAGATGTAAAACATCGACCCATTCAATTCAAATTTTTCATGTCAATTTAATTATTCAACGAGTTTTATGCAATTTTCATTTTTTGATAAATAACGGGTTTTCTAAAAAAAGTGAAGTGGTCCAGTCAATCCGATCAATAGAATTCGTCCTTGTGTATAGTACCAAATTTCGCTAAAATATCTCAAAAATTTGCAAACTAAAATACATGGACATGTATAAAAATCGCACAGGAAAACATTCCTTGAATCCTTAAGTAATTATTATCAACTATAAAACTTTCTTATTTACTTGTTGTCATAAAGGTGCAATGAATGTAAGTGCCGGCGGTGGATCGGAAACACAATTACCAGTTGGCTTAAGTACTTTAAATACATGCTTGAATGAATTGAAATTGGTTACACGACGCTATTCGAAGAAGCAACAAAAGTGGATTAATAATCGTCTTTTGGCTTGCACTGATAGAGATGTTCCCGATATCTACGAGCTGGACACTGGCGATGTCAATCAGTGGCAAAATAATGTTTATAGACGTGCCGTTACCATAATTGATTGCTACCTTATGGGAGACTATTGCGAAATGAAACCGTTAAAGAAGCGAATACATCCTGGCGCCGGTTTAAATCAAGAGGTATAATGTTCCCTTCGTGCACATTTTTTTTCTTTCTTTCTTAAATTTTCTTCTTTTTTTTTAATCTCTTTGTAGATCTCAAATTATTGCACAATATGTGAGAGGCAATTTATCGGTGAATATCAATGGTATTTACATCTAAACTCCAATAAACATAAAAAACGTAAAGAGAGCAAAAAGAAACGAGAAAAATTGGAAATGGTCGAAAAGGATGACAGCAAAGTCGGGAGTACTCAATAAGAAAATGTCATTTTTATTGATTTTTTTGAAAATATTAATTACATACATACAAGTATATAACAATATTTTATTGTTTATAAACTGGTTTTGTGCACAAAATCGCGCGAAATCGTGATGCACTCTGCTATTTATTAACGATTGATTACAAGCTGGATAAGCTGGATAACATCTAAAAATCAAACATAATAATAAACTGTTACATAAAGACAAACACATTTAATAAATAAAAGACAACAAAGATTTTATACATAAACAGTTTGTCTGACTATAAATAATAGATATGTGTGTAGTGTAGTGTATAACATTGAAGTTCTTTATACGTTCATATTATAGTATAAATAGACTTAATTAATTTTTTCTATTAAAATTATTAATTAAATATAATTTAATTTTAAGTTATTCATTTCATTTTTTTTTTTTTTTTAATTTTATTTCATTTAATTATTTGCTGTTACGTAATTTCGATCTCATCTTACATTTATATATATTGAAACGTTGATAGAATTCTTGCAGCTAGCTTGTACATCATATATTCTTCTTATGCGTAATTGTTTTGCTTGAAATTAATAACTATGAACGGCTTTGATTTCATTTTAGTTATACCCAACACTATCGGGTAAGTTGTTCTCACAGAAATATTTTACAAAAAGAAAAAAAAAAAAAACACGCTACGTCTTTTTTGAATTCCTACAGTGGCGAGCGTTTAAGCTTCCAACCGTGTGTTGCCAAAAATTTCAAATTTCATCTTAATAATTTTCAAAAAAAAAAAAAATTTCAGGGAATAGGGAAAGAACGAGTCTTTGAACGTTTGCTGCAAAATTGAAATAAATGAAGAATAGGCAGAAAGACAAACTATATTCATCATGTCAAGAATTGCAAACGCTTTACACCCAGCTACTGACTGTCGCGTTCTAAAAACTTTTTTTGTTTTCTTTAAATGCCTTTCCCTCAAATTCCTAACTATTATCAGTTGATAAAGAGCGCTTTTAAGTTTGACTTGGAGGCATTAGTTAAAAACATTTTGATCATATTTTAGCATTAAATCTTTAGTCCTCAATTGTCCATAACTATGCCGTAAGGTTTTGAAAAAATTGCATAAAAGATTATGGCTACCTTCGACTTTCCATGTCCTTCCGATTATCCATTTTGCTTTTTACACCTTTGAGAAGTCAAACAATAGCTAACCGATAATATAATCGTTAAAGGGACCCGACTAAATGAATGTCGATTTTTAGTTCTCATCAAGAATTTGAACTTCCGTAATTCTTCCACACGCAGACGTCCACACATTACTCATAAACTTATAATATGCATAATTATGCTAATACTTTGGTATTAGACTATGTAATAAATAATATATATGTGCAAGCGAAAATAATAAATATATAATATATAAAATACAAATTCAAATCCATAAATATATACATATATATACATACATAATACATATAAGAATATACGCACATGCAATATCACAATTATAGGCAAAACAGGAGAATGTTATATTCGATTTCTGCCGAATTACGTATTAGGCAGCACCGACTGAAGCAATTCGTGGACAAGCTCTTGAGTACGTCTACTTAATTTTCGACCTTGGCATGAGGATTTGTGTTTAAGAAAAAATGGTATAATTAGGAAAAAGAGGGAAGTTCTTATCTCTTTCTTATCGTATCTCGCGCTACTGGCGGGCCCGGAAATCATGGATCGGTTTAGCTGACCTTGACATTGAATTCGACGAATACGGCGAAAACAAAAAATTCTACATAGATTGAAGTTTTCACGTCTTAGTCATAATAAGCAGCATAAAATCGTTTCACCATTCATCCTAACAAAGATCATATGTCCCCATAATTATGAAAGTGGTCTAAGTCAAAATTTAAAAGATATGACTTTATCAATTATTTCGAACCATTGTAATGTTTACGATATCGTCAATAATGAACCAGTAGACATTGGTTTTAATTTCAACATTATAGAGAATTCATTTAGTGTTAGTTATGAAAGCGGTATAAGTTAAAACACCAGAGCTCGTCATACTCTTAGTCGAAAACGTTTGAGTCGTGATTTCGATATTATGAATTGATAGAAAAGTGTAGAAGAAGAAATACGTATTCGGTAAAACGAATCTTAACGACAGGAAGAGTAAAAAATACCGCAGATGAATCTATCTCTTGGCTGCAAATTTAAAGGATTCTTGAAAAATGAACCTTATAAGACGTTTTGTAAAATTTCTTCAGATGATTCTAAATACCATGTTTTGGATCTTTTACCTAAAAAGGGGAAGCTTCAAAATATACGGATATATGAAATTACTTCCATTATACGCAGCTAGTACTAGACCAATAATGGAAGAAAAAAATAAAGATATTATGTGTTTACTACCATATATCCCTCCACTTTTTCAGGAACATTTTAAGAATCTTAAGAACTCGTAATGAGAAAAGCATAAAATGATAAAAATGAATTACTTCTTCAAAATAATTAATAAATGTATTCATGAGTTATTTCAATAAAATTCATTGTTTCATAGGACATTCAATTCAATTTGAAAATGGTCCAAGTCAATTCAAAATTTAAAGACAAGGTTTTTGCATGCATAATGCATACACAAAATTTTATATTCATAATAAATTTCCGTTAATCAAGATTAGAATAAGGAAGAATAAAAAAAAGAAATTAAAATATCGCATAATGTACAAATATTTTTTGATTCATTCAAATACAATTCATTATTAAATATCTCGAAAACGGGAAATATATGACTTAGACCACTTTCATAATTATAGGCACATGCACATATATACATATTCGATGCATATTTCTAGGCTTTATAAACATATGCAAAATGAAGGAAGTAAAAGGCAAAAAAAATTCCATTTGCCCATTGAAAATATTTGTAAACGTAAAGATGACCTTGAAAATGTGTAATAAATAAATAACTATTATTCATTATTGATTTATTTATTCATTCACTTATTTTCTACGTACTAACTTTCTTTATGTTATGTTACATAATGCTTAATGATAAGAAAAGAAATATGTTTGTCAAAAGATGAAAATACTAAGAAAAAAAAAAAAAAAAAAAAAAAACTTTGTATTAATAATTAAGCAGTGTCGCTCGTAACGATATTTCCGTCGATACGTGAGAAGAAAAGTTAAATGAAATTACTTTTTAAAAAATTAATAATCATATGCAAATATACAGGCCTTGTACTTTATATGCGGGCAATGCAAATTCCAAAAGATTTAATGAGTAACGGCTTTTTATTGAATTCTATTGTCAAATCTTAAGTACTTGCATGTGTTTGAGATCATTTTCTCAAGTATGATGTGGCATGTATCGACATAATTATTGCTATAGTAGAGTATATTGATCGCAATATTTGCCATCATTTTTTCGAAAAAACGATATTGGTTTGACAGCGATCCGGTCATTGGTCCATTTTCGCACTTCCTCAGCATTTCGAAACCGCGTGCCAGCCAAGCCGTGCTGCATCGATCTGAACAAATTGTAATCAGAAAGCACGATATCCGATGAATATGCTGAGTACAGAATAACACTCCATTCGAGCTGACAAGTCCGTGACAACTCTTGCAACGTCATGCAGGATGACTTTGCATCTTTGTTAAACACTATTGCTGATCCTTTTCCCATTTCGATTTTCCCTGGCTATGATAACCATTTTCCTTGCTTATCGATCTTTCTTATCGCATTTAAATATCTAGAAAAAATTATTTGATGAACTGCTAAGCTGTTTGATGTTTGCGAATCGGGCTTACAACCAATAAGTCTTGCAATTCATTGTCTTCGAATTTCTTTATTCCTCCAGGACGTTCTTTGTCATATGATGGAGTACCATCATCATAAACTGCTTAAAATGTTTGATGGGCTTCGACGGCAGTGTTCTTCATTGAAGAACAGAGCAATTTCGAACGTTCCACCGAAAACTGTCATTTTATGTAAAGAAAGATCGAAATCTCATCGAATTTAATCGCATTTGCATTACTTTAGCGTTTTCATCAATACATGCCGACGATCAAAATATATGCAAGCATCTATTAATACACTTTAGAAAGTGGGCGAAGTATGCATTATTTCATTATGATTAGCTTTTTTAAGTGTTTAGAAAAGGATAGGCTTTATTTATTTAAGACCACCCAAGAATGGAACGATGCGATATTCATTTTGTCACTCAAAAAGAATCTTCAGAGGCCCCATAGAGTATATCGACATATATATGTTCATGATCAGCAGTAAATTTTGAATCGATTTCAGAATGTCTGTCTGACTGTCATTCTAGCTCTCCGTGCGTGATAGTCATTGCACGCATTCCAGCCCTTGAAAATGGCCTAAAATCCTTTAACAGTCATAACCAAAGGATAAAGTAAAATGAAAACACTTTTGAAAACAAAAGAGAAAAAAAATTTGCCTATAAACAACAATAAATAAAACGATAAAAATTCTCATTTTCTGTTTTGATATCAAGTTGGTGGGTATAGAAGGTTCGACGATTGCCGAATATAATTCCCTACTTGTGTTATATGTTTTAAAATCTGTTATAAATTTTTCTTTTAGATTTTTCTCTCATTTTAAAAAGGCTAACGATATTTTATAAATTAAAAGTCCATCCGTCCAAGATATATTTAAATTGAAATGAAATTAACATTTGAAATTAAACGCCAGCAGCATTTTAAAAATAAGTTCACTTTTCTCACCATCATAAGCAAGATCATAAAAAATTTTTAAAACAAAATACGATTGCAAACTGTTGCAAAACTCTAAGTACATGGTCAACTGGACAAGCTGTCTTCAAGATGGATAAACTGGAAATATGCTTCAATCAATATAATGGCGGAATGTCGATGCGTTTTAACTTATTCAATAGTTGCACAGAATATAATAATAATAATAATAATATTTAATAATAATATTTGCCCATAATTAATTAAATTTAAAAATAAATACAAGATTTTTTTTTCTTTCTTTTGTCTTTTCTATTATGAAAATAAATTGAAATTCATTGACAAATTCTTATACGTTTGATTAAATGTATATTCTCTATAGTATGTATCTATATATATATATATATATATATATATATGGTAGGTATTTTTGTATGTTAAAAGATATGTATTATAGTAAAAGATATGTACGCATATGATAATGACAAACTATTTATATAAATATTTATATATTACATATATATTTATCAGAACTTATATATACAATCGTTTATATATAATATGAGATACAAGATGGATAACATACGAACATTAATCATACAATCATTTTCAACAACTTAGGCGACTTCTCAATGTAAATCTATTATCATAACTATATAATAAAATAATATATTTATGACTATATGCAATTTCTCTTAACGAAACTTAGTCCTGAATTTAGTTTTATTTCATTTCACTTCTAAGAACTACACACACATATATATATAAATATATATATATATATATATATACATATGTATATGTATACAAAAATGATTTTATTTATTTTTTTTTTTTGGAATTTTTTAATTATTTTATTTTTTTTTTTTTGCTTTTCTTTTCATATTAAGTCAAATATGATTTTGTTTTATTTTTCACATTTAAACTGTTAGCTTAAACGAATGAATTTCTTTCATGCAGTCTTTGTGGAGGAAAAAATAATGTAAACATTTAATTAATTCATTTTGAATATATGCTGATGTTAATGTATATGCATATATGTATATATACAATATATATGTTTATCGAATAGATTTCGTTTTGTTTCTTTTTTTTTTTTTTTGTTTTTTTTTTTTTTATTTACGAAATGATTTTATTGTCTTTTGAAAATAGCTGCAAATTATTGTTATTGTCATAAGTTACTTGACATCGCGTGTCATAAATGAAAAGTAAGAAAACCACATTCGCTCCGAGATGAAGGTTGTTTGCCCATACTATTGCCCACGTCCTTAATTATTGCATTAATCAGAGAATTTGTCTGATTTCGATTACTTTCATTAATGATCTGCAAAATAAACGCTTCGAATATTAAAACTGAAAATAAAATATTGAACCACTATCAACCGCTCTGAATGTATTATAATACGTTTCCCATGTTTAATACACGAGAAAGAATTACTTCTAAATATTTCACAATTATTATCGAAGGATATCTTAAATTTATGATTTTACATTATGAAATACTTTAGAATACTTGAGGGATTGATCTCACTGCTGTGTGGTGATACGTAAATTTTTACTTTTCAATTTAATAATATATGCATTGATCGGATCTTTCGCTTCTTAAGTCGCCAAGATAAATTGCTTATTTACCCTATATCACCTTGCTGATCTGTTTAATCTTATTTAACTGAAATATATATATGTTGCTATGCAGATTTCTTACTAGGTACGCTTTCCACCAAATTTTGAATATATGCTAGTACGCTTGTTTGCATTAGGGTATGTATAAATACATGTTTTATTCATGTAACTGGATCTACAATTCTAGTGTTATTGGAAACCATGTAGTTCTTGTAGTCTAGGTTCAGTAAGTAATAAGCTAAAAATTTACAGCCCTTAACTTGTATATTTAGATACAGCTAAAACATAGGATTGGCCAATTTTTGCTCCTACTCAACACGATAATTCCGTTATTTTTGTCAAAAAATTTTAAAAATTGCGAACTTTCTCCATATACGCTATTAGATGAGCAATGGCCGTAAAAATTGTTCAAACCAAATTATTCTCCAAAACATTATTCAATATTGTCAAGTTCAAAAGCAAAAATCTTAACACAAGCATTTAATGGGCTTTAATCGATTACGAAAATAATTCTGAATCAATTGATATAATAAGTGTATCGTCAGTCTTCGTACAAACTTAAGTTACCCAGTTGGGTAGAAATTTCATTTACAGAGCTCGGCAGCATTCAAAATTTATCCGGTTCGGAGCAAACGCACCTTTCTCGTCTTGTGAGTTACTTAAATTTTCTAAATGATCTTAAAATAATATATATGTATTATAACATTTAATAAAATATATTTCGGTGGCTAACTCTCTCTTTACTTTTTTACGTAAGTCGCTCGCTTGCATTTAATTTAATCATAAAATAAAAAAAAGGGCGTAATTTTTTTAAATTTTCCAAAAAAGAGATAATAAAATGAATACAAAGAATTACTTATGCTCATTATTATCTATCTATTATAAATTAAGTCATATTTCCTCGAAAATATAACAGAATTTTCGAAAACCGAAGAAAAGGGACGCGTACTGATTCCTTATTCTATATACATTGCTTTCAACAACTTTTCTAAAGCGTTTAAAGTCTTTTGTTATCGCATTGCATTTCTTAATCGTTTGCGTACCAGACGGTTTTGAAAAAACACTGTCGAAGAGCCCCAGGCAGCGCGATCGCGCTGTTTAGATTTTATGTCGAGAAAACCCAGCACATTTCGAGCATTGTCGACATCTGTCGGTACGTTACGTATTGTCGAAGTCGAGCGTAGTACAATTACAATAGTACTATAGTAGTGCAATAATATATTACAAAATAAAAATTTGTATTTTGGTGTTGTTTTTTTCTATAATTTTTGTGAAACAAACTTGAAATATTTATTAACAAACAATTTAAATACATAAAATTAAATAAGCATTATGGCGCCGCTTGGTATTTCTCGACATGAAATCTAAACAGCGCGATCGCGCTGCTTGGTACTCAAACGGTTAATAATGAGAAATTTGATCTCTGCAACTCTTAGTGAACTTCCATAGACGCAAGAAGTTGCGAAAGTAAAAAATTACGATATATCAAGAAGGCGGTAAATTATGAGCTTAAACAAGAATCAATTCATTATGGGAGAAAATCTCTGTAATTGCCTTAAGGGAGTCGTTTGTTTTACAACATCTTTGAATGAAAGAAAAATTACTAGAATAAAAATAAGTCCAAGAAGTTATTAAATACAAAAAAAAAAAAAAAAAACAATGATTCTTGAAAACCATTAAGCGGCTTTGTGCCACCTAGCTATAGCTGGTGCAAGTTGGCGAATGAGAAAAATAAAAGGAAAAAAATTGCATTAATCTGCATGAGAAGTATGCAGATTCTTAAAGAGATTGATTTCTCTGTGATTGACTTGTATTTATATCTGAATAGTTACATATCTAGGGTCTTATGGAATGCTGTTACGCCCACAAGCATCTTTTTTTTTTACATTATTCTTATCTATCTAAGAGATCGTTGCAGCGTTGGAAAATTTATAGAGCACTTGCCCCCATTGTTATATTGTTGCCTATAATTATCACATGTGATCAAGACAACAGTTTTATTTATTTTCGGAAACCGGGTAATTGGATAAAAAAATCTCGATAAAAACTAACCCATAAAATAAAATAAAACAAAAAAAATAAAAATAAAATAATTTTTAAAAAAATATCGATTACGCCCTATTTGTAAATGTTGTCGTTAAAAATTAACCTTAATTGTTATTATTATATGTGTTACTGAAAACACGAAAAATATTCTCTTAATTCTAAATTATATTTACAAATTCTCTTTTTCAAGTAATTTAATTGTATTCGGGTAAATAGGTAAATCGGTAGATAGACAGGTAGGCATGTTATAATGGTATGTTTAAATAAATATATTATCTTAAATACATTTAATCTTAATTATAATTTTACGAATTAAAAAGAAAACAAAATAAACTTATATTGAAATTTATTCATCATCCTCCTCTTGTAAGGATTTTTCGGGCAGGCCGTATGTAGGACAACACATACCCTCCGTGCCGTCCATGTTGAAGCAAAATAATGTACGCTCTAGTTCGGTTGGCTCGTGCGGTACAATTCCATGCACTTCTTTTAATTCGGCTTCCGGAAACCACGCGGCATCAGAATCTTCGATAATTTTTATACCGAAAAGTCTAAAACAAGAGACAAGAGACGAAAAAAAAAATAAATAAATAAATAAATATTTTTGATTAATTGAAGAGAACTCTTGCTAGACCTACCTGAATATTGCGACAATTGGTATCCATAATATAGATGAGAATATCAAAATGAATGCAATGACAATACACCAGTGAGGCCATTCCATTTTTTCGGTCATGCCTTTCGAGGCGATCCATGCTGGGTAACTACTGCCCTCGGTCATCAGCTGATAAAATGATGCAGTCAAAATGGTAAACATAGCGCATGGTGATAAATACTTCCAGCAAAACATCCAATATACACCTGGGCGAGAGCCAGTCATCATTTCAATATCATCCGAAAATCTACAACAAAGCAACAAAGAAATTTTATATGATTTAGATCGTATCCTTTGACACACATGGAATAATTCTTATGGCAAACAAATGACAACTTTATGATTATAAAGCAAGACTGACTATTACAGACCCCCCCCCCCCCCATAACGCTCCGCTTAATCAACTCCTTCATATATCTTCGTCATAAAATATTTTAAAAAAATTGTACCTAAATGCTTACTCTTCAAACAGATGTATGTAGTCCGAGCATGTCACAGTAAATTTGTCTGTTAAATCATTATTTTATATCAACTTTCATCAAATAAAGCTAAAAACTGCACATTGTTACTCGATAAAGTCTCTTATTCTTTCAAGAAACCATGATTCATCGAATAGTCCTCGTCCTATCTCATTTAAATTTCCCACATTCACTTAGTAGGCTAGAATAGCATTTCTGTCCGCAACTATTATAGGCCACACATTTTTTTGATGTAAGGATTTTTTCAAAATTTGACGTTCTACGGGCAATGTTCGGAAAAGTAGCCCGCTCCAATTCATTTTCAATATCGTTCATCCTTCGGCCAAAAGTACAAGAATGGACAGGTAGACTTGATTCGATATGCCTTGGCGTTATATAAATATACATATATCGGCATAAAGTTAATATAGTCCATATCGTAAGTGGGGTAGGGTAAAATGACTCTGGACCGACACATATATAGTAAAAGTTGAGTATACCTCAAATACTCCTATATACATACATGATGCAAGAACTTACCATACATGGTCTAAGACTTGTATATCTATGTTTGCCTATTTGGCTGTGATAAGCATTCGTACAATCGCAAAAATGAAGATATCGTTTTTAAATCTGTCAAAGGCATTAGAAATTCTTGTACGCAAGTTGGTGTTTGAAACGAATATATACGACGGCAATGCCATAATACATGAAAGTGTCTGCGTCTTCGAAAGCAATCAAAATAAGGATAGTTGGCCCGTTATACGAATAGATACAATCAGAACAGTATTCACGTAGATTCTGTAGATGATCTCATGGAACTGGTATAAAAGTGCAAAAATTGTTCAATTTGTTTTCTTTTCTTTCCAACTTTCCTTTTATATGCAGATGATGAATTTGAAAAATTCCACCACTGCCGAATACCCATATATATATGCCTAAAATACCGTAAATTTCAAGTTTATACGAATGTGTGTAATGGCCGAGAGGATTTAAGGTATACCCATTTTTTAGTACAGCGGTCGAATTAAAATTATTCTCTGAAACGAGGTAAGCTTATCTGTGTGCCAGTTTTTTCTATCATCCGTCTTTCCCGATGTCCGTTCACGTAATTTTGCTTTCAACTTCGCAAAGTCGCAATTTTTGCAATATTTTCCCAAAATTTGATAGACTGATAGGTTTCAACCTGAGACCGAACGCCCCTGAAAGTTGATTTGGGCGAGACCATTTTTGCGATCATTGTCCATATATAACGTCTTACTTTGAGATAGTCATTAGACGAAAAAAAATTTCCGAAATTTCTCGACATAAATCGCTGAGTAATTATATATTATCTATCATTCATGCAAAAGATTTGGATACGATGGGTGAGTTTTTCTAACTCCCTACCCTATATCAATTTCTACGAGAAGTCAATGTTTAAACATTTTTGAAATTTTTAAATTTGATAGTGAAAACTGGTGGAAATTTGGACCAAGTTAGTCCACATTTGGAACCAGCTCCCATCGAATGTTTTTATATTTAAAGGGATTCCCTTGAAAAGTATGGTTGTGTAAGTTAGTTACTAGTTAACGTTGTCCGACTTGCATTTGTTTCATTCGTTCATGTTTAGATTAACTAATACCTACTGCTTAGCAGGAATTCGATTTTGGGTCAGCATCTGGTGGATTTCGATTTCCGATTCGCTATAAAATGAAAACATTTTTTATGCTTACCTTCTAATACCGTAAATATAGCTAATGCTTATACATTCACACAAGGCGATAACCAATAATGGAAAATTGCCAGCAAAACTATCCATCAACTGAAATATGTAACTACCGGCACCGTTCGCAAAGCACATAGATATCATGCAGCAAGTGAGACATAAACCCTTGCAGAATGGCGAGGAAATTTTAATGAATATTTTTGTAAGAAAAAATGATGAACAGCATAACTTACTCCAACAATCCATTCTTTAGGTAAATTCGGAAATAATTTCATATCCACAAGGGAGGTAACTACACCTTCTAAAGTGCCAAACTGTGAGTCAATGCCCAAAGTGAATAGCATTAGAAAGAATAAGACGGCCCATAATTGGGCGCCAGGAAACTGATTAATAGCCTCGGTGAAGATAATGAAGGCCAGGCCGGTACCCGAAGCGCTCTGAAAATTAAATTTCAATAAAGATTAGAACATCGGACATTAATAGCTACCACAGACATTGGCTAATTCTTTTTCCAAATTGCATAACGGTAAATTGTTGGTTGCATTTTGCTTTATCAAATGATCGCGTTCGGCGATGCAACGTTCATAGGTGGCTGTCGCTTTAAAACCGATAACTGAGAAGACGACCACACCGGCAAACATCGATGTTCCGCAGTTGGTAAACGAAACAAGTATCGCATCACGATAACAATTATTATTAGCCGGATTGTAGGAGCTGAATGCTATTAAACCGCCGAAAGCCAAGCCCAATGAAAAGAAAATTTGTGTACCAGCCTCCAGCCAAACTACTGGGTCGAGTAATGTTTCCCAACGAGGTGTAAATAAATGTGCGACCCCATCAGCTGCGCCTATGAAATAAAAGTCAAAAATACATTTTTTTTTTTTTTTTTTCAATACGTTAGAAATTGATTTACAAAATTCTAGTAAAATAAATTTATTGATGCTTGGAACTCATTTAAAATGGGAAGTACGTACGTTCTTCGCCTAAATAAGCAAACAGCGGAGAACTCAATTTTGCCGAAAAGCCGACGAACATGGCAGAAAAACTATGCATGGTTTCCCGGCGCGCAAAAAGCAATTTTCTCCGAAATGGAACGTGTCTACAAAGAAGAGTATAAGAAATATGGCGAGGAGCTATTCAAGGAATACGCTCATAGTCGACGTCTCAATACACGCATCTATTCCGATATAAACGCTAAACTTATGAAACACGCTCTCTACAACAAATACGATGCGTTGCGGCCATACCGAAATGAATTCGGTCGTTTGCCTCTTTTCTATTATTTGACCGCATGTGCGCAAACAAATACTGACAATCGATAGCAAGTAACGATTCGAACGGGATTCAGTTATTCAATTTGTTATAATTTATTAATTTTTGATAACAAATATTTATTTAATAATAAAATAATATATTATATACATGTATATTTTAATTCTCAAATTTTTGATATTTCGCATTATGACCGAAACGATAAGGATTCGCGTCTACTAACATCAGCTTGGAAACAAATGTACATTTATCGCAGAAATTGCTTTCACTTCCAAGTCGTCTTCCAGTCTCGTTCTAATTTAACTATCATCAATAGATATATTTTAAGTACATATAGGCCGGCCTTGAGTTATGAGAAAGCGCATGATTCCGAATAATAATGATAGATAAAATATCGTTTCTTATTCAAAGTTCTTTAACTTTGTCATTCGTTGCTCGGCAGGGACTAAAACCTCGTTGGCTTATCATAGTCTATGACAGTTCGCGCTTGTGGAAGGCGCGAATTTTTTTTTTTTTTTCGTACTGAAGTGTTAATAAATCTTGATTTAAACATTTATATCGAACTAATAATTATGTTCCTTACTAGACAAGACATGAAAAAGGGGGACAATGTGCTGGACTTGACTCGAATCGATTGAAATTTGCTTGAGTTCTAAAATAAGTTGCAGAATACATTGGCAATTTTCGGGGCTTGTTGTAGCGTTCAGATCCTGAGGAATATTAAGATGGGATTTTATCCGAACAATAATCAGGATGACATGTCGCTCGGAAAATTTACGATTATATACCTTGCAAGTTTGTAAGCGACGACCCTGTTAAAATCCACTTTCAACTATTAGAATCGTACCTATTGGTATTCATGCCGTGTTCGATTATCCCTTGAAATGATTTCATTCGAAAGAAATGAAGAATTTTTTAACATAATTTTTGTTTTTGTATTTATAAAATGGAACAGTTCCGATACCAGATGCGTATGGCCATGATGAGTTGATGCGCGTGAACTCATATTATGACACTGATAAAAAATTTTGTATATCTTGTATTTCGTCTGAGACTTATTCGAAGGTGTCTTAGAGAGAATCCTTTATTAGAGTGAAATAGTTACAATTCCCGTTCATGCATGTTTTGGAAATGCCAAGACTATTAAGGGTTCATTAACATCTGAGAGTCTAGCCGAACGTATGAATGCATCAAAAAATGTTAGTATTTCTATATAGTCGGCCTTGTCCGATTGTGTTTACGGATTTCAAATGATATTAAAATAGACAAAAAAAAAAGAATTGCACTGATGGAAAAGGAATTCGTATAAAACTGAAGACTATGACAGCAAAAGCGAAACCCTAATCGCAAAACCAATTTTAATACTTTTTCTCGGAAATTAGCCCCAGATCGAATAAAAAATTTTTATTATTAATCACTACTTTATAAAGAAGAAGAGGAAGAAGAAAAAAGAAGAAGTTGAAGAAGACAAATCGCAACGATTAGAAGTGCCTTATTTTAGTCTAATAGTTTTCCTCTATTCCCACGAGATTATCAAATTTTGTTTTTTAAATTCATTTCCGACCGCAAAGGCTGATGTGCGATGGCATGACTTGACGACAATCGCCTTTATTATTATTGTTGTAGTGAAAAAAGTGTAAAAATGCAAGTATCAATGTGAATAAGTGTTAACGAAAGCCCTTATTAGGAACGAAATCTTGATGCCACCTATTGGCAATATAATCGAGATTAAATATCGCGGGCATTTGCTGAAGCAACACGTCACAGTCCTTGGAATAATCGACAGATTGAAGAAGCTGCCCACTTAAATAACATCCTTACTGTCTATTTGAACTTGGAAAACTAATTCTTCATATATATTGATGTAATAAACTGATCGCATTTATTGAAAATGAAGATAATTCCGTTTTATTTGCTAATCTCTGCTCATAACTATCTGTGGTGTAAGACAATGCATATGCTTGCTTTATTGATGATTTAATTTAACATACATGTGTAGGCGTTGAAGTGTACTTCAATCAAACAAGAAAAGGGGGAAAAAAATTTACATTCAAAATATTACATAATCATATTTTTTAGTTGACAAACATAATTTGCTCGTGTACTTAATAGAAATGGAAGTAATATTTTATCATCAACTGACACATCAGCGAACAATTAGCGGTACAATAGCAAAGGCTCGACGCAAATACAGGAGATATTACTCATGGTTTCCCGTTCAGCAGAATTGCCTTTACTCAGAAATGCATAACGTTTATAAGGACGTGCGTAAAAATTATGGTGAAAGCATATTCAAAAGTTACGCCAACGAGCGACACTTAAATGAAGCCATCTTTTGCGATGCGAAAGTCGAAAACTTGGATAATGAAATTTTCATTGATCTTAAGAATACAGACATAAAAGATCGCATGGAAGAGTTCTGTAATTTGCCCACATTCTACTACGAAATTTCTAAAAACTCTACGTGCAAGTTAAATAAATGAAAAATCTTGTTAACAATGAGATACCAAAGAATAAATATATTTATATACATATATCCTTATATATATATACATATATATAGAAATACAAGGCATTTTTATTAATGTAAAATCAATAGTGAAGTATATTGCGGAAGCGTGATTCAAAGTCTCAGCACGAAGTAAACGCGGAATTGCAAGCTAATTGCACGCGAAAGAGTGAAAATTTTCCGATAAAACTTGAAAACTCTCCGATCTCATAATCCGATATCTTCACTTATTCAATATATAGTTCGAGTTTTTTTTTGCTTATCAAACTGGTTATCAAACTTTAGGAACCTGCATAGAAGAGGATCGGAAAATGGGTTCATCACTAAGTGCCCCGCATAATTTCGCTTAATACAATTTCCCATTTATGTTCATGATAAAATACCAAATATTATACCTTGCTTCCTTGTAAGAGCCTATAGGATGGGATCCGAAAGATAAGCTTATTTACTCCCCAAACTTGGTATAGTTAATTTTGTTGTGAAATTACTCCTACAGACCAACTTTCATTATAAAATATTAAAAATTGGGCTTTTCTGCTCTATAACTGCCTATTTTTCGTAGACGTAGTTACATGACAGACCCATCCAATCAGCTCTATACGTTACACGATACCTGAGTGTATCAAATTTCGCAAAACAGTTAATTTGATGCGAATTTTTTGTAAATCGTTACAGCCGCCAAAAATTAAGAAAGGATACTGAAATTTCGCAGAAGCATTCCTCGATCGTTTAGGAAAACGAGGTAAAGAAATTGGTGTGATCTGTTCGCATACATGTCCCCTATATACGCTACGCTACTACAACTAAGACAAACTCGAGACAACGCCGACAAATTTTTAATATTTTCATCTACATCTATATTTTGATATCATGCATATATAGTTTCGAAAAACTCTTAGTCAGATATTTGTCAGAGCCATTTGCATGGTCGGCGCAAAAATGTTCCCGATCGATTCGCTAATGCGTTCACATTTGACAACTAAATAGGCGCATTAGCATTTATATTCCATGTTACGCTCATTGAGTTATTAGATTTATGATCGTTGACTTGATCGGTTTTATTTTCGTTGTCTACGGTTTTTTGACGGATATATAAAAAAGAAATTGTTATTAACCATCTTCTTTTGCATGTAAAATCTATCAATGTGTTGTTTACTTTCCGTACACATATTTTTACACTGATGCCTTACTTTTTATACTCTACACCACTTGTGGTATAGGGTATATTATAATTTTGTTGCGGACACACGTAACATCCAGAAGGGCTTAAGATAAGATGGATCAACCTTTTACTATACCGATAGATTTTAAATCACTTTCTGAATCAGTGTAAGCTTGTTTGTCCGCCCGCCTGTCCGTCTATCCGCCCGTTTGTCTCTGCGATTTTTGTTCATGTATTTTTGTGTTCATTGTTCAAAGACCGCAATTTTGGAGATATTTTGATGATATATAATACGCTGCCATGCTTTGATCTAAGGACGAGCGCTATCGAAAACGGTTCGGAACGGTCCATTTTTCCAAAAAAGTTAACAATTTTCAAAATTTTTTCGACAAAACTCTCAGCATTTTAGTAGTTTCGCAAACTAATTTGATATGAAAAATTTGGTTCGGATAGGGCAATTTTTTGAATCGCCTGCCCTATAACCGTTCCTACGAAAACCGAATGTTTATGCGATAAAGAGATAGAAATTTCAATATTTCATGGTGTATATTGGTTCATAGGAGTAAGTTAATAAAGCTATCAAACTCACCGAATTTGGACCACATGGATCTATTTTTTGGATATCACCAAACGCCAAAAAGACCTAATTAGTAATGATTTATGATGAAAATTTCTTCGTCATATTGATTTGGCATAAAATCTAAGTGGACCAAGTTTGTATTGCTTGTACTCCGCTCCAGATAAAAATTGTCGTGAATAGTAAATCGTTTGTAAAAAAAGTTTTAATTTTTAATATTTTATGATGAAAATTGATCGTTAATGGGAATTTTGCAAAGAAATTACCGGTAGGAATTTGGATCACATAGATCCGTTTTTTAAATCCTAACATATATAAGGGTCATCGTAAAAAGAAAGCCCTTATATGGAAAGAAAGTTTAATTTTTCTAGGAAATAAATTAAATTTGCTGAATTTGGATCAGGTCACGCGTTGTTTTGAGTATTCTCCAATATGCGGGCTTGCATGGAAGGTATGCGTTTGCATCGAAATAATGCATAATTTTTGGTTTATTATATATCAAAAGAAAGTGAATAACGGTATTAGGCAAAGTGATGTTAGATATTTAACGCTCGGCCTTGCCTCGCTATAATGTTCTTAATTGTTTATAATGAAAATAGTTGACGAATTAGGTTAGGCAAGGCCGGGAAAGGCGTTAAATAGGCCACCTTGCCCAATTACAACGTTTTAACCTATACTTTCTCACTTCGAACAATCGGAGCAATTTTTTTGATGAATCTCTTGTTTTGAAAGTGAAAATTGTTTTTTTATCCAATTTAATAGGAACAATGTTAATCTAAAGGCAGAACCGATTTTTTCTTTCCTTTTAAGCATAGAAATTCAATGCAACTTGATTGAATAAAAAGTTCTTCGAAATAAGAAATTTTTTACGTGAATGAAATGAAGTAGAGAACTGTAGCCCTTTACACATGCGCATCATTTTTCAGAAAATTTGAGCTTTTTAAAGTTCTTGCACGACCGAATACACGACTTATGCTTTCTTTTTATAGAACGTAGGCGTTCCCTTTCTTTCTGTGGTTTGAAGTGAACTAACCTTTTAATGTTATGCCACGAAAAAAGAATATAATCAGCACCACATAGGGAAAGATGGCAGTCATGTACACGATTTTACCGCTCGACGTAATACCTTGCACCATACAAATATAAACAAGAAACCAAGAGACAATTAGGGCAATAGCCATATGGTAATTGAAAGTTTCCGGTTCATCAACGTTCTCCGAACATTGCAATGTGGTGCGATACCAATAAAATTGCGTTGGCGATGCCATCTAAATAAAGATAAGTAAATAGATAGTCAGATATGACAGATAAAGTAAATACAAATTATCAATCCATATATACATATATATGTGCTTATGCTTACCACACATTCAGGTTCATGATCATAAGTATAATTGGCATAAAGACGCGTTGGGCAATCAGCCCAGGGCAGTGGAGATTCGAAACTATGCAATAAATATATGAGGCACCAGGCAATTATTGTATTATAATATAACGCCACAATGTAACTGACAACGGCCGATGAGATACCAATGCCACCCAAATAAGGCGACACTTGACTCCAAACACCGATAGCACCCTTACGTAAACGTTGGCCAATAGCCAATTCCAGGTAGAATATAGGTATACCTTGGATGCACAACATAATAAAATATGGCACCAAAAAAGCGCCGCCGCCGTTCTTTTGAGCCAAATAGGGAAAACGCCAAACGTTACCCAAGCCCACGGCATAACTGAAATTATAAATGCAGTGTAAGATGGGATGTAGCTACGTGTATATACGATATTCAGCTTAAATAGTTACCCTATGGTAGCGAGCAGAAACATTATTTTACTATCCCAACTCTCACGTTCGTCACCCTCTTTGTCGCCCTCGACTAAGTCATCGGCTGGTGGTGCACTTTCAATTGCTGCCACCAGATCGGCCACTGCCTTAGTAGTATCCACTTCTTTCGCTTCTTCCAGTTCGGACGATTCGTCGAAGGCGTCCGACATAAACGCCTGATTAGTCGCTCCATACATCGGTGTGTGATGCAGACCATGATGATGCGATCCAGGACGATGACTTCCCGTTGAACTACTTGTACTATGCTCTGACACGAGACGGCCGCGCAATTCCTTCAAATAGATCAAAGCGAAAGATAAGACAACTGCACAAGCGCTTAAGTCCGCATAATTTAAATATAAACTTACTCTCAACTCATGCTGATCAATACTTCTTTGAGTTTTCAATACAATATCTCTTGAGCTTTGTCTGCGCAACAATTGAGCTATTAAAAAAAATTATGGAATATCTTTGAATCACATTAAAAGGGTTGCAAAAGCTAGATAGTCTACGAATAATCACATAAAAACTCAAATAGAACTGCAGGTCTTCTTACAGGACCCCTATGTAATAGGCCGTCCCTTATAGAAACGTGTACGTATATAATTAATGAATGGCCCAAAAGATAGAATAGAACAATGCCGAGAATTCTAAAGATTTCGAGTTAAGTTTAGATTATTTAGTAGCAAGTGTTCTTAATATTGCATTTGATGAATAAATTTGAAATGAAAAACGAAAAGTAGGTAATCGAATCATCTAATGGATGCTAGATAACGCGCGGTATGAATTGCTTGAACGCCAATTCCCATTTAACCAATGTGAGAGTATCTGTATTGGTTAGTAACGCATTACTGTTACTAACGCTGACTGAAGACTGAAAACTACTGTAATAGGTGCCTTTGTTTTTTTTTTTTTTTTTTGTCAGATCGCCACAGTCATAAATATGAAGATCAGAAGGTAAAGTTCAGCACAAACATTCCTTGATTCATTGAGAAACCAAGGCTAGGAAATGATTGTGCTTTGCCCACGTACAAGTCCATAATAGACTAGAAATTTGAATAACTACGAAAAAATAACGACAATTTTTTCATGATTTCATCTATTATCTAACTTTGGATTCTGTGAAAATATTTGGAGAAAAGTTCTACCCAAGTATTCATCGCAACCAGCTGCTTATTTAGCCTGAAAGTGGTGCGAACTGGTTTATTATATTATTACTACATCCGGTTATTACGTGTACAATTGTTAAAATGTACACAATTAACAATAAAATTTGAATTGCAATCCATTTCCGATTTATTTCTAATTGAATGAAGAACGTGCTAATTAGCGTTAGTACAAGATAAATATGCTTGAATAAATTTTTTTTTTTTTTTTTTAATTAAAAAAATAACTTTTTTTGTAAGTAAGCATATATCATTTTTTTCTGCATTTTTATAATTTTTTTTCATTACTTTTCCTCTTTGCCTAATTTTATTAATTTTTAAATTGCAAATTTTATATTGAAACTATTTATTGCACTGTTAATAACTTTAGTATGATATGTTTTCATTGCAATTATGTATCCCATATGGTCTAGTGGCTAGGATATCTGGCTTTCACCCAGAAGGCCCGGGTTCGATTCCCGGTATGGGAACTCTGTCGTGGGTAGATGGTTTCTTTTCATTTTTTTTTTTTTTTTTTTTAAATCTATACCTCGCTTTTTGCTTATTTTAATAAAACTTTTACGACAATTCGCTTATAAAACTAAAAAGATTGATCTCTTTTTCGATATTTTCGTTTCTCAGCGACGAGCTTCAGTGAATTCAACGTTACTATGATTTTTCTTTTTTCTATATCAAGATTGCAATTCGTAAAGCAATGAATTTAATAGCTCGAAGAAATCAAAGAGTTATTTTAGAGAGAGCGTAGTAAGGGAAAAGAAAAAGAAAAAAGCAATCGAATGCTTTTACGAAAAACTTTAAAAACTCTTTATGCCTAAACATATGCTGTATATAACGACCTTTTTTAATTCAAAATTTTTTCAAATCTTTGTCAAAAACATTTGGTCCGTTAGATAATGTTAAGTTTTTGTTTTGCCGACGGCTTTTGTTAATTTGGTCCGTTAGATAATGTTATTCACAGAGTTGAACCCTTCTGGTCTGTTAAGTTGCGCGTTTAACATAGCTGATTGGCGTTAACATTTAAGTTGTTAGTTGGGCACTCAACCGTTTATATATATTTGTTTAAAAATTATGACGGTTTAATTCTAAGCTAACTTGTAAAATAAAAGAAACTAAGAAATTTTATCTGTGCTATCAACTGTGTATCTTTGTTAAACCGATGGTAATTAAACATTCGCTGTAGCACCCTGTATTGCCATTAATTCGTACAGCGCCCTATCGAAATCGTGCTATGTGAAACTTTTTTACTTCTTTATTTAATCTAAAATTTCACATACCGATTAACCTAATTTAAGCGTAGACATAATATAAGTTAAAAAACATATATATGTATATAGGTATATAAACCGAAACCGTGCTTTACAAGTACAGAGTTAAACGCGGGTTACGAATGTATACATACGATTAGTGTAGTCTATCGCACGGAGATTCAAAGCCGCGACCACTCAATTGATAGTCGCGAGTCTCGGTTTCCCTCAGTTATGCGATAGCCCAAAAAAGTAGAAATATTAATGCAAGGCAAGAGCGGCCATAATTCAGTACAATTTTTCATCGATTTTCGTAATAAAATAGGAAAAATTGTATATATTTTCCATATAAATATATTAAGAATTAAAACGAATCAAAAAGATGATTCCGATTCGATGGATTTATTGCGAATAGGCTTTGTATTCATCCTGACAAACTTTTTATATCTCAGTATCATAACTAATGTAGCGTACAAAAATATTACAAATTAATTACTTAATGACATAATAACCGATATGGAAAGTTTTTTATGATTTCGAAAACTCAATGTATTGTGTCTACGAAAAATTCATTTTCGCAATTGCAGCAAATTCTGATTCGAAGTTATCGTAATTTTTTCTTAATTGCTTCTCAAAAAAAGAAAAAACCCATCGCAAACACGTCACAAGACAAGTGCTATAAATGAAAATTTGTGTTTTTACTAAGCAGTACAGTTAAGACCTTAATCGACCACCATTAGCAACTACAGAGATACAAGTATAACCTTCACTGGTTTGCTAAATATTCTTTTTATGATATGGCATCGATGGAATATTTTCATCAGTTTTTATTAAATATAGTCTTTATATATGGCATATATTTATAATAGATTTCGTATACGATAAACACCCTAAAGTGATTGCTCAATATACGGCTTGAGAAGAAGTATAATAAATATATCGCTAATTAGCGATAATTTGTGTATTTAGAATCCGTATAAACAGAGCCGATACTCTTAGCTGGTAATGTTCATTCGACTTGAGTCCTTCAATTTGTTTTTTTTAGTGAACGTTATTTAAATGAATTTTAATACCAACAATAATAATCCAAGTTGTTCGATCTGTTCCATTATCGTTAAGCGTTTAGAAAGTTGGTTAGGCACACTGTCTCTATGGTCCTTATTTCCATAAAAATATCGAGTAAAAAAAATATTCACATACACGTTCGAACGCGTTCGGCTTTCTTTGACTTCAGGAGGCTTTAGAAGAGCCTTATAATCGAGTACAGCTCCTTTTTCTTTTGGACCTTGAAACTGAATTGTAGAAGTAAAGTAAAGTCTTTGACGAAACTGTAAATAATCTTAGGAGCATCGTGATTAAAGTTCTTCTTCTAATGCATTTGTTTCGAATGATTTATTTTGATTTTGGCTTATCAAACTGTCAAGGATATAATGCACGTACAGCTATTTCTCGCCTGAACGTGGGACAGCCGCTGTTACGCGTCTAAGCGTCTCCCGGAACCTAAGGATAATAATAGATCGCTGTTTCCTGGTATAAGAGATAATCATGCACAGCCATCTAAAAGGCATCTATGGCTATTCCTTACTATATTTATCGGTCACGATGGCTTCAAGCAATTACGATCTGGATCAAAATTTATCTCAATACCTATTGCCAAACGCTTCTTCTTCTTCAGCTAATCAATGATCGTAATAGTGACACGAAAATGTAACTTTAACCCATACGAGTGGAATGAGAAAACACTTGTCATTCGTAGTTCCCGAGAATGAGTCGAAAGCCTCATAATTTGTATAAATGGTTAACCTTAACGTGTTGAATCATTCGAATGCCTAAACGATTAAGACGCTAACGAGACATTTTCAATAGTTTTTCAATTCATTTTTTCAAGTATAAAATGAAACAAATAATTTATTTTTTTTTATAAAGGAGAGAGAGAGAGAGAGAGAGATGACTTCACTCACCTGTGTTGGCCATATTTGCAACTTTTTAATGTGTGTGTATGTGTGCGGCGTACGTATGCAAGTATTATTATCTTTTTTCCTTTCTTTTTCTTTTTGTTTTTTTTAATTTTTTTTTTTTTTTTTTTTTTTTGGTAATCAATTATTTATATATAGATATATATTTTGGATTTATATTTCATCAAGAAATGCATGCATATGCAGGAGCAACTTATTCATTAAATTTTCTGTGCTGGTGCATGTTGTGGTTTTGATAAGACGGTGCGATCATTATTGCTTAACTTCCGTATGTGTACAAGAGGTCGTGCAGCCAGTGATATTGTGCAATGCATTCTATATTCACAGTTTGAAAAGTTTTCTTTTTTTTTTAAAAAAGTACAAAAAAAAAAAAAATGAAAAAAATTAAATTTATAATATAATTAAATCAAAGTGAAAGATACTTTTTATTTTCTAATTAATTGCATATATATATATATATATTAATTTTTTATAAATTAACACATACTTAGTTGTTAGCGATACACTCTGGCTATGCAGCATAATGAAAGTTGATAATAAAACTTACTAAGCAATGAAATTTAACATACACATACACATACATATTAATTATTATTATACAATAAATATTCATACGTAAGAACTAATAGGATTACTGATTACTAACTATATACACTTATAACTCAAGATTATCATAATCGTATTTAACAATCAAAGAGATTTGTTTAAAAATGTATGTTTGCTTAAAATTTAATGATAATTAATTCGAATCCTTTCCTTGGATCCTTGGACCTTGGACCTTGAAGTAAATACTTTTCGTAAAATGTTACCAGAAATCGTTTGAATAAATGCTTTTTTAATTTTTTTATTTCAATCACGGGACCTCCCCAATACGAGTAAAATGATAACCGTTAGAAAGTGTTAGGAAAGAGAAAGAGATAATAAATGCGAAGCGGCTGCAGCATGGCTAGTGGATGTGTGCCCAATCGCTGTTTTTACCGACAAAAAAAAAAAAAAAGACTCAATTGCAAACTACTTTTATGCATGGTCTACCGTAGCGAGATTTGAACTCGCGTGCATCAATCTGGTAATCGCAACTCCGGCTTAATCGCTTATGCGATAGCTTATTTGAATATCTTTGCCAGCAAATAAATTTTTTTTATTATTTCACTTACTAACGGCATCGACAATCACAAATTAACGTCAAGATAACGTCAAGCCCATTTACTGAGAAAGAGCAGTCAAAGTGCAAGTGCAATGCACTTTCGTTTTCGTTAGGATTGGATTTATTCTGAAGTAAGCGAGAAAGGAAAAGTCTACAAATTCTATTTGTAATTCATAGGACACGTATCGCTGCCGTAAATGCAATTTCAATAGACAGACATACTTAGCTAATGTCAACTATTCTCGCTAATAATTAAAATACTTTATCTGGTACTGCGCGTACTGCTGCTGATATTTTAAATACAAGAACAATATGAGCTCACTTTTTTTAATGATTGTAAAATTAATCAAGAGATAAATGAATTGAAATAAATAATGCCGAATATGATGGTGCACATGAAGCTTTGCAGTGATTACATGAATAACAAAGAATGGATCGTCAAGATCACAACCGTACTTCTGGAATTATTTTTCTGTATAAATAGAAAACGATTGATAGAATGCCTACCGATATTATAATGAAATAATTTGAAAAATTGAGTCAAAAAAACTATTGAATAAGCATAGCCAAGGAGCAATCCCTTGCCTTGCATTTATTATATATATATTACATTCCCATAATCCCCTAACGAGACGAAAATATTGCAAATTATCAAAGGGAAAAAAAATTTCAAATCTGGTCATATTGTCTTTATACTAATTTTTACCGAATCTAAATTCAGCTGATGCGATATCATTTGTACCAATAACTCTTTTTTTTTTTTTTTTTTTTTTTTAAATTATGAAAATTGTAAAGAATTATCTCACCAAGTAAATGTGGTCTTAAAACACACTATACCGACACATTATAACAATACTGTAAGTAATAAAGAAATTTTACGCATAACTACGGTTTTCGCTTACATTATTCATATATGTTATCTTAAATATATATATATCTGAGTAGTTGTGATATTAAACCGTCTAGAAAATAATAAGCATTAAGCCTTGAACTTTGTAACATATCTCTTATAGGGCCCAATATTTTCTAAACATATTCACGTTATAATCTGGAACCAAGATTTCATCTAAACACGCGAAAAGGAACTACTCATACACTCACACACATGTATTTAATTAACTACACACAACCACACGCATATATATATATATATATATATATATATATAAGAACAGAAAGAGTGGTAGGGAATATAAAATAATGTTCATAAAGCAGAGATACCATCAACTAATTTACTTGTAGAAGTAAAGTAAATAAGTTATGCGCATAAAAGTATGCTAATAAATAATAACAATAACAGCAATACAGATTTAGAAACCTTATATAATAATAATGTCAGTTATCAAATCATACAAACAGATATAAAATGTAATAAATAATTTATTGATATTTCGATCTATCGAAGACACCGCACACATACTTGTTCAATATTTTATTATTTTTTAAGCAATTTTTTTTTTTTTTTTTTTTTTTTTTTTTTAAGAAAAACCAGCCAAAAAAAACGACAATAGTATAATCATAACAATCGAAACACTATAAACTATGAACAAAGATTATATATAATAGACAAAAAAAAAAAAAAAGGACAAAAAGAAATCATATAAAAAGAAACGATATTTAAACTTTGTATTTGTAAGCGAGGTAAAAAATTGTTGAATAGAACGATACGAGTTTCAACGATTAGAATGTTATGTTTACAATTGCTGTATAAAAACACCCACACCTACCACTACGAATTTTTCATCCATTCAAAATAAGGTAGCATCTGGTCTGAAAAAGCAAATTAATCCTGGTTATGTTTAAGGAACAGAGCAATGCGGATGATTGTAAACCCACGCACGCACACACACTTATTTATGTGTCTATGTACATACGTGCAGGTATTCTATACTCTATTTTTATATACGTATGCTATATATATATATATATATATATATATATGTATACATGTTCTGTATATATATATAAACATATGCTATATATTTATATGTATAAACATATATATATATATATATATATATATATATATATATGTATATATGTATGAATGAATAAATGTATGTATGTGTTTATGTATTTGTGGATGAAACGGGCGGAGAGTAACAGAGGCTATGTATATGTTTATGTGGATACGTAAATATATATATATATATATATATATATATATGTACGTGTGGAAATGTCCTGCGAACTTTTGCATAACAGTCCTCTTTTGAAAATTTTCTCTCCTTTTCAAATATTCGATAACTACGATTATATTTCATTGGTTTACACACATACAATTATTATTCTAGTATGAAATCATTCACAAACATTTTTCGAAATTTTAGTCATCACAAATGACACACAATTAAATAATTGCCTTTTTTAAATTAATTTTTTATGTATTTATTACATTATCGACCAAAAGCGTTCTTAGCCTTAACACCGAACCGTTAAAACTGTTGACACATAGCACAAAGTCAAGAGTGACTCTTGTAGTACTAAACTTGAGAAACTTGATACACGTATGCGTAAGTACTAAAACGTATAGTGGGATAATTTTCTATCTTTAGATATACGTACATCAGAAACTAAATATCCTGCGGAGAGTTACAAAAATTATATATAGAGAGCAAATATAAAAGAGAGCGAACGCGAAAAAAGAACAAAAGACTGCGTGGAGCTCACGGAAAATGAAAGTATATGTTATTTATGAATGGCATACAATTTCACGTATAAAAGTAAGTAAGTGAAAGGTAAGTAGTGTTCTTTAAATTATGAAAAAACGAGTAACGATAGATTGCGAATAAATTTTCAAAACATTAACAGTAAAAGTAATTGTTGACATTTTAACTTGACCTTTTTTGTTTTGTACACTCACTGCACTTAGCCCTAGCAATAGATTGGTTCAATAGCAAACTTATTAACGAACAATAATGTACAATATTCTTTTTAATATACATTATTATTATTATTATAGTAATCTACTAAGCATGCAAGTCTTTTGAAATAAATTTATCAAAGCCCTTTAGGTACTTTAAGCACTTAATTTTTAAACAATTTCTCAAATTTGTTTACTTTAATAATCAATGTATGTATTCAAGTATTTCGTATTTCGTGTGTATTTCTGCCTTTTTTTTTTTTTTTTATAAAACTAAGATCAGTCGATTGAAAGCGCTTTCGCTGCCCATTTATTTGTCGTCCTGCTGTCATCAGCGTGCACTGTACACAGTGAGACATTTCTTTCATTTCCTGGAAAATCCATTATAGGATCTTTTTTCTTATTAACGGTATAGTAACATCATCATATAGTCACTGCATAATTATATACTTCGTATATCAATTAAACTTACGTACAATTTAATAGCAGTTAACAGGCAATTAATTATACAAATTGAAATTCATATTGATGTTTATATGATTTTCCTTAACTTTGGACAGATCGATTATCTTGATTATGTATTTTACTAAGAGAAAATTAAAACTCTATCTTGATTTAACTTTAAATTACAACAAGTAAGAAAGCCATATTCGGCTGAGGTTGATGAATCTCTCTTTTGCTGCACTAAAAAGTGTTGGTAAGAAGAATTCATCTACCACGTCGTGACAACCATCATAACTAATTTAGAATTAACGCACACAGCTTTTCGCGTTCTTGCCTCCACGACTAATTGTCCTCCGTGTCGTGACGTTCCCCACAATTCAGTTAAAATTAACACACTTATCTTGTCGCCCTTAACTCTCCAAATCCTTTTATTCGGCGCCCACATCGCCCGTATTATTTAAAAAAAAAAACTTAATCCACCAGATCGTGGTCTCTACCATATTTGTTTTAGCATTAACGTATTTCTAGCCACGTATTCATATCTTTATTTGAACAATATACATTTAAACATTCTGACTTGTTTACCTAATAATTGATAAGCACAAGAAAGAAAAGAAAAATTTAATCACTTGCAATTTTGAGTGGGCACAGCCGATTTTTTTTCCATTTTTGCACATAAATAGTAGAGTTTTTCGTTCGTTCGTTCGTTCGTTCGTTCGTTCGTTCGTTCGTTCATTTGTTCGTTTGTTCGTTTGTTCGTTCGTTTGTTCGTTCGTTCGTTCGTTTCGCGTAATGAGCAAAACCGCCAAATTTTTGTTTAGAAAATCGGATTTGCGTTAACTTAAGATTCGATAGCGGGCTTGCGTTCCGGCCAATCGGGCCCATTTTCATTTCAATAGTATCATGCAAAGACTACTAATGTTTCTAACAAATTTGAAGTCGATATGTTCATTTTTGCGACCAGGAGGTTGCCAACAACGGACGCCACACAGACACGTAGACGGACAGACATGGATCAATCAAGTCAGACTTCATGCTGATTAAACATATGTATACTTTGGTAATAGGGTCTCTGACGTTCCCATTTGGATACAAAAACAAAATTTGCATGAAAATAAATAAACTTTTTGAAATTGATGAATGAAAAAACGAATTTAAAAAAGGTTAACAGGAAACACATGATGGTTAATATTACGGGCCGAGTTAAGCAAACCAAAGAAATGCTTCTTCTTTTTTATATGACCAATCACTCAGGGCATGTCTCTCATTCGCGTAACGCTGAGATGGGACAAGCGAGACAAGCGAGAAAAGTGAAAGACGTAAGAACATAGTGGGCCCAGCCGAGTGGATGTGTGCGCAATAGTGGTAAGTATTATGTCTTTATCAATTGAGCACGCACAACTATGGCTACGGCCAAGGTAAACTCTACCGCACTGAAATTAGAAACCGCGAAAACTGACTTAGCAGTCGCGATTCGGATTGGGACTTCAACTTTTCCGAAGAAATAAAATAAGTCATCAAATTTAAGCACATCTTAGATACCATGGAGAAATGACATAAAGAAACGTTTATAATTAAAAAAAAAAAAAAGAAATCCAGACTTGGAAAGCCAAACAACAATAATGAGTTTGCCATCAAATGCACCAATGCAATGCAATACAGTAAACCATACATGTTAGTGAAATCCTGCACTCATTTCTTCCATTCACGTCCGTTGGCCAGGGATATGCATTCAGTTATTAAATTTTCCCATATGAGTTATCATATTTTGTAAATAATTTTTAGATCAGTTGAAACGCTCATTCTAAATGAAAGGGAGAGATTTTGAACACGATCACTATACCCCAAAATATCGAAGGAATCATAGCGAATTTTATTGTATCCTTCATATGAATGTAGTACTTACAGGAGTTTGGGAAAAGGTCTACATTTACTTCAAATGGCCGACCGAATCGAATTTTTATGAAATTGATTTTTGAGAAATTCATGTAACAAATCGAAACTACTCAGGTTCATCCTTACAATTTCTTGAGCTATCTCATCGGTGGAATGATGTCGCAAAAACTTCACAAGCATCACATCTTGCAAAAAGTTATTGTAGGACATGCTAATAAGAGCTAAGCAATAGACGGTTTTTTTATATTTTTCCCAATACACCTAACACCCTTTGGCCGTCCGACATAAACACAGCGAAGCCTTGCCCTTAAATGTAACGCTTATGATCCGGCAAGAACGTATTACATATATACACATATAAATTTATTTTTCAAAATTTTTATAAGTGACAAGGCTTTAATAAATTGCCTACAGCTAAGAATGCTTTAATAAATTGCTTACAGCTAAAGTGAAATACTCATTATTTGCAATTAGCAAACATCTCTAAATGTCCAGAAAAATAAGTATTTAATGACCAATGTTATTTCAAATTGTGAATTTGTGGCCAGTGCTGTCGAACATTATTTTTGAAATATTAAAATGACGTTTGGTTCGGTGTATTAGAATATTAAGGAACACTTTATTAATTGGAAACGCTTTAGAAACCTTTTGTATACTTCTTTGATTTTTTTCGACTTTTTGATGCGTTCAAATCATCGATTTGTGTAGACTGATGTACATCTTCAAAATCACGTAAGATCTGCTGACTTTGACTTAAATCGAATAATTGATCATTAACAATGCTGTCGTCTTGAAAGTATTTAATAGCTTCGCTGGGTGCTATGGAAGTCATTGGTATGTGTTCAACGGTTTGAGCGTTAAGCCAATTATTCACTTTCGTTTCAGCTTTCATACTTTGATTAGCTGACAAATTCTTCAGTTGTATAGCATCTCCTTCCACTTCCATGTCAACATCCCAAATAGATAACAAGTCTTCTACCAAAGCATCTTTGTAGGAGTGAAGTTGAGTTGATGATTTTTGCCAACGGCCCATATGGAATCGCTTTCTTTTGCCGGAACTGTTAACGCCTTCTTGTCTTAATGCTACTTCGTCTTCATTGTTGGCGTCTATTGTCGTTTCGAAATCATATTTTGATGGATTACTTAAGAATTCGCAACGAAATATTTTACGCATTCCTTAAATAAATAAAGCAATGGGTAAATAAGTAGCTGGACAATGAAAATGTAATCAAATGGAATTAATTCACCTTTTAATTTAACTATATCACTATAATGTAAAGGAATTGATTGAAAACTACAAATATTTTCTGCATATTTGCCCATCATTTCATTGCTAACTTTTGTTGTGCGAGCATCAGTTTCTACCTTGTCACGTTTGATCAGTGTATGAGCGTACACATCACCATTCGAATTTGAAAAAATCAAATATTTACGTTTACAACTATCGTTCGCCCCTAAATCATAAAACTTTAATCCCGTCGTGCAGCATTGAAGACGAGCGTGGAGATTAGCTTCTGGCTGAAGACAATTGCCCTGCAGGCGAGCACTGTTATAAGCCTCCATTAAAGTGGGGGGTTGATATGGCAAACAGAAAGATTTATATATAAATGCAGGTTTTTCGGATGTAGGCGCCAATTCACATATTTCCGAATTAGGCGTGCGCGACATTTCGCAAATGCATAAATCGCCCGAAACGGGAGAAGAAAGTGCTATATATTCCTTATTTTCATCTTTGTATGTTTCCATCATTAGCGGAGCATATTGACACTGATGCGTCCAACGGCAAACGGCGTTTTGCGAATTAACAAGACTACTTGTTTTAAAATTTCTGATATCGAGACAGTGGAGAGCATGATTGGTACACACGTACAATAGATTATCGAAAGCACTGGTTGTTAATGCCGTGATATGATCACAAATACAAGTTCCATTTCGATTGATGTTGACATTGTCCGGCCATTGATCAGACGGAGTACGTAAATCAATTAAACTCAACTGCTTCTCATTAGCATATATGAATGTATTTTCACGCCATGGCTTAATGGTATTCCAAAGCCATCCCGATTTCTGCGATTTTACATCGTACAGTTTTACCAAAAATGGTGCACTTGTCTTTAAATCATATTGACGTAAATGCTGCTTCATGTTGGATATTAGCAATGTATCGACATTTCCCATAGATTGCGCTACACTAATAAACGGCGTGTTTTGGTTTTTAAATAAAGCTAGCGTTTTCGTTTTGGAACAATCGTCCGTAACACCATATATGGAGACAACATTGCGTTGTCTACAGATAAAACGATTTAAATAGGTACTGTTGGTTGAAGGGCTCAGTGACTGGACTTCAAATATTTCAGTATTTTCTTTCAGATCTAACGTGGCCAAGTTTTTCATAGACGCGTCAGAGGTCTTTTCTCTACTTAGTTTGCCAAGATCTATTATACAAATTAGATTAACGTAAAACAAAACTTGAAATTCATTTTGTATCTCTCTTTACTTACTCAACGTATGTAGATTATTGCCCGTAACATGCACTATTTGACGAGTTTGTGGTAAAATGCAGAGATTACCGCCGGTATAATAATAATCATAACTTCCATGAAAATATGGATCAGGATTCAAGAATACTCTCTCGGCCATATCAAAGGCGGAGCAATGGTATATTTCTTCCTTTTCAGCGGCTCTGATTTGTTTTTTATCTAATCAAAGGAATAATATGGTTTTTAAATAGATAAATATAATCGAAAATAAAATCGCTCTCTTATTATTCTTAAGATAAATTTGCGAGCGACAAAACTGTACTGCTAGGGTATCGTACAGATTGCTCCGTTTGGCGCATTAAAAGATATATAATACATTTTTTTATCTTCTACACCATCTGCGGAATAAGGCTATACTAAGTTTGCGTGCATGTATGTAACAACTATACCGACTTGAGGTAGATCCATCTTTTAAAAAAACCATCGATTTAGAATCACTTTCTTGTCTATTAATGAGCCCATCTGTCCGTCTTATTGTCTTGTGCCCCACCCCGGCCGCAATTTTTTCGGACGTGCTTTGTCCCAACGGTGAACCCTATTGAGAATGCTTCAAATTGGACCATATTCCATATAACGTCTCATTTGGAAAAGTAGCAGCTATTTTGGGCAAGTATAGACGGATCACATTTGAGGCCATTAATCAGCGAATTAAGAGCTTTATTATCTGGCGGGTCGATTTATGATGAAAACTGCGAAAAGAACTATCGTTTGTTTCCTAAATATAGAATATATTCCTGGTTCCATTCCTCATTAAGTTGCCTGTAGATAATGTCAAATGCATTATTAAACGTTGATTGCCCACTGGGATCCCGTTGGCGACGCGTAATTTTACTAAATTATCTACAAGTTACAAATGGGTTTTCTCGATTTTCTCACTAAAGGCAGCAGAATATTTCGATCGTTATATTCAACTTACTTTGCACCGCTCTCTGATATGTAGTCCGCGTGGTTAACAGTCGCTTTCTGTAAAAATCACGCGTCATAGATCGTTTATGACATAAGTCGACTGTTTCGCATTGTTTGTTAGCCACATATATGGGATGTGGTGCTGACACTTGGCAACTGGGATATAACGGTAGCACTTCTCGATTATCATGGGGGCACAAGGTTACATTGAATGCAGGAAATGCGCAGTGGCTGGCGCGCCAAATTAAGGATTGGCTATTGTCCACAAGTAGACGGTCTATTTGATCGATTTGTGAACCTTTCAAAATTCTCTTATCGTAATACTCGTCAAGCTCGTCCGAGCTCAAGTCTTTCTCCTCTGTGGCTTTGTCGGCGTCCTATAAACAAAAAATAGTATATGATTTTAATTGCAGAGCTAATAGTATTTTTTACCTTTTCCAATTTTTTTTTATTTCTTTCAATTATCTCGGGTTTAAATATTCGCGTCTTCTCTGCGCGCTTAGGCATTTTGAAATATTTCTAAGGTGAAGCTTTCGATAATCAATAAATTTAAAAGTTTCTCCTAACCCTTTTCTTCTTTCTTATAATTTTTCTTTTTTTTTTGCTTCACAAAACTTATTGATAATCTGCTCGACTGCCAGAGTACTCGTTGAGTAAAAACTCACCAATATTGACAGCGAACTAAAATTAGAAAATTTAGATACAATTTCTGCAATTTGTAATTTATGCAAGCAATAGAGGAATAATGACATATCTTTGAATTAACGATCGTTCGAAGCAAAGCTCATAGTTGAAAAATGAAGAGAATTAGATTGTGTTGGGAAAATCTTTTCAAATGAATAAATTTGCTACTTTTTCTGCTTCTTCTTCTCCATTGAATCTATCTAACAGAAATAAGGATGTTTTCATGTTAGAATTTCATAGCCGAGACATTCGAAGAAGTTAAAAAAATGTTTCTTCATGGCAGAAAAAAGAATTGCAGTCTTAAGATGACAAAAAAGACTGTTGAATCAATAATCCTTTAAAATTTATCAATTGACGCCAAACATAAGCTGAATTATAACTATAAGATTGACGGTGGTGGCCAAAAAGGCGTTCGAATTTTCAGCTTATGGAACATTTTTTATCAACTGCGTGCATTCTCTTCAAAGCAAAATGTAACTCGTACAATACGAAATTTTTTTTTGCGCTCGAAGAATTTCTCAAAACTCGATATTATCCATAATGGGCACAATGAGGCCTCATTTTCGGTTTCGGGAACCACGTTAGCATCTTGTTTTACAGGAAAATGTAAACAAACACATATGACCAAAACATAGAAACAAGAATAAAGAAATCAACATCAAAATCGATTCTAGATTGAGGGTCGTCCAACTTTCAAATGACACATAATGCCACCGCCACTTTAGACACCGTACACTCTAATGTCAACTGTTTGTCCATTAATATTTTATACTCAAGCAGCAGCTCGCAATATATTTTATTATTGTCAATCGTAATCAAATCCTTAACCTTAAGTTAGTTAGTAAAATATTTTCTACCATACGTATGAGGCTGGATGGCATAGTTCGTATTCTGTTATTGTCCTGTTCGTTTTCCCCCGTGATTTCCATTGTGTTCCCATCCTCTTCCATATCCTCTACTAATCTTTCTTCCGTATTTCCTATTAATCTTGCTTTCAATCATCGTCCGTATGCTTTGTTGCCTAATTCTTCTAAAATTTGTCTACTACGTTCGTGTATTTTGTCCGCATTGTCGAAATCTAAAATTTCTTCATCAACACTCAATGTCTGCCTCTGGGTCGTCAGTCTTTCCACCGTCATCGTAAACCCCAACTCCCTAGTGAACCATATCTAATCTATTAAATTTGAAAATTTTCCACTGCTGCTACTATTCAGTCGTTTCAAAAAACTTCTAATTTTTCTAATATTTTGTAAAACTCTCTGTTCTGTCATTAACTGTTCCATTTTCTTCTACAGCCTACCTGCAAGTCGCTTGCATTCTAACATCCAAGACCTACATTTTTTAATACCCCACAATTTTGTTTGTTCCTGCAGCAACTGACTAAAAAGTTCGTTTGGTAATTTTGCCATATATATTAAATTACAATAATAAACCAATATATAATATATAAAAATATATGTAATAATAATAATAATAATAATAATAATAATAATAATAATATAAATAATATATAACCTGGAAATAAAAAATATATACATATATATAAAAAATTTTTTAATCTTTCTATTTATTTCTTAAACACTGTTCAGCTTTATAAGGAACACTTCAGAGCTTTCATCAACCTCTGAAGGTTCCCTTTAAAGCAAGCCATTTAGTCACATTTCTATTAATTGAAGAAATTTCCGCTAATAAATTTAATACTTGTTATATCCACAAAAGCCACAATAGCTACAAACGTCTTACAGCATTATTCGGATGCTTCGGATATGAAACATTAAGGCCTGCCAACTACGTAAGTATGATTGTTTCTATATTATTAACATATTTTCATATAATAGATCAGTATTGTAATATATCTGACATTTAAAAATTTATATTTTAATATACAAACAATTATTACAACGTTGTACGGGATTTTGCAACAGCCGACTTTGGGCGACTTACGCCACATGTACTAGGCTTCACCGCAAATTTGAATGCCAAAATGCAATGCTGCCTAGTTAAGCTAACAGCTGATGTATATTTGTAAATGCCGATGAGGTGCATAATTGTTTTTTTTTATATATTAAATTCGTATTTTTTTAAAATAAAAATACCAAAGAATGCGTCTATTTAATCTTAGTTCTCGATTAAATAAGGTGCGCATAGGAATTGACCAAGCATTCACTTTCCCGGAACGTTTTAAAGGCACCATTGTAGAAAAATGGGCCAACTATTGGAAAGGATTATTCAGTGATTATACCGAGGTTGCAGTAGGAATTTTTAGAGAAGCTAAAGATAATCCGAAGAAAAGCTTGTTGTATGCATTAACCAGTTATGGTTTGTACGCTTGCGCTAGGAAAAATCCAGACGAAGAGGCCTTCTTAAGGCAATTTCGTACATCTTACAACGAAATGATTTTAGTCTCATCTGAATTACAAAATCCCGCATCGGAAGATTACATAAGACGACTGCAAGTGGATTTAAATCAAAATCGTTTAAGATTTTTATCACTGTGGCTTTTTACAATAGTGTGGGAAGACCTATATGATAAAGATGACTGCACGTATCCGGCCATCTGCGAATATACTAAGGTTACTTATTGGAGCTTTCATGAACAAATTATTGATATCGGGTTTTGGAATAAATTTTGGCGTCTAAATTGGAAATTAATAAATTATGATGTCAATTATCTGTAATTATGTTTCTTTTTTTATTATTAATATACTAAAATGTTTATGAAGCCCGAGCTACAGACTTCTCTGGTTGAAAGTATTCATCCAACAAAGCCTCACATTCCGGTATTTCTTTCACGTTGTTAATTTTTCCTTGGAAATTGCCATCTTTACCACTACCTTTGCCTTCGAGAATTTTCAAAAATTTTGTGGAAAAGTGATCTACAAGATTCGGTTGTCCTCTTAACACCATGTGACCTTTAGTAGGGCTATTACCAACTGGCGCTTCAGACACAGTAAGAAAATATAAACCAATTTCCTCAGGTGCATGTCTTAAGAAAGTGTTAATAAATTCAACTTCTATGCCATCTTTACGATGCAAAGAAAAATATTTTGGCAAAGGTCTAGGCATGGCTTCTAACTTCTCTGCCTCTATGATGGCCAAATCTTTAAGAATTTTTTGAAACGATTTTCGTGTGGCCTTTAGGTTATTTTGCAATTTTTGCAACAAGTCCAAGTGTTGAGTGGGACCTCCTCTAATAAATTACAAAACAAAAAACATTGCTTTTCATAAAATAATACGCATATGCAAATAATTGATTAACTAACTTGAACGCTAGATTTAATTGCTGCTCGCGTTGAAAGCAATCACCCAAACGTTTAATAACACGTAGGCCGGCGACAAAATAAACATTAATGCCAGTTTTTGTTTTCTCCGCAAACAAAAGTTTAATGGCTTGCAACTGTGATAAATTAGAGACATGAGTACCGCAACACATATTATCCCGCTGACCATCTATGCGTATCACACGCACCGGCCCTTCGACATCTTTAGGCAGATTACGCGCTCTAACTCCATCCATCTAAAATTACGAAAGCAGAATATCCTAATATATTGCATATAAAATAACACATATGTTCATTACCTCTGCTGATGCTGGATCTATAAGAACCACTTTTACCTCTTTCCCCTCTATAATTATATCATTAGCCTTACTTTCAATTAAGTCTAAAGATTCGCGACTTAATAAGTGCTTGGTATTCAATTCAATATAACACATCTCGGAACCCAACCACCATGAATTGGTTTCATAGTTGAATTCCGAATCGAAGAGTTCGGTAATCAAATGTTGTCCCGAGTGTTGTTGCATATGATCTAGACGACGTTGCCAGTCAAGTCGCTGTTGCACTTGTGTACCCTCCTCAAAACTTTTACTTGATTCTACAAAGTGGACAGCTTCTGAGCCTCTTCGTGCCACACTACGGACTGGCTCCCCATTTATGGTTCCATAATCACAAGGTTGCCCTCCACCCTCAGGAAACAAAATTGTATCTTCTAAAATCACATTAAAGCCAGTTAGCTCTTGTGATTCCGTTATGCCGGGAGGACACCATTGAAGTGAAGCTGGCTCACAATTTACGACTTTGGTTGTAAACTTGATAAAAGAATATCCGGTATATCCATTAATCATGCTTGCACATTTCTATAACTTCACTTACCTGCTTTAGAAAGCTATCTTCCTGGCACTTGAAAACCATTATCGCTTTCTTAATATTGCAATTAAATGTGGTTACGCAAATTAATAGCAAATAATTGGCAAAAATTCAAGAATTTTTCTTTTTCCTGTTAAAAAACAAATCGAAGTAATCGTTCAAAGCCAATTCTGCCAAGTTTTTGTTTGAAGTTTCAAAATATATAAAACAATATAAATAAAAACACATCGCATTTTTTTTTTTTTTTTTATAAAGATTTATTTAATTTGCATTAACTTTTTTCCAAACATGGAAAAAAAATACCCGAAGGATTGCGCGTTGATACCATCTGAAGTCGAGTATCCAGAAGAGCCGCCTGATTGTGTTTTTTGTTGGAAGGTCCGTCAAATAATACCACAACAGAAAGTGCGCCTTCTTAATCCTCAGTACTGCTGGCTTTATCCAAAATACGAACGCCGGCTATTAAAAAAAATTGAGCCAAATTTCGATCACTGCAAAACTTTGTATACGAAATGCGATTATCGTTTGGAACAATGCGCTTATTATATAATAATTCAATTAGAGGATCAATTTCGGGCGCACGACGAGTTGGTTAAAAAGGAAATGAAGCTGCAAGACGAACTGTTGGATGATATGTGGTTGCAATCTCAGAGGTTTATGTTATTAACTGGGTAAAATGTGAAATTTTTAAGAAAAAGAGGAAAATTAATTATTTTATATCGATTGATCTTATTAGTCAAGGCGTTTGCGTTAAACCTTATCCGGAAATCATTTCGAAGAATACTGAGAAGAGAGCTCTCTGCAAGTTCCATCGTGAACTACGACTTGTTCATGAATCCAAGTTAGTATCTGAATTCATCTAACCACGGGGAACACGATTTAAACTTTTCAATTAGTTGTTTGATAGGATCCTCAATGGCAGAAATACGAGTTTCGTTCACTGAATTAACGCGACGATGTGCTCAACTAGATATGACTGTAGAAAGCCCGCTCATAAAAGGAGCTTGGTATATGCAATCTTTAAAATATGTAAGAAATTTATTGGACGATTTATTTCAATACTTCTATCAACATATATGCAAATTAAAATGTTGGGCTCAACTTTTGGACCCCGGTGACCCCGAGGCTATTGAAGATTACATGGCCTTGATTAAGACGTTCGAGAATAATGGAAATAATTTAATGCAGTACTTTGATAAGTGCCTGTGTATGCGCACAAAGCGCAAGGAGTGCCTTAAGCCTCACGAACCGTGTTAAAGGGATATAAATCGCTTATCAGAATCGCGTATAACATATATTTCGAATTTCAATGAAGCATAAATTCGACTTCGTAGCTATGTGGCAATTTTCTAAAAACCCACATAAATTTGAAAACTTTATAAAAATTATTTTGTGGGAGAGAGAGAGAGAGAGAGAGAGAGAAAAAGTTGGAGAAATTAAATCGTGCAGTTACATTTTTGGAAATATTTTTGAAGATCACTTCCATTTCCCTTGTATCAACATAATTCGTGGAACTTTCGTTTTGATCCTAGAGAATATATTTACAATTTAATAATAATTGTTGCGGGTGGCATTATTTTTTCCATAGCACCACGAGCCTATCTAAATTCTTATTTAAGATATCGTCGGAACTTTATGCACCTGCTGAAGTATGCTTTTATACCAAAATGAAAAGTTTTTGTCAATTGTGGCTATACTGCACTACCAAAGGCCATCATCTGCCCGATGGATTTAATCAAATTTTATGCATATATTTTAGAATATTTTGTTTTACGTCTTTTTTGCCTTATTTTTCATCGTTTTACTGCCTTTGAAGTAACACCTGTTGCTGCACAAAGTGAAAAGCAAGACTGGAAGCATCATCTCAGAGCCCTGACATAAATCCAAGAGAAAATCTGTCGGATTATCGCAACAAAAAGGTTCAGGAGCGCACGGTTCCCAGCAAAACAGGAATGCGGAAAAATACCAGCTGACTTGCAACTATTTAATCGAATCCATACCAAGCAGACTCAAAACAATGAGCTGCATAAAAAGTATCTATTTTCCATTAATTGACGCTTTTTTAAATTTAATTAAAACAACAATAAATCAAATTTTGCTTCCCGTTTTTTATAGTTATGTAAATGTACAATGAAAACTAACTACATAAATTTTTGTATTAATTCCCTTTCGATAGATTTGCCAATACCGCGTCCCAGTTTGGCTTGGATTATATTATGGATGTAATATACACAGGTTATAAAGCCTGTCCTTTTGGGAAAATTCATAAAACATAGTTTCTGTCCGCTTCTCCGTGTAGGCAAAGAACACTTTAAAGTCTTACGGTTCTTATGTTTGAATATGTACAATATTTTATTATGGGAAAAGTGTCGACTAATAACTCAATGGTCGATCGGAACCTCAAGTGCGGTAGACTTTTTAATTAAAGCCGATAGCCTGAAAATGCTAGTGCTTTAAAACTTTATTCATAGAATTTATTCTCGGGCCAAATTTATAATAATTTTACGGAAATAATTTTCCTTTTTTGTAATAAGCTATTGCGTCTTGATTAAGTTGAAAAAATATATTTTCAAAATTTAATTTTCACTTTTTAAACTATCACATGACATATTTTCCTGCAACTGCTTCATATTTATTCTTTGATTTTCTTTTAGTTTTTGAATAAACCTGGCAGCTCTATTATAGCTTGAAAGTCTTCGGAAGCAAAGTAGGCTCCGTTCATATTTCAAAATATATTAGTCCCCAATACAATTTTTGTTTTTGCGATATAATTAATAATTTAAGGAGAGGGCGTTTAGACCATATGTCTTTAGCAGAGAGTGCAAGCGATCGATCGGTTCAGCATTATGAACTTGAGAAAAAAATCCTTAATCAATTGCTGCTGCTGGAGAATGAATTCCGTTCTCACTATCATTTCGCGAAAAAGGAACTCGCTCAGCAAATAGAATGGATTAATCGGTTATGGGTGATATCGCAAAGATATATGCATCTAACAAGGTAAATGTGATTTTGTTTCACTTTTTTCATTCATAAAATTTAATTGAAAATATTGAATTTTGAAGCACTGGACTTTGCTGCAAACATCCACAAATTTATACATCACCGATAGAAGAATCTATGCTCCAAGAAATGGCAGAAAAAATCAAGGCTATAAAAAATTCAAAGTAAGATACCGAAAAAGTTTTGACTTAAATTTAAGAATTATTTTCTTTCCAGCTGCCGCATATATACGTCAGTTAAAGAATTGAGAGAGTTTTGCACCATTTTTGAAGAATTATGTTCTCAATTAGATATGGCAGTAGAAAGTCCTTTCATAATAGGAGATTCATCTCACAAACCGTTAGCTTTCTTCATAGAGTTGGTTAGCGATTTATTTAAATACTTGCATGCATCTATCCTGCGTCAGAGGTACTCAGTGCATTTGATTGAACCTTCCGATTGCGAAACTGTAGCCAAATATAAAGCAGTGATTGAACCTTCAGAGGATTTCGAAGAGTACATGTCTGTAGGCCTCACATATTGCAGGTGCCTTATACCGAAACGAATATGTTAATTAATATACTGAACTGACATCCTGCACACAGTTCGAATATTCCATGTTTTATTTTTGATCAAATAAATTGATATATTCTATGTCAAACTGATCGTGTTGAAAATTTTAATATTTTCGATGTTTATTTATTTAATATTACAAAATTCGAAGTAAGATTACCGTTCAATGTACAGATTAACAATATTTATTTTTTGCCAGTAGTTGCTGCAAAAAAAACTATTTCTATACATTTTGCTTTTGTACATGTATTTACTTTTTAAATACAACATAGTAGACATTTTTAAAGAAAATAAATCTTTAAATACTTAATTTCCTAACGTAGTCTTCTTGCTTCGCGCTCGGACTCTAGCAAAGTTAAAATATCACCTTCCCGCACAGGTCCTTTCACATTGCGAATAATTTGCCGGTTCTGTTCACCAATAAATTCGACTTTTACTTGGGTACATTGACCTTGGGAACCAGTACGACCCAATACTTTAATGACACGAGCGCAAACAACTGGCTTATCCATTATTCTCTAACAAATCTTATTACTTTAAATAAAATTATTCACGTGCGATATAACTCAGTTGAATGCCGGATGTAAAAGAGATAAATGTCTGTCAATCCATTAAAACAAGTGTTTAACACAGGGCGACATTTATTTTAATAATTTTTACAGACTAGTTTTTTCCACGTATTACTTTAACAAGTTATAAGCAATTGGTGTATATTATATCTTTAAAATAATCAATAATTTTTTAAGCAAATAATTTACTCTGAAACAAAGAAAATAAATTTAGTTAATAGTAATCATTTGATGTGTTAATAAAATGTTATATTTTCAAATACTGGTAACTTTGCTAACGAAAAGTGACAGCAATGACACGTATTAATACAATTGCATTTCGGCAAAAACATAACAAAGTAACTTCGTTTTTGTTTTCTCTTTGCGTTCGGTTTCATACGTTTTTCTGATTTCGCTGGTTAACAACGTTTCAATTAGGTTATCTTTCTTCTCACATAAAAGTTAAAAAAATATAAAACTTTTCGATAAATCTTCAAATAAATCGACAAAAATGAAAGATCATTTGGTGATATTTCTGCTAATATTGCCCACAATTATTTGTACATTCAATACCCGTAAGTTTCAATTGAATAATTGAGTAGTAAGTTAGCGATATCTGTGGCCAACGCGGCAATAATTCTTAACTTTATATATATTATTTCTGATCGAATATTATTTCAAATTTGAGTTTTGTTAGATTTATACAAGTTCGTGTTATTTTTGTTAGATAACAAATTGTTTGTTTATGCCGAGGATGAGGCGATCGAAGACGATATCGTGGAAGTAGAGGTTGAAGATGGAGCGGTCACAGGCGATGATGCAGATGCGGATGATGATACCGAGAGTTTATCGTCGTCATCTCCATATGCAGACACATTCTTACTCTTTACTAAGCCCACTTATAAACCTGGCCAGCAATTGGATTTGCCGGGCGGAAAACCAGTTGAATTCTTAATAGGCTTCACGAATAAGGGAACAAATGAATTTATCATTGAAACGGTAGAGGCTTCCTTTCGCTATCCGATGGATTTTAATTATCATATACAGAATTTCTCGGCTGTGGCGTACAATCGCGAAGTAAAACCTGGTCTGGAAGCTACAGTCTCTTATTCATTTATGCCATCCGATCAATTTGCTGGTCGTCCGTTCGGTTTAAACATTGCCTTAAATTATCGAGATGGCAATGGTGTGCAGTATAGTGAAGCAGTTTTTAATGAGACTGTCCTAATTTCCGAGGTAGACGAAGGACTCGATGGGGAGACCTTCTTTTTGTACGTTTTGCTGGCTGGTATTGTAGTGTTGTTATTGGTTATTGGCCAACAGTATCTATTGGGCTCTTCAGGCAAGCGTAAACGAGCGGCAGCAAAAAAAATTATTGAGACTGGTACAACTAACGATAGCACAATCGATTATGAATGGCTGCCCCAAGAGACACTGCGTGCCTTACGTAAGATATTCTGCGAATATTTAAAGAAAGGAAAAGAAATTGTAATTTTTTTTTACTTACAGAGAAATCTTCACCTAAAAACAAAATTTCAAAAATCTCACCCAAACCGATTAAACCAAGCAGTCCTAAGCAAAGTCAAAGTCCCAAACAAAAGAAGACTGTCAAGCAGCAATAATTTTCTTAAAATTTGCCACGCCATCACTTTTTACAACAATTCATCAAATTTTTTTCGGATGGCAGCGACACTTGCTCCTATTGCCTTTTTCGAGAAATTCTCTAAAATAACATTAAATAAGAATATGACATTGATTAGCGTTCATATAGTGAAAGGAGCTTGCAAAGAGTTTGTTGATTAGTTGCTGCTGATTACATTGCTTTAGTTTTTGATGCATTATTTTTGTTTTTATAATCTTCGTTTACAGAAGATACGCCAATGGTTAAAAGGTTTAAGTTTATAGCGGGATCACAATATTTGCAGGCAATTGTAATCGCGGAAATGTTTTCCATTAATTAAACGAAAGTGATTTTTATATGTTTTAATTTAAAGTAAAGCGGTAACATTTGACTTGTATCGATTTAGCTCCTGATATTCTTTAAAATCTAATTAATGTATTTAATTTAATAATAAAAGATTTTATAAAAACAAAATAACTTAAAAAGAAAAGACTACTCATACCATTTCAGTCTTTTTAAGTTAATATAAAAATTTAAGTAAATAAAAAAATGGAAAAAATTTGAATTATAAATCAAAAGTTGACATTTTTCGTGAAAGCAACTTTCCACCTCGCCTTGGCTAAGAAGGGGCATCACGATAAAGTTTTCAACGTTTTCGTTGGCTGATAAACTTGTTATATAACTATTGTTTTTATATGTAAAGCGAAAAGGATCCGTAGCATTAATTGCTTCCTTCCATAATTTAAGCTATAGCCCTTCTGTTATAAAGGTATATGGATCAAAATTGCAGCATTTTGTTTTTGTTTTGGTAAAAATGCAGATAATCGAGACTAGTGCACTAGCTTAATGTATATACATATATAAATGTTAATATAAGGCATATTGAAAATGCAGCAAGCAAATTAGGTAACTCGACTTTTGCAAATAAAAACATTTATATGAGTGGGTGTGGTTATGTTTTTTAGCTGTGGGAAACAATAGCCATCTTATAACAAGAAAATCCGTAAATGCCCACTAATCGAATTTCTTTCACGTCTGGGCGCAAACAATGAAGTTTATAGAGTCCCGGAATAGATTGCACACTCTTGAGCCAGCAAGGTATTCAGAGTCGCGATTAAGTCTTATCTGCCGATTGCCCGTCCATAATTTTTTATTAAAACTCCGGCATATATAGTTTTAGCTGGCATTGCATCAAGCAGAACCCCTGTCTTTCAAGTTGCGAACCATACCTACCTTTCTTAGTCCGTTCTAATTGTGTTAATAAACAACGATAAATTTTATTTGCAAATGCTTTGCTGGAATAACTTACTTGCTTGCTGCATAGACGCAATATTTCTTATATTGGTATTAATGTCGAAATAATTAAAGGATTCATTCATTGCTTAGTTATATTTTGTTTTGATGGACATTTATTGTTCAATGTTATTGTTGAATTTGAAAAAAAAATATGTTATATATTGTGACGAAAATAGTATCCTGCAGTGGAAGTATAACGCAGAGAGCTGTACGTAATCGCAACAATTAATCAAGTATCGGAAACATCGGGGACATAACGCATAACGCACGTTTCCTATCAGAAGATTGGTCAACTTTCCTATAACACTGAATGCTCACCTCAAACTAAAGTTGTCTTACATTCTTAAGGACTTGAACATCAAGTACACCAGTAGGATGTATTATGTGTCAACTTTCCAGTAGAATATTTCTTTCATAACATGTATCCAAATGCGGGTGCTACCTACGAACACAAAATTGTCGAATTGTGGAAGTTCAGCGCGTATCCTAGCTCATAAATGAAAACATATTCCTTTAGCTCTAATTCAGATTAAACAAGTGAGAAAGAATCTTGCATACCCACTACTATGTTTTTCACATTCTGCTTTTATTTGATACGCATATCACTGGTATTATCAAAAAAAAAAACAAAAAGTAATTGCGGTGTCTGCCATATTAATTTTAAAATGAACCCACTTTTAGGCCGACAATATATCCTCATTTGAGGAGTGTACAAAATCATTTTAAACACTTTGTCTTATTTGCCTTATAGCAAATAAGCAGAAAAACCTCAAAAAGTAAAAAAAAAAAATAAATAAAATTTAATTACTTTTAACTTTGTGTGAGCATGGCGAATGTTTTCCATATTTGCACGTAACGTAAATGCGGTCAACTTCTAACTTTTAGATATTCCGAGTAACGAGCAAAAATCCCAAAATCTTTGTTAAAAAAATGCGGAGTTGCGTTCACTTTACGCTCCACTGTGCGCTTCTGTTCCGACCGATTTGGCCTATTTTTGAATATCAATTTGCGTGCAGAAGCTTCCAATGTTTCTACTAAATTTGGAGTCAATAGCGCCATTTTTGCGACCAGGATAGTGCCAACAACACATACCACACAGACGGACAAACATGGCTAAATCAAGTCAGAATTTCTTGTTAATCAAGAATAGGATCACTGAAGTTTCCTACATTGTTGAAAAAGCAAAATGAGTACATCTTACAATGGTGCGTATAAAAAACTTGAAATGCTTTCATGTATTTGTATTTACCCTTTCGACACGTGACGAATATATGTTTCCCTACAGAAAGCTGATTGTCAATGAAAGCCGTCTGTTTAATGATTTAGTTACTTTCGGGCTCTCGAATTTTTTTTTTTTTTTTTTTTTACAATGCGCAAGCGTTTATGGTCCATGATAATTTAAGTGCGAGATTACGAAGATTACTTGGCTTTCATGTCAACACTTTTTTATCATAAAATTTATACTAAGCTCTTAAGAATTAAGTTTTACGAAAATGCTGGAAAATTATACTAAAATTTTTATCAATTCTGAATGAAATCATTCTGTTCATGTTATTTTTTTAGCTTGGAATGGTTTTGCATTTTTTTTTTTTTTTTTTTTTTTTTTTTTAATTTAATAAATTATGAAAATTTTTATTTGTATTAGACATATATATATATATATTATGATTACATAATGAATATTATTGTTTAATTGATGGCTCTATTAAATTCGTTTATCATTTTTGTAACATATTTTTCTTCCTCTTCGATTTCTTCTTTCAATAAAGCTCGCAACTGCTGTAAATTGGGCATTGACTTGCAATTGCGAACGTTTAGTAATGTCTTAAATATTGTTTCCCAAAGTCTTTTATTGTGATAGCGGGGTATACGGGTTTTATGCATCCAGATACCATCCGAATTCTTTTCAATATCCATATATTTGCCGTAAAGTAGTACATGTATAACTCCAGCCAAACCATACAAATCCAATTGATATGTCCATGGTCGTCCTTCGCGCATTTCCACACAATTAAATGCTTTGTCGTTATGAACGTAGGAAAACGTTTGCCCTTCTTTGAAAAGTTTCATATCGATAGAAACACCAAAATCGATTAATTGTAGCATTCTATGAGTAACAGGATAACATAACCTACAAGAATAATTATTTTCTTTACATTAAAACAAATAAGAAAATAAAAAAAATAAATAAATAAAATTCAAAACTCAAATTAAGTATTTTGTGCAGATGTGCGACAAGAGTTAACGTGTGCTCCTGCCGTGGAGGCTTAACGATACGATGCTCGATGGCGTATGGAGTGAGAGAGCGTCACTTACGCCCCACAGGGCGCAGTAAAGGAGCAGTTTCAGATTAAGGGCATGTGTCTGGCGTGTCCTTCTCTCTGACGGGGCACGGTCTGTCTAACACATTTTGTTCAATTGGTTTTTTTTTTTTTTCTTTTTTTTTTTTTTTAATGCATCTACCGTGTACTAAAAAATTGATGAATTTATGTAAAAATACGAGTTCTTCAGAATCTTTGATCTTGATCAGATATTTATTCATCTAAAAAAAAAAGAAAAAAAACAACTTTCAAAATGATCTATCACTTGGATAATAGAGGACAATCTTTATAGATGGGTTGAACCCAATCAATATGGACGAAACAATTTGTGAAAAGACATAAAAGCCTTTCCCTGCGCGAAAGCCGATGACAAATGCTGTCTTAGCAACAGCGCAAAAAGAATTAACGGGATCGTCATATATATTAACATATTTTAGTTGTTATTAGTTCGAACTTAAATATACTTCCAGATTTCACTAAACACAGATATCACTGCTAAAAATTAATCTACAAAGTCAAACGATCGCGTAAGTTCGAATGCAATAACGGAAAATGGCTTTAAATTGCATTCTTTTGCATTGACCTGCATCGAGGAAGAAAAAATTTCGAAACAGTAGCTTCTACTTTACTAGAAAAGCTAAAAAGAGATTTCCATTTTATTTTTACAATTATCGTAACTAACTATTCCATTACAATTATGATGACTTACTTGTTCATTAGCAGAATATTATCGGCTTTTATATCGGCGTGAATTATGTTAGCGGCATGTAAATGATCGATTATTTCCAGTAATTCAGTGGCCAATAACATGACCACATATTCATCCATATTTTTTGTGGTCGATTTTTTGATTTTATTGCAAACAGCTATTAGTGAGCCATACTGGGAGAAATCTGATATTAATATGCTCGAATTATTACCAATTAACGCGTAATCAATAGCCATATACGCTGGATACTAGAAATATCGAAGAAATATATAATGATGATGATGATTAGAAGGATGAATTAATTTCTAATCGATTTCATTTCCATATACCATTTCATCGAATACGCGATCCTGTATTTCCAAGCAAATATAATATTCCCAAAGGTTTGGCGGTCGTTCCTGTTTTAAAGCGCACAGCTGGCCAGTGTTTAAATTTTTACCACTTTAAAAAATGAACGACAGTAAACTACTAAAGATTATGTAATGATTGATAAAGTATTCTTTCTGGTACAAAAAAAAAAAAAAAAAAAAAAAAACCCAAACAAAACGCGAGCACAGCATTAATAAAATCTTCTTTTTATTTATTTTTTTTTTTTAAGTGTTCGATGCTAATCCGAAAGACAGTTTTCCTTCAAACATTACAAAGGCTCGTACTTTGCTCGTACTTTGTGTTTCATCATATTGTAAGAGTAAAATATTAAGAAACATTAGTTTCGAAATAATAAGTAATCAATCATCTAAAGCATAAAATTGATTGATTAGTTGGTGAAAAGAGCCTTAAATTTTATGCTTTTTTTTTTTTTTTTTTTAAAATTAATAGAAAGGTCGTCCGTGTACTTACCAATATATTGCACCGTAGGCACCTGAATTAATGAATTTATTAACCTCAAAGTTAATGTTACCGATGGTGATAATATGTTTTGGAATTAGGCGTGGAATTTTCGCCATTAACGTACATGTTTGCAGACCTTGAATATATTGAGTGAACGTGACCTGTTCAAGATGGGCTTTGATTAAATCAATACTGAAAGGATTTACATCTGAGCTATTATCAGTGAACTGTTGATCAGATATATTATCAGTCGCATCGTGAATGTACTTGTTATTTTCGGGTGTTTTGGTATCATTATCCTCCCAAAGATGTGTAATGACTTTTGGAGATTTAGGTGTTTCTCTATAATATATACTCATTTCGTCATCATACGTCTCATTATCCCCGAATGATTTGTCTATTGTTTCGCATTTGTTTATTTTAATATTCCCTAAGCTCAGATAGGAGTTTTTCTTTTCTCTAACATTATCGTCGCTAGTGTTGGATCGTTCCGGTCGTTGTGTGTTCGAAAAAGCATTGACAGAAGAATCTGTCGCACTATGTGAAATGTTGTGCTCTTTAGTAGTTCGTTCAATTTTTGATAAATTTTGATTTACACAATCATTTTTCTGTTGCTGATAGGGCTTATCCTCTATTATTGAAAAGTCCGGCATAGAGGTATCCTTCAGCTCAGCGTGCACTTTAGACGTATGCGCCATACCTTTTGATTTTGTGCCAGAGCAATAAAAAGCCGCTGAAGGCACTTCATCTTCGAACAATACATTTTCTTTATTCTCATGCGTTTTTAACTCTAAATCGAAGAACTTTTCAATATCAGATTTGCATAATGATATTTTTTGTTTTGGAGGTATATCGGTGAAGACTTCAAATAAATCTTTTCGATAATGATCGTTTTCATTCGGCATTGCCGATTTTATTTCTTTCTTTTTCAAAACCGGTTTAGTAGACATATCAAATATGTCATCATCATTGAATTTGCATGGTGTAGGAGGGGCTAAGAAGAAGTTCGAAAAGTCTTCAGATTCATCTGTTTGAAATTTGCTTGGCTTTTGCGGGAACACTAATATATCGGGTATTGTTTCAGTCTTCTCTTCCTGAAATTTGCCACCACCTAATCGAGAAGTGAGCAATACGTTTGTAGCAGTCTCGGTTTTTTCTTCCTGAAAACGTATAGACGGCATTTTAAGAGAGAGACATTCTGCAGTTGGTTCTTTCCCTTCCACGCATGAAAGATTTACAACTGCATTTTTTTCGCCTATGGCGTCGTCTTCATAAATAGAAAAGTTGGAAGCTGAAACTGGGTTTGCATTAGTTTTAGACATAGCTCGAAGTTCAAGTGGTTCAGCAGAAACGTTTTTGCTCGCGATATTTTCTTCCTTCGAATTGGATTTCATATTCTCTTTACAGGGCGATTCCGTCTTTTGAACTAATTGCTCTTTTTGCGTTTTTTGAGTGGAGGAAGAAGTATTTTGCAATTCAACTCCGTACTCTGCAGAACTTATTGTGGATTTGGTGGAGCCCGATCCTTGCTCCGAAGTTTCTAGGATCGTTGATAATTGTTTACAAAACGGTGAAACGCCTTCATGCATATCTAGAGGGGCATTAAGAAGAACGACACGTTCTTGACTTTCCATGCATGGTTGTAATAATCGCCTATCAGTTGGCGATACAGTCTCTTTAAGAATAGTTCCAAATTGCCTGTGAGAAGTGGTCTTACATGGAGGCTTAGGCGTACTAACTAACTGAGCCTTCAGAAACAGATTAAACGTTTGAGTTGAACAACTTTCGTCCGCATCAAGAAATCCTTCTGAGGGGCAGTCGGTCTTGCAATTAATAGCTTTGGTATTTGGCCTCGTTACCGTGTCTTCGAAAATATCAAAACACGGTGCGTGTTGTTTTACTTCCTTAATATGGGGTACTGCAGGAGGGTTAAATTTGAAGCTATTTTCAAATGGTGCAGCCGAGTTTATTTTGCTTTCGATGCAATCGTCCGGCTCTGCAGATTGATTTTTAGCAGCGCCTTCTGTTTGTAGCGAAGCGTCTGGAACTATGTTTCGTTTTGATGTATTAACTGTAGTTTGTGTAGTTACCGTTATGTCGCCATAATCGTATACTGGTGATCCGCTTAATTTTGTTTGAACTGCTGCTAAGACACTGGGCGCCATCGATTTTCGTGCAGGGAGGAAGCTTTTACGTCTTATTTTCGCAGTGTTATGGTCAAAAATTGTTTCCTCCATATCGGTTGGGACCACAATTGTTTCGTTGCGTTTAATTTTTTTGGCGTAGAGCTCTGCAAACTCATATTCTTGCTTTGCAATTGGATCATAGATTTCATCATAATTGAGTACTAAATTATTTTCTTTTGGAGGTACATAAGTCTCGTTAGGCGTTTGTCGTATTGATTGTTTCGCAAAATGTGGATATTGACGTACATTAAAATTGGGCCCGTTACGCCAATATATATCTCTTTTTTTTGTGAAATTATTTTCAATATTTCGTAGCTTAAAATTGCTATAGGCCTTAAGTTCTTCTAATTGAAACTCAACATTCGGCCTGGGATATAGCATATACTTTTTGTATTCGGGTAAACTACCTTTATCGGGTGCCTCTTCAATCGTAACAGGCACGATCCATTCTTTTTGTGGTTTATTTTTGGGAAAGAAGGGTTTCGGATATTTAAATGTCATATCAAATTCAGATTTAATCGGAGCCATAGGGAGAGTTTGCGATTCATCTTCTAAAATTTTAAAATCCCGACTTAATGTCGCATTTTTCCGAAATAATTTTCCAGAATTTTTATCCGTATGAGATTTGTTCCAAGGACCTGCCTCCCGTTCATTTTCTTGATTGCGAGCGACACTAATCATTGAAGTAATCAAATTTTTAACCGTCTCGCATTGACCAGTATCATTTGCGTGCTTTAACTCAATTGCTGTCCCTGGATTGTCATTCTCATCTGTTATAACTTGAACTTGTTCAAAACTGCTTTTCGAAGTAGTAGAACGATTAACCTATATATAAAAAGTATTATGAAACAGTAACGTTATTATTGTTTGTATAACTAAATAAATTCTAATTTCAAGACAAATGGAACAATAATAGTAGTTGTTAGAGCCGCACCCAATGGATTAGAGTTGCACTAACTATATTCATTTAGATTGAAAAGCACAATTTAACAAGCCACACAAGCGAAATTCGTAGAATGTGAGATAAATATCTATTAAGAAGTTTTATTCTTCTTTCGATTTTAGAGAAATATAATAATACCTGAACTTAGATAGAGATGGAAACAGTGGTTCGTATAGTCTGCATTTCTCATAAATTTTTACTTTAATCTCCGTTCCCATCATAAGTTACACAAATTTATTTATAAATATTTAAAAGCCAAAATAGAAATAAACAAGTAAAAAAAAAAGAGTCATATTCAACATATACCTCGGATGTCCAAATGCAAAACATTTTGTTAAATGTGGCTGCGTCATTTGCGCGATTAAGATGATTTTTACCATGTACTTCCAGCCCGAAATATTTATGTCAATTGTAATGTCAATATCTCTGATCGCGTGAGGCACACAACATGCATAACATTCTCTATGCTATGGTTGTTAAATCCCAAAGAAATTTCTATGTTGTGCATTTAAGTTTTCTGTCCAATTTGTACTTTTAATCTCCTACTCAATCTATGACTCAATTTTAATTACTCTACTTTAAGCAAACTTTTCTTTAAGAAAAATAAGCAATAACAAAAGTAATATATATCTATTATATGAAGCTAAGTACTTACTTTTATTGTGCCTGGCATTGCATTTTTTATTACAGAACCCGTGCGTACACTTCCAACATTATGTTTTCGATGAAATCCCTTTAAGGAAGCTAAAGCCGAACGTCTTTCACTTAACTGTCGATTGGTTTCTTCTTTAATTGTTTCATTTTCTTTATATAATAGCCTTTGGGCCACTGTATATCCAAAATGTTGATGAGCTTCTTTTAAATCTTCTAATGGTTGCGCACGACAAGCTATGCCTTGTCGAAATATTTCATCGGCTTTACGGACATTCCCTTCCAATTCGTAAGAATAAGCCCAGGATATGTAAAAATCGGCAACCATGCCACCAAAGCCTGCTTCAAAAAATCGTTGATAATACGCAGCCGCATCATTAATACCATCCATCTAAAAACGTTTAGGTTAAATTTTCTCATTTAGACAGATTTAAAAGAAATTGAAATGTTTTTAAAAGACATAAAAATCTATCTGGCTGGTAATCATATAGAGAATCTATGCAAATTTATTTAATAATTGATTGATATAGAAAAAGGGCGAAAAAAAAAAAATTACATGTTCACGTCATTATTTCGAAGAAAAATTGTAACTAAGTAGAGAGGAACAATTTTTTTTTTCAAAAAGCATCTAACTATAATTATTACACCCACCACTGTAAGATTGGGATATAATTATTTTGTTTTTTTCAATCCAAAAGGAAGCTTCAGAGACGCTAGAAAATAAATATTCTTGATCATCGTGAAATTCTGCGTTAATTTAGCCATGTCTGTCCGTCTGTAAGGTATGTGTTGCTGGCACTCTTCTGGTCGCAAAAATTGAGATATAGACTCCAAATTTGGTAGAAACATTGGAAGTTTCGATACTCTACTCCTTGCGCGCAAAAATGGAAAATATCCGCCATGCCCACACAAAGTTAAATTTTGTTTTTTATCACTTTTTTGAGGTTTTTCGCTTATTTATCGTAAGACAAACAAGACCGAAGAAGACCGTTTAAAACTATTTTGTACATTGCTGCCTAAAAATGGGTTAATTTTACAATGAGTATTGTAGACACCGCGATTAATTTTTTTTGTTTAATACTACTGATATCAAATAAAATACCAATTCTTAATAATACCAACGATATGGGCTCCTAGTTAAAGAACTTTGCGAGTTGAATGCGAATAACATAGTGGTGGGTGTGCGAAATTCAGACGCCGCCGAATATAACTTTCTTACTTGTTAAATTAGTCAAGCCTACCTTTAAAATCAATTGCAAGGCCCTTGCAAGGCCAATTTTCTTGGAGAGAAAGTTATGTACTGAGAGAGATGAAAACCAAAAAGATAGGAAACGATAACGACTGACCGTGAAACATTCAAACTGGGTGCGAAATTAGGTCAACAAAAGCAAAAAAAATTCTTCTTATACATAAGAAGCACTTTACCTTAAAGGCGCAGACATTGACCAAAATATCGAACAAAGCGCATCTAATAATTTCTTTGATAGCAACGAAGACTCATTGTTGATTGTAACACTTCTATATACATATTTATGACTCGATATTGAATATAATAAACTTTTAAGATTATAGTTAAACTTACAAATTTAATGAAAAGTCTTATCATCCTTCCATCTTGATAATACCGTTCGTCGCTTGCAAAATAATCTAAACACTTCACAAGTACTTGCTTTAATCCCGATTCTTTACCGCCCGAGGGAAAACTTTGTTCAATCCAATCAATATAGTTATACCAGGCACTTAATGGATCATCTCCTCTATAATTATGAATTTCATTTTCTAGTTCGCGCCGTCTCAACGTAAGTTCTTGTGATGATTCCATGGTTAGCGATGCTTGCAGAACACTCGCATTACGACCTGTCGCCAACGGTTGTATATTTTCCTTTGCCTCATCAATATTCATTGTTGTCAATGTTCTTTTCTTTTTTCTTGGAGATTAATGTAGTTTAGAGTTTTTTGTCAAATAATTGCTTAAACTTATAGCAATAAAATAAATGAGTATTTTACTATATATACTAAAGTATGAAACACAGTAGTATTAGGATAGAGTACAAACTATTAAACAATATACACAAAATATGTAAATGCGCCAAATTTAAAAAAAAACTCGAAGAATTCTTCTGCGTACATTTATGCTCTTTACTACACACAGAGTTGCATTGGCGAAAAGCACGCAACTACATATATGTGCGTGCATAAAAGATTATAAACTTTGGACGGATGAAAACATAAGCGACATATTTTCACTTATTGGTATAATACTAATGGAAAGATTCAAAATCGCAATACTATGTGAAATTCTCTACACACGGTTCCTAAAATAGTACTTTCTGTTTTTTTTTTTCTTGGGCGTTTTTACTATACATTAAAGAAGCATTTAGCATAAGAGGCGGCACATTTAATAAAGAGAAGTATGTAGAAAAACACAATCCAGAACCATGAATTAACCATTTAAAAATTATCGAAACTGCTTTCAATTAAGGGTCGCATTAAATTATGTTAACTATTTTGCATCATATAAAATCGTAAATTCGTGGGATGTAATGATGTAACAATAGCAAGTATGTGCTGTTTCATTGCTCTAATCCGCAAGATTTGAAAATTTAAATCAATATAATGACAGCCTCGTTTGCAATATATTAATAGCTTGCTTAATGGCTGGGGGGTAATTATGTAAACAGGTGATCATCGCCTGATTTTATTGAGGAGACAAACTTTCCAATATTTCCCTTCAAATTTTCGATTGCATTTTCTGAACAACTGAGAGGGATGTAAAAAATAAGAGCCAAATTGATGTTTATTTGATTTTGTACAAACAAACTACATATACTAAACAATAACAGGCGTGTAAAATGAAATGAATAAAAAATTATGTAGAATTTGTGTTAGCATATATTTAGCTTAATTTAGTTCGATATTTAAAAAAAAAATTGTACTTACTTTTACCAAATCTTTTTCTATTTTTATGAAATTTTTCTAAAATTTTGGAATTAACAATTGATTTTCTAACAGCTGTTTATATTTTTATTTTACAGCTGTTTTTTTACAAACGTGAGTCTAACAGAGAGATTTGTGTTAATTTCGCTTGGTTATACTCAATGCTAATGCAAATTTACTCTCAGCGACAGCAATTTTATTGTCGCCAAATATGACGTAATTGAAGGAGCACATTTGGCGATAATCGCCAGCAACTTAGCCAATATGATAAGATACTCTTGGCAATTATCGCTTGCTTACTGGATTACCCGCCTAACTTGAAATATGTGTAAAACAGTACCAATAAATAAAGACAGACCTGTTAGCCTTCTATAGATATGAACGAAAAAATTAAATGACATAGTAGAATTTTCGTAGGCAGTTTTCATATTCAGTTCTTATTAAAAAATTATATGCGCTGATGAAAAATAAGAAGATATTAGTTACAGGTGCCGGGCAAGGTTAGTGGATTATTTTATAAATGTATATTCATTATAAATGTGTGGTTTCGATAAATATTTATGTAGGAATCGGTAACGCCTTATGCAAACAACTTGCTAATGCCGGGGCGTGTGTTATCGGTGTAGGACGTAACCATTTAGAGCAGTTAAAGGCAGATTGTCCTTCCATTGAAACTATAAAAGTTGATCTAAGCGATTGGCAAAAAACCCGTGACGCCTTGGCTTCGGTTGTTCAATTGGATGGTCTAGTCAATAATGCGGGCGTGGCTTATATTAAACCTTTTTTGGAATTAACAGAAGAAGATTTTGATAAGTGAGTTTTTAAATGTTTCGTTCAATTTTTCTATTTGAAAATCTTAGAGTTTCGCCCGTGGGGCAATTTTAAAAAGGGATTTTTTAGCAATAATGTATGTGATTTTATAGCTTATTGACTAAGCAGATAAGGTCGACCGCAGTGTTACCTTACTATATATAATTCTTAATCTGTCTTCTGAAGTAGTGACATGTCCATTTCTCTTACGGGATTTTCAAAATTTTGCCTATTTATGAAATAGATCTCCTAAGGAGGTCTAATTTGAAACCTGCTAGGACAAATGTCTAATCACTTGATACTTTGACTTTACTATTTGGTAATGATTTTAATAACATATTGCTTTTCTTTATAAATAGATGAATGTGTGGTTCTTTTCCCTGAACATTTAATAAAGATGATGTGTTCTCAATCAACCAATGAATGTAGCGATTCCGATTAACTAACGAAGATTCGAAAGATTATACCTTGCTAGTTCACTACTTATATCGGAAAGATAAGAAACACCTGTGGTGTTCAATATTAATTTTTCGAGATCTTATATCTGGTCCAGTAGTAGTCAAAGATAATTTTCCATTAAATCAAGCATACGTTCTCTAGGACCTTAACGGTAAAAATTCATGATAAATGTTCTTTGTGAGTTACGCAAGACGTCATAATTTTTTTTGAAAGAGTTACACGATATGTAGCTGTTGTATTAGCTTTTAAACACCTGTTTTCTTGCTATACCTTTGATCTGCACGAAAGAAATTGGGTTCACAAGTGTCCTCTTATTGGACTCTGACGCAATCTTTGATGATTTCGGGAGCTAGCTGTAAAATAATTGGCTATTCCACCAAACTAATTTCAATTTAGAATTCTTTTTATCATACGCTATAGTGTCATGGTATTCAATCTTATATTAGAAATGCCAAAAAGCTTACAGTTAATAATTTCTACTGCGTTTGTACATTTCAACAAAGATGCTTTCATACAACCCCAAGGGAATACTTTCGATTTAACTGACTCTTTACTTATGTAGATTATTTCGATTATTTCAAAATGATCAATATTTGGAACGCTATAATGCACTAAAGTCATAATTTACAATTTTAGCACTTTTGATGTAAACATTAAAGCTGCATTTAATGTAACTCAGATCCTATTACCCCAACTAAAAGATGGTGGCAGCATAGTGATGGTTTCTTCATTGGCAGCATCACGTTCTTTTCATGGTCATGCCGTGTACAGCGCTACTAAAGCAGCTTTGGATTCTTTAACGCGATCGTTAGCTTTAGAATTGGGACCGCGCAAAATTCGTGTGAATTCGGTCAATCCCACAGTTGTATTAACAAAAATGGGTCGTCAAAACTGGAGCGATCCGACAAAAGCAGAACCCCTCCTTGGTCATATACCACTGAAACGCTTTTGTGAAGTTGACGAAGTGGTTGCTACTATCATCTATTTACTTGGCAGCCAATCAAGTTTTGTAAACGGTCATCATTTAAATTTGGAAGGCGGCTATTCGGTATCGTAACGACCATATAAGATTATGTTTGACTAAATTGTTTCTTTTTACCTTTTTTTTTTTTTTAATTAAACAAAATTTTGAATATTGAAATTTGAATACATTTCGCACATATGTTAAACATTAGCATAATCTGTAATGTATAGATAATTGAAGCAATGTTAAACCTAAACCTAAAAAGGGACTATGATTGGATTGATTGACACGAGTTTGTCATAAACGCTTGATTAAAAGAGACTGTTATATTATACTACTATCGCGTATTCCCAATTATATATACATTTATATATATATATATATTTAATTATTATTCAATCATGTATGCATAACATGTATGTAAAATATGTATATGGAAAAAATACTTATTCCTTTTTTTCAACTAAAAACTTTTTTTTTTTTTTCTTTGATTCAGTTAAAAAAATAAGGAAACAAAGAGTACTTAAACATTAAATGTCTACAATGATTCACGCTTAAGATCCGATTTTCATTTGCTGTTGATTTTGCATTTGTTGTTGTTTCTTCTCTCTTTCACGTCGTCGCAACTTTTTCCGTCTTCGATCTATGCTCGCTAAATCGCTTTTGATTATGTTGTAAGTTTTACGTAAGTCCTGGATTTGTTTTAGCAAAATGGCTATGCACTGGTCAGGGCTGAGAGAAGGATCTGCGCAAAATAATATTAAAAATTAAAAAACAAGAAAAATTCTTTATTAGCTTTAAACATTTGTTACAATATTTAGGAGATAACGTTAAGGTTTTTCAATGAAAATGATATGATTTCTTCTTCACCTTGTCGTCGTATTATAAATATCAAAATCATTTTCTTTCGTTTCGTGAAACATATTCACTGAGATCAGGAACTTTATCATAGGAAATTATACGTCGCAATAACGTTTGGAAATTATCGATTTGTTCTTATTGAAATAATCTTTCTCATAACGCAACTTCACGTGTCTGATGTGAACTGAATTCACAAGTTATTAAAGAGACACCTTCACATATGTTAGTAAATGTGACCATATTTGCTTCGGTATAGTGAATGGAGTTCGTGAATTTTTTTCTATACATTGATATATATACACATATATATATATATATATTTTAAACAAAACAAAGACAGAAAACAAGCTCGTCATTTTTAAGAACTTTTATATTACATTACCCCAAGAATGGTGGCGGAGAGATTAATTATATATTTTTTTATAAATCAATTATTTACACGACGCGAATTGATAATCCTTAGATTGATTAACGGAAATAAATAAACTGCGCTTTTAATTAATATTTATGCAATTTCAACAATTGTGATGACATGTAGACCCATACGAAAATAGGATTCGATGAAATATATATGCACCGTTTAACACTAGAAGTACCAATAGAAGTACATCATTTTAATCCTTTGTAATTTTTGTTCTTCAAAAAAATATTTATACCGCAAGTAGTGTTCCAAAATTTTTTCGCTAGTTGCACTTAGATGAAAAGACCTTCAAATGACCAAAATCAATTTTTTTTTTTTTTTTTGGTCTACTTTTCCAGATACCGGTGACCTATACCTATTTCTACCAAAGAGGATCATTTTGATTTCCTTTTTTGTGGAGTTGCAAAAATAGCGCTAAGAAGTTGATATTTGGTGCAAACGTTACTCGATGCAAACGCTTCAAAAATGGTTTTAATCTGTCTAAATTCACGAGATAATTGCAGGAAAACATTAACAATTTTTTCATATTTTCGCTTACAGCTTTCGTTACTTTAGTAATATGTCCAAAATTAACAATAAAATTTTAATTTCAATTTACTTTAACGCATATTGAAATGTTTTTCAGCCAAATACTAATAAATTAGAATTAGCGTGCATGTGAATAGATCAGAACGGTTTCTTAATCATCAGTTCTTAAATGAAGTCCTTTATGCAATTTCCTAACGCTAAATCATGTTTATTAACAATGCCACCTTCTCTAAAGCGTAGTTATGAACTCGTATAACTTCCTGTTTTCTCACTGCCAGCTAAATCAATCATTGGCATTTTTACCGCGTGTTCGCTATCAGTTTTAGAATCCGTCACACGAATGTGCACTGGTAAGACGACGTGAGAACGGAAACTTTCAGTGTTAACAACGGTGGGATGCGGCGTTCGATTAGAATTGGCCAGGTTCCATAATTTAAGCAATTACTTGCCATAAATTTTTGGGATCAAAGACAAACAACTCACAGAACGTTGTTGGTAATTCTAGTGTTAAGATATCTCCGATTGTTACAAATGGAATGACATACTTGACATATTTTTATAAATCAATGCTGTACATAAAAATGATGTAATGCTAGTAAAGAAAGCATAAGTTATCCAGTACCGCAATAAAATCAATTTGAAAATTGTTATTATTGCTTTTCAAATGCTTACAAAATACATACCTAATTGCACAAGAAAATTATAAGGACAAGGCCTCGACCCGGATGCACTTTGTTGTTGATGTTGCGGTAAATGTTGTTGTTGCCTTGCTGAGTGTGTGGTACTACTACGCTGAGAAACATTATCTGAATTATCATCACTGTCAGAACCCGCTAGAAAATATAATAATATAATATTATTATTATTATTATTATTATTAATATTATTATTATAAATTTAGCCAGAGAATAAATTTTAAAACTCAAGTCTTAAAGCACTAGCATGTAAGGCTTTCAGTTTTTATTAAAAACTTTACCGCACTTGAGATTTGAACCCACGACAATTGAGTTGCTAGTCGAGACTCTTGCCCACTCGACCACTCAGGCGGATAATAATATAAAAATTTTATATATATGTACATATATGTACATATAATATATATATGAAGTTTTTGTACTTAAAGACCCTCCTAAAGTTCTATGTTTTAATTAGAGAATATTATGTTAAATGCGGTTGTGTCAGTTCGACGCACATAAAGATGTCTTAAACAGCCTGTAATTCATAATTTTCTTTGCACATATATGTAACGGATTTCAGACCAGTATCTTATGAAAATTATAATTTATAGCCGAATTGGCGGTCGGATCATAAATCAGCTAAGGCTATCACTTACGACTATATACGTATGTCAAATTTCTGCTTTCTATCTAAATTTGTAGGCGCGTGAACGTTCGATAAATGACAATTAGTTAACAGACGAGCGGACGAACATTGCTACATGGAGCTAGTCGAGAAAATTACGCTAATAAGAAATTCGTAAATTTTATAAAATCCCTTAGGACTATTTCTGGGTGTCACAGGTGCCAAAGGAAAGACAGTTAAAACGCGCATCTTTTCTTCGATGATGGGTGCATTAGATATTACTTACCAGCGTTCTTTTTAGTATTAGAAGCGAGAGGTCGCCGTCGCTTAGTTTGTTGCTGCTGCTGTTGAGGTTCATTGCCAGGTATGGAAACGGTTTCGCCTTGCTTTCGAGTACGTCTACGCTTACGTGGCGAGACTTCGTTTTCAATATCCATAGATTTTTTTACATCTTCACTACTTTCGTCATCTTGACTTGCGGAGTCGTTCGGTGAGCTGCTAGCTGTAGTAGCATTAACTGTACTCGTAATTTGTGTGCTTGGATTAATATTCGAAAAATCTTTATCATCTGATGTAGTTTCTTGCATTATGCCAGTCGCGGTCCGTTCTTGAGAATCTTCACGTCCGGCTATGACGGAAACAGGACTACCTGGTATCGTCTCCTCACAAAGCAATTGGTTTATGGAGTCGTTGTGATTGTCGGTAATATTCGAGCAGGATTCCAGTGCGGAAGAGGTTGTATGGATATCTTTTATTTGTGCAGCAATAGTAGGTGTAGATGACGTACTAATCGTCGTTATGACACTGAGCTTTTCTTTATCGTATCTTTGTTGCACGTCACTCAAAGGTTTCAAACCATCATCCGGCCTTAATTCTGTGCGAGGATCCAAATAGAAGCCTGAGGTGGAGCTTGGACCACTCATATAACTCACTGTAGGTGAAGAAGCATGAAATAGGCTTTTTGCGGCGCTTTGCAAATGTCCGGAGAAGCCGATTTGTTTCGCCGCTGTACAAATGGAACGTATTGTAGCTGTACTTTCTAAGGACTTCGCTACCGTCATGAATGCAGTGTTTGTTGAATTGCCTTGATTGCCCAACGTTTGTTGAATGATCTGGGTACTGGATTTACTGAAGTTAGTTTGTATGCCTTGTTGCGATGGTTGTGTTGAAATGTGTTGCAAATGCTTCTGGGTTGTCGGCTTCGGTATTTGTAATGCAGCGGCAGCAGCTTGGGCGGCTGCCATTACGGAAGGCACAGCGCTAGAGGCTACTACTACCGAAGCTGGTATATCGGGCAATTCAATGGGCACTCCCGTAGTAGTCGCTGTCAAAGAACTCGTGGTATGCGTGGTACTACTTGCCTTCAAAAGTGTACCAGTCGTTGTGTTGCTTTGTGTGAAATTAACACCACCTATTCCAGAAATTCTTTCACTTCTTGTAGTGCACAACTGTTGCATTCCCGTTGGCATTATAATAGCTGATTTTTGCGTCGCCGGTGATGAAGTTGATGTTAAAATTGCTGATGCTGCTATTGCTTTGCTCGGGGTTTGGTAAGTCATGACTGTTGTTGAACCTGGCAATTTGCTAACCAAACTGGACGGCATCGACGTGGTAATTGTGTTACTACAACCTGTGTTCGTGGTTATTGAACTCGCTCGTCCTTCAGCAGACGTTAGTATTTTAATCGGAGTAGGTGTCGGAATGTCCATTTGCGTATGATTGCTGCTGTTCGTGCTTTCGACAGAAGTGTCTAATTTAACAGGGGTTGTTGACTTACTAGAGTCTGGGCGCATTTCGACTGGGCTCGATTTCTGGTCAGATTGTGCCGGGGCTGATTCTTCAGCAACATCTTCGATTACCAAACGTCTCTCAGAATCGGTGCTATCGTTGCTATCATCTGAATAAGTTTCAGCTGCAGCCGCTGAAAGAGGTGTTGTGGGAGTTACAGGATGACTCGTAACTGGAGTACGTCTTTGTATAGCGCATTCCAATTTTTGTATGGTTTCACTCAGTTGATTTTTGCTTGCTATGGTTTCAAGCAAACCTATTTTCGGTTCAGGAGATGCAAGCGATGGCGATATGCGTTTGCTTGTGAGGAAACTACTTAATGATCCACTTAACAGACTAGTGCTCGGGTTCGATAATTCTGTGTTGATTTTAAGAGGTTCACTTAATAAACTGCTTGTGGAGAGATTTGACGGGCCCGGAACAGCCTCTAGTGGGGATTTTAATGCTGGATTTAGCAAGCCAGATATTACGCCTCCTAAAATTGGGAGCGTTTCTTTTTCCTTAATTTCCAAATCTTTTTCTTTTGAAGCCGCTTCTTGTTTTCTGTTTTCTTCTTCTTCTTTTTTTTGAGAAATCGCCTTTAAAACCTTGTCTGCTATGGAAGGGGTCGGTTTAGTTTCTAACTTCGACGGAGCCAAATCGAAAGCACCAACTGAGGCGGAAAGTAGTATTTTCGCATTTTCCAATTCAAACTTATTATCCCTACCGTTAGCGCTTGCCCCAAACGAAAGTTCAAATATATTACTCAAATCTTTGCGCGTTTCAACGAATGGGCTTCCAGCGATGCTTTTTGCTGTTGTATTACTTGCCGGATTATTCAATTTCGGAGTAGGGTTTACTGCTGACGACGTAGACGGCGCGCTGGCAAGAGATGTCACAAACGCCGTTGTTGATGTAGTTGATGCTGTTGACAGTGACGGTCTAACAGGGGTTGTGTCGTCTGTATTGGGCAATGACGTGGCAGTTAGAGGCGTTTGCATCGCATCAGTTAGTGCTCTGGTCGTTTCTTGCACAGTTTGGGCTAGTTCTTCATTTAAAGCATTAATATTTAGATTAAAATTGGGTGATTTACGTAAAGCATCAAATGCTGTTAATTCTGATTTTTGAGCGATTACGGGATTTAATAACGAGGTAGCATTGGCTGATGGTGTTAGATTAGATGTTGTCGTTTTGATAAGGGTTGGTGCATGCATAGAAGTAGCAATTACGGCAGGTTTGATTTGTCCCGCACTTGGATTTGATTTTACAATTAAAGAAGTTGCCAGAGATCCTGTGCCTGATGATGAGTGGTGCAATAGTTTAGCGTCTGCTACTAAAGGGGAAACACCACACGTATTCTTTTCTTCTAATTTTAAGTGTTTTGTTCTTTCGCTAATGGTTTCCTTCATAGGAGAACCACGTTTTTTGCGGTTAACCAAAGTGGACATCGGATTCGAGCCAAAACTGGTATGATGCTCCGTTTTGGAACATAACTTATTACGTACTAAATTCCCGGAGCTTGAAGAAGCCATACTTGATGTTATTACGGAAGAAGTTGAGGCTCCTACCATTGGGGATTTACGGATTTCAAACTCAAACGGTTCGGGATCTTTGAACTCATATACATCTGGAGAATTAGGTTTATCAACTGGAGGGGAATTGAATTTTTGTTCTTTACCGACGTTGGAATAAGAGGAGGATGAAGTGCTGGAAGAGCAAGATGACACCATTGATGAACTGCCGCTAATATCTAGTTTACTCATATCTGGTAGAGAACGTGAAGTCGACGTTGTAGATGACGATGAAGAATTAGATGAGGATACAGAAGAATTCGAGGAAATTGACGAGGGTGAACAAGCTGTAGGAGGCTCCACTTTGAGTATGTCTTTATGATGAGATGGCTCTACAAATTTCTTCGATGATTGGATATCGGTTTGCATAAGCTTTTTAGTTCCTTCTGCCTTTTTGATATTTTGCACGGTCTCTGGCTTTTTGCCCACTGCTAAGGGCTTTTCAACGATAACTGAAGTGTACTTGCTCACAGTAGAGCCCCCAGTATTTCCAAATCTTGCAGGAGCTATGATACTAACTTTTGCATCGCTGCTTAATACATGTTTCTTGTCCTCCTCCCTTAAGTCAACACATACACTACCACTTTTCAATTCACTTTCGGCTTTGCAAGATGCTATTGCGCTGAATACCTTAGATTCTTCCTTTAAAGGACTTGGTTTTGTCTTTAAACTTTCCTGTCGTTTTTCGTTTTCTCTGTCCTTAATAATTTTTTCCACAATTCTTGAACTGCTTAAAGGGCCTGTAGGTTTGTTTATCACAGCTACTGTGGGTGTAGTAACTGGCTTATCTTGTGTGCGTTGTTTGTCCGCATTTATTATTTGCTGGAATTTTTTTGTCATATTTTCCAATTGTGTAGTCTTGTCTGAAGATTGCGAATCATCATCGTTAAAAGAATCGGTTTCAGAAGAAATTTCTGTCGAAGATCTTTTATTGATTTCAATCTTCCGTTCCAGCTTTATGTCGTCTTTAAACGTGGTAGCGGTATTGACAATTCCCGGAGCCAACAATGTTTTAAAATCATAATCGGTTTTTTCATTTTTTGTTTTTATTACTGAAGAATCTTTATTTTCCCCTTTCACATCAGTTGCACTAATATCCGGATCAGAGCAAGTTTTTAAATTTTGAAATCCTTTTAATTCAGAACGTATCTGATTAAGATCGTAATCTCGTCCCTTGCGTGGAACATTTCTGCCGGTGGTAGATACATCACCGTCATCTTCATTATCGTCCGTATCTGATTGGCTATTGGGAGCCGAGATAGATGCTTTAGACTTGCCTGGAGATTTAAGTGTACCTGTATTTTTTCCACTACGTGCAGTTCTACGTACAGGCTCATCCGAGTCCGACTCAGAGTCTTCGGTAGGAACGGACACATCGGATACATTGGTGGAAACTCTTCGTGACGTATTCGGTAGCTGCCTTTGGGGACGTTTCTTAAGAGCAGAAGTAGCAGGTGACTTTGTACGACTCGAATTAGAAGCTACAGAGGACGGTGTAGTAGACCGTGGTGGCATGGAGTCGCTACGTCCGCGACCTCTCTTAGTAGCCCCCCCACTAGCCTTCACTGTTGAAGATGTTGTGTTATTGGTAGGACCGCTACCGCTAATAACGCTCGTGGATGACGATATTAAAGAACTCGCTGCAGGAGGTTTCGGGGGATTCTCTTTGGATTTTTCATTGCTTACACCTGTATTAGCCGCACGGCCTTTTTGCTTGAAGCACTTAGTAAGATTTTCAGCAATCCGCTCTCTGGGTACCCATTCATCGTAACGATTATTCCAGCCCGTATAATGCACCAAATACATAGGTGTTCCGCGTTGTACTGCAATCTCAATAACCTTGGCCTCGTATGTCACTTTCTTTTCATGATAATAAACTTTCAGTTTGTCGCCAGTTTCTACAATAAAATCCCCGGTATCAATTTTCTCAACTATTACTTCATCTTTTTTTCGTTTTCCACGCTTCTCATCACTTTGCGACGACTGTTTACGTTGATGTTTTTCTTTTTTGACTGAGACACCTGCACCTAAAAACGAGCAAGATAAGTGGTTAGAACATTCATCTACATATCAAAATTTTCGCTTAACTTATTTGATTTATGCAAATTATTTACCCTTCAAAATTTCTCATTATTTCAGTTCAAATATTTTTTTAAATTCAAAAATTGTATCAAAAGACATAAAATGAATGAGCATAAAAGTCGACAAAGAATATCCTGGAGATAAAAAATTTGTAAATGAATGTAAAAAATGCGAATGGCAAAAGGACTGGTGCAATTAGGGCAGTTCCAGGCAGGCCAACCAGAGAATACATTTTCCGGATGGTATCACCCCTAATCTATTTCCGAATTGCTCCTTCGCTTGGATTAAATATTTGAATGTTAAACTACTACAGGAATTTATCGGGAGCGACTACTTATTTGTCCGTCCTTTTGAAACCTACGCTATGAAGAAGTTCGAATGCTACTCGCATTTGTGTAGAATAACTATTATGTGTGGCTTGCGACTTTTTTGTTCGTGACAAGTGAGAGTTCGGGGGCTTGCGTTTCCAGGAGTTTTGTCAACTTTTTTTTTTGTTGCCACCATAGAAAGATGGGCGTCCTCTCGTTTGGAATATCAAAACACATGCATAGTTAGCTCATTCGCAAAAGATTCTGATGCGACGCAATCCTATTTCCAATTCTTTCATCAGAAAAATTTTGCGCAACATTATTTAGTAGCTAATTTGTATGAATAGAAAAAAGTTTAAAAAAAACCAGAGAATTATATTTGGCTATGAGCGAGTCTTTTATACATGTTATCTTAATATTAAAATAGAATATTGAAATTTTTAAAGTTCTAGCTTATGGATAGTCATGAGAAATATCCATATTTTTTGCTTTTAAAAAGATAAGCATTCTTAGTTTGACTTGGACTGTAGATGTGCCCTTTGATCAATGCTGTGAGAGAACTTTCAATGTTTCTGCCGATTTTGAAGCCGCTAGCCTCGTTTTTATGATCCGTTGAATGTTTACCCCAGATATTATATAGACATATGGACGGATATGCTTAAATCGATTTAGAATTTGAAGCTACAAAAGGTGAGTCCGTCTTAAGTCCTTCTGCGTATTGCATATGATCGCGAAAGGCTTTTTTTATACGAAAATCTCTTTAATACTCGCCGTTTGATTGACTTTGACTCGCGCCCAAAAAAGTGGTGTAGAGTGTTAAAAATCAATCTTAGTCATTCTTAGGTAAGGATTCTGTTAAAGTTTTCTTCAGCTGACATCATTCGTACATGAGATCGTATCTATATTATCTTATTTATTGAAGAGGCTGTTGGAAGAACATAAGCTAACAGACAAATTCTTCCTACGAAGATTCCAAGATTATGACGAAGCAAATATAATTTGTTTTCATTTTATCATTTCCATCGGTTCACATTTTTATCAGTTTTATAAACTACATTTCGGCGGAGATGCGTTAAAGTTAGAAGGTGTTACAATCTGAGATCAACATTTTAGTACATCGATCGTTTCAGAGTTATTTTCCGAATCGACCTAAGGTTGCCTGTCTGTTTGATGTTTGTCCACGTACTCCTGTGCGCAACTTACGGTTCTTTCGCATACACACGTCCTCTGGATAATCTCTGTTAAAAACGAATTACATCGATTCATATGTTCAACCATACCCCCCATCCCAATTTAAGTCATACCAATCGTCGTTTGGCCATTGTTCAATTAAAGGATTATCATGAATAGTGTGCTTATACATATATACAAATAAAGTATCATTTTTGTTGGATTATTACGAAAATTAATGAATAACAACACATTAGGTGAAATAGTGTAGGGTATTTAATTGATTGATCTTGTCCGATAATAACGATTTACTTATTTTAATACATAAACGTATGCTATATAATAATAACTTCATTCTTTTATTCTTTCATCCATCCTGAAAAATTGAGCGAAAAATGCTTAGTTGCTAAAGTGATACGTAACCCTTGCAGCAAAAGGATTATTATAATGAACAGATGATTCGCGAACACAGAAGATCTCCATATGAATTCTATTGCTTGATCAAAAAATTTTATCCAAATTATGAAAAATGTCAGAAATTCAACTAAACGGCTGGATGAAGAAACGGGAAACAAATCAGAATTCCGAAGCTAATGTTTTAACCCTAGAAAGACTGAAACTTAGTATATACCTATAATGCCCAAAGGCATTAAAATGATTGCTAGCTAATGTGTAAAATAATTTATTTCAAATTAATTTCAATCAAGTTATACAATACGTTATTAGTAAATATTAAATAATAGAGAAAACAAGGAAAATGTGCCTTATGTGTTATGACATACATTATAGACTAAAGTTCAACATTTTTCACAAACATACTTTTTGCGTTTTTCACAAATATTACTCGTTTTGTTATCGCGGCGAACTCATACTTGACCAATTCTGCGTTTGAACGGTTAGTTATATTCAAATATACTTAGCAAAGACACAAACGAATGAATGTTTACAGAGATACATTAAGCCGTTAATAGAATTCTGTTAAACCAACTTGTTGAAGGATTTTAATCAAAATGTTGTTAAAATAGAACTTTTGAAAAATTTTTCCAAAAATTTTATAAACAAAACACATCTTTATGTTGTTTAATTAAAACGTGATATGAAAAAGTTTTTGTATTATGCCGGAGGTTAAAGAATTGAAAGTTTGTTTAGCTACTGTGGCTAAGCCATGCTCTGCGAAAAAATGGAACTAGTCCGGCGTTAATCCTCTATTAATAGCGCTAACAGATATGCGCAGGTAATATTCAGTTTTGTTAGGAAAATTTTTTTATGGGACTTTGATAATTGCCATACTTAACTTAATGTAGGCTAATATATAAGCAATATTTGAAAGGCCGCTGTGGGCAAACTATGCCCTGTGAAAATATGAAGCTAGTCCAGCGTTAATCCTCTATTAATAGCCCTAACAAAGACGTGCAGGTTATATATTGAGTTTCGCTTGGATTATATAAAGAAAAATCGTAGCAATTAGAGTAATAAAGAAAAAACCGGTTACTATCCTCAACTGACTTTTGCCTAAATATAGCTCTCTTACCGGTCTAACTCAAAAAAAAAAAAAAAAAAAAAAAAAATGGCTGCAAACCGTGCTAATATGGCTCTCTTTTTTCCGTTTAACATAATTTTCAATCAGTAGAATCGTCCGCATATAGATATTTTTATTCACAAACATGCGCAATTAGATCTCAGTTTGTTAATCAAAAAACTCTGCACTTAAATATAAAAATGTTAAATATTGTGATATAAATGATACATCAGTTTTAAATTGATAACCATATAAATAAATTGGTTCTATTTTTTGATAACATGCAACGCTATTTAAAATATACTCATTACGAAGTATAGTTATAGAAATGTGCATGAGCATTATAGAGGGTCTTTTGCTATTTATAGGCTAACTTATGGATGCCCTCGCGGTAGAAACTTGCCGGTTTGAAGGCAAAATGGCCATCGACCTATGTTTGAACATCTTCAACTTTTGCGCACAGTTGATCTGCTAAATATGACTGCATCGATCTGAATAAGTTTTAATCAGAAAGAACTAAGTCTGGAGAATATGTGAAGTGCAATAAAACTACCAAGCCTAAGCTGAAAATTATTTCTTTGGTTGTTTTTGTTAGAGACGGACGAATGTACGCAAATTTTACAGTCTCCACGGCAACGCATTTTTTGCCCAAAATCTCGCGAACCACTTTCTGACTGTTTCGCAGCTTACTGCGTCTTTTCACTCCAAATCAACTCGAGCTGCATTTTTTTCAAGTTCAATCCAATTAAACACAGACAAAATGCAATACCATAAATGTCATTCGTTTTTTTATACTTTCATATGCGCTGATCGACAGCTTGTAAATAAGCGAAACTTGCATTGCTCAAACTTCAATTTCTAAGTTACCTATACCTGCAATACAAAAAGGATTGAACGCGTCAGTTACGTTTTAGGCAGCAACCAACTTCAGTTGCACAAATCTATTTGTACACCTAATGATATAATGAATAGCGACTTACAAGTCATTAATAGCCTCTCTTTTACTCCCATTTCTTCCGTATTTATGCTTCAGATTAAAGAGAATTAATGAGATTAGCTTTAGCTTGTGTAGTATTCTCTGTATTGATAGTGTAAGCAGAGACAACTAAATGATAAGATGGTCCAATATTTCATTTAAAATTCAAACTAGGAGATTATTTCCATTACCAATATGAATAGTAACGCTGTTAATTATCAACAATTTGACTGCTTGCTTTTTCACTTTCATTCTTTATCAGTATTGTACAAATTCCAGAACATTCTAATTTATCGTAAAATATTCTAGAACTTTCTAGAATATATTATAATATGAATATATACATATAATAGCTAAGTAAATTAGATAAAGATAAATTATTCCTTAAATATAATCCTTTTCAATAACAAATTTCTTTATGTTCCTGGATATGGAAATTTTCATTAAAATGTTTTTGGACCGTTTGGCGACGAGCATAATATTTAGAATTTTTCAATGTGAAATAAATGATGAAAAGAAACCAAATAACATTTGCTACGTATGTACGGGCATTTCATAGCCCGTATTCAGTTAAAAACATACAATTGTATGTGTTTCTGCAAACGTTTAAAAGAATGTCAAGTCACATCAAGAAATTATTAACAAAATCTTTGCCCATGCAAACAATGACAATGAAAGAATAAACATGCAAATGAGTGCTAATTAGCAGCGCTAGTACTGTTATTGAGAGCGAAAAGTTAAAAAATCCGTAATAGTCTCCCAGTTTGAAATTTTGCACAAAATATTGGACCATCTTCTTCGTTTAGTTGTTTCCATCTTTGTCTATTATATATATAAAAAACTCTTCATGTATTGCAATTTATACTTTACCTACCAGCCCTCTGCGTAACTTTTTACTCACAGTTTATTTAGTCGTTCAATAACTGCAAATTCTGACGTTTGCAATCAATAAACTAATGCAATAAAATTAGAAATTGAACAACGAATTAGAATTTTTGTAAAATTATTTCCCTACAAACGTAAATTGTGGATTTTCCGCTTTTTAAGGTAATTGAAACGCAGATTTACTAAATAAAACGGTCAATAAATGGTTATACCGTAAATAATGCATTACCGGTTTGCTTTAAAAACGTGCACACAGGGATGTTTACATAGTACTGAAACGAAGAGTATTTTTCCAATTAATAACAAAACATATACAATAAAAGTCGTCCTAAACAGTTTATATCAAACAATGGGGAGGTATTAATATTAAGTATAAGTAAGATTTATTAATGATATCAGTTGAATTTATAATTTAGCCGCTTTTGCCGACGCATTAACCCAAGTGAAGATACTATTGAAGATAGCGAATAGTCAATCAAACAAAATTAAAAAAATAAATTTGATGTTTGCTTTGTCGTCAAGTGTCGATGGGAAATTAATAAATGAAAATATTCTTTACACAAAATAATTCAAAAGAATGTGCCGATCATGGTATTGTCATTTTCCGCCAATAATGTCGTTACGATAGCGTAAATCATTCCTTTTCAGAAATCTATAAGACAATTGCAATTATAAATCACCATTCTAAAGATTGACACCATATTAAGTAATCTATATATATATATATATATGTATATATAAAACCTTGTTGCACAAAACTACCGCATGACAGTACGCGTCATAAGTTATTCGTTTTATAAATTTCAAACCAATATCTCTCAAGCTATTGGTGAAAATAATTTTCTTTTAACTTTATCATTTAGCGCATAACAACTGGGAAATTTTTTAGATTTTTTGGAATGCATTGATTAGAGGATCGATTTTCAATTTTAACATCTTCATCGATCAGTTGCAATAAAAATTGTCAACGGCGGTTGCTACTGAGAATGACTGATGAAGTTAAGCCGATCAGATCAATAAAGGAAAATCAAGCCTATTGCAAGGATAATAATTTAAAATGTATCAATACATTTAACTGCTGTAACATTTATCCATCACCGAATAATATAAGCCTTTCCTAATCTAATCTAAAGACGATAACATGTACTATAAGTAGAGTATTACTTACCATTATCAGGATAGTTAGATTGGAATGTTCTACACAAATTGTTACAGCCATAAAGTGCTGAAGAGTTAACAGATAAACGGTCACGTAATTTATGATCCACTATAGGCATAACGACAAAGGCTATATCTACATTTGATGTAATATGCAGCAAAGTGAGCAGCATTACGGAGACGTCTCAACCTAGAAGGCCTTTGTGTGTTTGTGGTATAGCAATATTTATATTGAACCTTTTGTAGTGACTATTTCTTCAGAAAACCATTATTGATACAAAGTCAAAAGGAGTATGAACAACAAATATATTGTTTTCTCTTATGACTCGGTCACAAAGCTAGATTAAAACACTAATTTTCCCAGTTGCTGAAGCACGGGAAACTCAAACTAGAACTACAGATATGTGCTAAACACCTCAGACTCAATGCTCATATTTGGTTAACTACGGAAAAACACTGAATGTATTCATCAATGTATATGATGTTCAGAAAGACGGATAGAAGTTTTGATACCAGGGGGGATTTAGTGAAGATATACATATATTAATAGATTCGTTTTTATTGCAATTTTTACGTTTTGTAGACGTTTTCGATAGCAAACGGCAAATTACTCCACGTATTTTCTTTAATACCCTTATAAGTTTTATAATCTTATAAAACGTTCGATTATCTTTTAACAAGACATAGACAAAGAGCTTGAGCATTCGAAAACATAACGTGGCCCTTTGTTTACGTAAGTTATAATAATAAAAACAATTTTATTTTGGTTACACTTTCCTTTTTTTAAAGCATCACTTGATTTGTTTACTCAATACAGTCGATAACAAGCAAAAAGATTATATTTCTCATCGTAGAGAAAATCTTCGCCACTCGTCGTTACAAATCAATGCATAAAAATTCAAAAACATTTTATTAATTATGGACGAGGCAAACGGCTGAATGCTCCTGAGCAGCATGTATTTGTATCAAATTTTAAATCTATATGCTTTCTATCTTTCATATGAAATGAATTAATTAATTACTGTCAGAATTGTGGGCTGATCGCATCAGGTTTTTTATGTGGTGTGGCTAAACATTTTTACAGAGATTTATATTGATATTTGCTGTTGGCTTTTGAATCATGTGCACAATAATGTATAGACTGAATTAAGCCTGTCTCCATCTTTTCACAAACGAGCCTAAATCAACTTAGAATACTAGGCCAATGAAGTCTGTGTGTGTCATGGTTCCGCGTATTCAAAATATTATAGATCGTTAGTAGATAATATCCTTTGCAAATATTTTTAAAATAGTATTATTAAATACTTGATGAAAATGATGTTAAAGTAACAGATTATTCAATCACGCTTTTTAATAGAATCCTCTCATATCAGTTCGTACTTGCTTTTCACCATAGCGAATTAAATGAAATTTAAAATATGTTTAATAATAACAAGTCAGAAAATTATATATCGATGCGTGTTTTAATATTGAGCACTTTTACCTTTAGAAAACTAAAAATTAAATTAAATGCCTGCACCGCATACTATTGGATACACACGGCCGGTTTTTGTCCATTTTCTCGTAGGCACAATAGGATTACGCAAGAATGTGAACAGCGTTAGTCTTCTATCTGAGCAAAACACATAAATTAGTGATTGCGAAAACAAAAGTGTTTTTAGTTTATATCGCGCTGTAGGTGTGTCCTTTAATCGATTTGGCCCATTTTCAATATCAACCTGGACAAAAGAATTTCGCTAAATTTAAAACTGATATCTTTATTTTGGCGACGAAGGGAATATTTTCCATGGACATGTACATAGATGGACATGCCTATGGCGATTCAGAATTTAATAATTCATCTTCTTTCAAATATCAAATAGTTTGACAAAAATCAAAATATCTTCCACGTCTCGGTTGTAAGGCAAGAATAAAATTATTGATTCTCCTTGCATAATGTATCTTGAGACTTGTCGCAATCTTCAAATACTATTATAGCCGTTAAACCAAAATTTAATTGCACATAAGTATGGATAAGATAAATATCGCGTAAATTTTAAACTCTTAAAGGCTTAATGATCGTTTCTTTCGCTGCATTAGTCAACATCTAGCCATCGCTCGCGAAAAGCTTTTATAAATTAGATCTAATGTGAATTCTTTTTTTTTTTTGTTATATCAATGTCATATTTTTTTTCCTAAGTCAGACGCCATGCTATTATGATAACGCACGATAAAAGTTCCATTCTCAAATCGTTCGATATTTGCATAAATAAGACTTAATAAAGCCACTCGCGCAGCTATACGTTACTCTATAAGAAATGTTTGAAATGTTTTATGTTTAACAATTCGGGTAAAATTTCGAAAATTAAAATGGACCGACAATTTAAGATAAAATATGATTTTCATCATACTTGTCATAGTGTTGTTTAACAAATCAGTGCGCGACGATATACTTCTTTGTTGTTGTCTAATACTTTTATCTTGAATTTATGTTTCGTTTCTTATATTACACAGGTGATGGTGTCATTAGTTCGAGCAGCTCTTAGGTTAAATTGTGTCTCATCGACTACTTTAAAAAATGCTTTTAACTGTTCGACAAAATTTAATCATTTGGATGACGTGTACAGATGGCGGCAAAAGTCAAACCAACAACACAGACTGGCAACGGGCATTGCCTCAGCTCGAAAGTCTAGATCTGAGAAAAAGTCAAAAACCTATCTATTAATTACGATCGCTGGCGTAACAATCGGTTACATGATATTTCTTAATCCTAGCGGAGTTGAAGGCAAAGCAAAACAAGAAATAACAACTGTACCTCAACCTGTAACGCTCAATACGGCACAGGATGATGAAGAAACATATAGGAAATGGCACGCAACAGAGCGTACAGATTTGCCCACCTATAAAATAGACGATGTGCATGAGCACAACAGCTTAGAGAACAAAGTTTGGGTAACTTACGGTATTGGAGTGTACGACATAACCGATTTCATACCAAAACATCCGGGCAGTGACAAGATAATGCTGGGAGCCGGGAATGCTATAGATCCATTTTGGGCAATATATCAGCAACATAATACTAAAGAAATTTTAACGTTGCTAGAACAATTTCGTATTGGTAATATTCGATTAGAAGATAATGTGGGAACAAATGACATGGATTCTACATGGGCACACGAGCCAAAACGTCATCCTATACTTAAACCAACGTCAGAAAGACCTTTCAATGCCGAACCACCAATAACCTTATTAGCTAACAGTTTTTATACACCGAATGATTTTTTTTACGTAAGAAATCATTTGCCCGTCCCCGTTATCGAAGCGGAATCGTACGAGTTAGAGATTGAAATAGAAACTCCTAAAGCTCAAACTAGTGAAACCAGCAAAGTTTTGACCTTAGCTGACATTAAGTCATTGCCTAAGCATTCGGTAACAGCAGCAATTATGTGCGGAGGAAATCGCCGTTCCGAAATGACTGAAGTGAAAGCTGTGAAAGGTTAGTCACATTAGAAATTAACCACTCAAGAATGTCTGTATGAAAATATTTTTGAAATCTTTTGCAATTCAGGCCTTTCTTGGAATGCTGGAGCAGTCGGCAATGCTAGCTGGTCCGGAGCTCGTTTAAGGGATCTCTTAATCGCAATGGGTGTTAAATCAAATGAATCTTTACACGTTGTATTTGAAGGGGCGGATCTTGATCCAACTGCAAGTCCTTATGGAGCATCTATTCCCCTTTCGAAAGCTATAGATGAGAGAGGTGACGTCATATTAGCTTATGAAATGAATGGTAAGCCTTTAAGTCGTGATCACGGATTTCCCATACGAGTGATAGTACCTGGAACTGTCGGCGCTCGAAATGTTAAATGGCTTACCCGAGTGACAGTAACAGATGAGGAATCGAGCTCACATTGGCAGCAAAATGACTATAAGGGCTTTAGTCCTAGCACGGACTGGGACACTGTAGACTTTACAAAATCGCCAGCCATTCAAGCTATGCCTGTTACATCAGCCATCTGTTCACCTAATGTAGGTGAAAAAGTCAAAATATCACCAGAAGGCTTTATAACTGCACGAGGTTATGCGTGGTCTGGCGGTGGTCGTCGAATCGTTCGCGTTGACATAACTGCTAATAAAGGTGAAACCTGGTATGTAGCAGATTTGGAACAAGAGGATCTGCCTGATGGCCGTCACTATGGTTGGTCTCTATGGACTGTGCATATTCCTGTAGATAAAAGCCTTAGGGGTCAAGAAATAGAAATTTGGTCAAAAGCAGTAGACTCTGCTTATAATGTTCAACCGGAATCATTTCATAATATTTGGAATTTAAGAGGTGTTTTATCGAACGCTTACCACCGCGTTAAAGTGACACTTTCTTAAATTACGGAAACGAGACACTATTATTAATAAGTATCGAACGCTATAATTTAATTTAACCTAACGGAACTGACAATTAATAAAATTACTATCTCCTATTTAAGCAAAAGCGAACATTGTTGCGAAGTGAATGCTTCCTTCTGAGAAGAATATTTTACTCCTGATAGCGAAACCTGTATAAAATTAAACCTTAGTAGAACTTGCTTTTCCTAAACCGTGCCAGTAAAAATTGCGGCAATAATAATAATATGTGCAATACATACTTGTTGGTGAAGAGTCTCTTGTAACTTGACCAGAAGATTCTTTTGAACCACCACTCTCCTTATCCTTTTCCTTGGATTCATCTTTCTCTTTACCAACTCCGGTTCCTTTCATTTTTGAAAGCGGTATATCGCCGTCATCCTTTAAAGATGCTTTCTCCTCATATTTTTCAATAATACTTTTGACTTTGCCTGTAGTTATGTTGGAGCTGCTTAAAGAGGTTTTCCGCTTGTTCTTGCTCGCGTCCTGACTTGATTCACTTGTGTTTTCTGATTCCTCTGAAGGCGCAGCAGCTACAGTCGATGTAATGTTAGCAGTAGTTGCAGAATTCGTAATTATAGATACATTAGCAGCCAATTTGCTAGTAGAAGCACTTGTTTCTTTATTAGTATCAGCTGGTTTGGGGGAAGCCACCGAATTCGCTCTTACTAAGCTTCGACCTTTGCTGCGGTTAGAGTTACGTGGAGACATAAGCATTGAACAACCCAATTTTCGATGGAATTCGCCATATGGTTGAAGAAACTTTTTAAATGCTTGCTTAACCAAATTCGTTATGCTTATTGTAACAGATGTAAAGCCCAAACGGATTGCTATTGACTTCCACTGATTTTGAGCTGTTACTCGATTATACCCGCCACGTTTTTGTACAGCTCGAAATAGACGATACAGATCAACGTCACGATTTTGTATAGAAGGTACCTTGTTTAAAGGAGTTCCTCGGTCATCCATATACTTATAAAGTTGGGCCACAAACCTATCTTTTTCTTCTCGCGGTTCGTCGTCAGATGAATCAAAGTCAATCTCATCTTCGTTTTCGCTCGACGAATTGCTAAGACCAAACAACGAATCGCGATCCCAATGAGGTGGTAAAATGTCGTTGTCCATATACTCAAGGGCAGCTTGCACCGCCGGTCCATCCTGTTTTGTGGCAGCTTCTCGAGTAAATTCGGTGGCTTCTTTCTTTGGCACTGTGTAGTAGCGACCGTCCTTAAAAGAACGCACTAGATATTCGTCTTTAACGCGGATACGCACTGTAGCCTAAATTGAAAATGAAATCTTACTAAATGGACACTTCTATTATCTAAATTCAAATTACTTGCGCTGTAGGTGCAACTACTAATGCCGGGAACCATTTTTCTTTATCCTTTTTCTTTGACTCTGTTTCCACACATACTACTTTACCAATATGCTCCTCTTTTTCGTTAACAACTTCCTTGGCATCGCTTTCGTCATCATCATCGGAACTTTCATCGTTCATATGGCCACGTCTTCGTCCACGACGACCTCCTACTACAGGATTTCCGAAATGTTCAGGATGCGTAAGCGGAAGTTGATCTAATGTCTCACTTTCATTAAAGTGACGGCCACTTTTTAAGCACAAAGCTGTCCGGCGCAAAGTAGTAATATCACCGTCGTCAAACACTACTGTATATTGCGAGCAATCTTGTATTTTGGTAATGGTAGCTTCAACATAATCCTTTCGCTCAGGATGTCGTACTTCTACTACAGCCCCAACTCTTAACTGACCGGGTCCCGTTTTTATATCGTCATCTGAGACAATTCCAGAGCCGAGGCCTTGTTTATAAGCAACTTTTACTTTAATATTGCGCACTACTTTGCTAACCTTGGCTTCGCAAAATGCACCTTTATATTTGGCACTGACCTCCGTGCCAACGAGTAGATAAGGTGGATCGTCGACTTGCTAAAAATACAAAATATATATTATTTGCAGCTACTTCGAAACCTTGTTAAATTGTGGGTCTAGTTAATTTTCTTTTTACTTTTTCTCTTGAGGGCAACATGTGTAATTCCTGCGCAAATAGACATACACACACACATAGAGATGCTGTTAGGCAATAATTAAGCGATTCACTTTAACTTACCTGCATTTTCTGAAGAAAATAACGTTCAAAACTTAAATTATCGCTTACAAACGCCACTTTTGCAAAAATTCTTTAAACATTTCTCCAAAATATAAATGTATTTTTTCTGGTGAAATCCAATTAGATTGCTCTTGCAGCGCTATGTCTTGATTATTGTTTAATTACATCGCCTTCTTTGAAGGAACAGATCTCCAAGTATTTTTCGTTTCTTCCACTTTGCGAACAATTCTGGTTTTAAACCAACTAAGGAAGCCTTCGTCCCGAAAAATATTTGCTTTTTGGCGGACGTAAAAATTTTTCACTTTATTACGTTTTTGTACTTCCACTTGACATTTGTTTGCCTCAGTGTGCCAACATTCAACTGAGTTTTATTATTAGAGTCAGGGCTGCCAAGCTTTTTTTATTTTTCCATAGCTTTAAAACAAATTCTCCAGCCTTCACGAATCTAAAATTCTCAATTCGCATTGAAACCTGTTTAGTTAACCCTTTGGGGGCTGACGCAATGAATCGTCATATTCGTTTTTGGATGGAATGTGCAAACAAAAACATATGGGTTTAGAACCAAAATTAAAAAAATTAACGTAAACATAACGACTAATTTTGTTAATCTTCATAATCAGCTTAAATTTTATAACACGATGAAGAGCCTGCTTGTGTTAATCAATCCATAATTAAGTAATTACCATTTATGACTCTCTAATAGAACAATTTCAACCTTAAAATATATGATCTGTATTTTAGGGAAAAAAAATACTGCATAATAAATTAGTCAAATAACCTTAAAAATTAAAAAAAACGATTAACATTTCTTCTTGAGCTTTTTTTTCTTGGAAGCCTTTCAAAGGAAAAGTTTTATTTTCTTTAGATATATTTCATAAAGTTTCTGGCACATCGAACTTGAAAAGTTGCTTTGGCAAATCATATCATGTTTATAAGACAGCCATAGAGTACGCAGAATGAAAAATAGGTAGAAGAAGAAACAAAGACAGTTCATTTTAATATAAAAATCAATTTCTCAAATTTTGTATTTATATATAAATTGTGTTATTTACATATTTTTTACATTACATAATTTGAAATTCTTATTTATATGATATGTATTATCGTATTTCCAATTTTGAAACCCTAAGAGGGTTAGCACAATGAAAGCGTTATTCCCATTTTCGGTTTGCTGACTTGTTACAAAAATTTATGGTAATTGACAAATCATATGGTTTTACTTTTGTATGCATACAAACAAGACAAAACGAAAACGACGCACAAGACAAAATAAAAGCAATTTACTTTAAATTTAGAAATTAATGTTCTCATTTTTGTTTATTTTACATTTACGTATTTTTTTTTTAACATCATTGGGAATTTTGGTTTAAACGACGTATTAATCTGTAAGAAATGAAAAACAAGCAATAGAAGTAATTTATTTTAAAGTTGATGTATATTCATCAAATTGTTTTATTAGAGAATGTTAAGTAGTTTTCAAATTATGGATTAATTAATGCACAAAAATATATCTAACATATATATTTACATATATCTAATCAATTTTCTTTATCACTAATCAACAAACAAACTTGTTTACTTTTAGATCAACTTTCCTATTCTTATTTATTATCAATCTGTTGTCGGTTATATTGATTTCTTTAGTTTTGTTTATAAAACCATATGTTTTTGTCTACACATTCCTGCGAAACAATATGGTAGCACATCTGATCTTTGCGTTTATCACTTGGGATTTTTTAATCTAAAAACGAAAATGACGAATTGTTGTGGCAAGTCCTTTATGTCGGAAAAATAATAAAATTTTGCACACTTCTCAATCTTTCCAGACGGCAAGAATTTTGTTAGACTTCCTCATTATAATAAATAAACAAGCTAATAAAACCACATAAGCCATATGTTCAAATCTTGAAATAGTTAAGAGTATTTTGAAATTTCAAATATTGTTTTGCTAATTTTCATGATGATATCGAAAACTACCATTTGTTTTTATTAATTACTTAAAAAGTTAAGCCTGGCTAAAACTTTGCGGCCTGTTAAACGCGTAAAATTATATTGTGTAGTGAGCCTTACGGTTCTAATATTAACATCCCTGCATTAAAAACATAATTTAGATTATGTGGTTATAATGGTCATCGTAATATCGTAAAAAAATTGCAATTTTCATGCCTTTTCTTAATGCAATCTTTATTGTCCAATACTTGAGATTTTTATTTAAGGAAAGAAGCGAAGAAATGAATTTACAGATACTGGAATTATTTAGTGGTATTGGTGGAATGAATTATGCTTTTAAAGGTACGTAATAGAAAGAAAATTTTCGGAAAGACATTATTTTAAAGGTTTTTTTTAAAGAATCGGGGATCCCTGGACAGATTGTCGCGGCAGTGGATATAAATACAAACGCAAACGCCGTCTACACCTACAACAATCGGCAAACAACAGTGTTGAATAATAATGTCCAAAAATTAAATTTGAAGACATTGGAAAAATTACAAATCAATTGCATACTAATGTCGCCCCCATGTCAACCTCATACACGCGTAGGTCATAAAAAAGATATTGAAGACAATCGTTCGCATGGTTTAATGCATATTTGTTCATTATTACCGGAATGTACATTTGTACGCTATATATTGATGGAAAATGTTAAAGGTTTTGAAGGATCTTTAGCTCATTCACAGTATATAAAAGCGTTAAGAAAAGCAGGATTTTATTATCGCGAATTTATATTAAGTCCAACACAATTAAATATACCTAATACTAGATATCGCTATTACTGCTTAGCAAGAAGGGATAAAAATTTTCCCTTTGAAGGTGAACACATCTGGACCGAAATTCCCACAATTAAGCAACACCAAAAATGTATAAACACAATAAAGAACATACTCGAATCTGATAATCTACTTTCTGCAGATTTTCTTGTTGATCAAAGGACTCTTGACCGTCGTGTACTGCTAATGGATATTGTTACGTCCAACTCTACCAACACTATGTGCTTTACGAAAGCGTATGCTTATTACATCGAAGGTACAGGATCTATTTTTTGTCCCTTAAAACCAGAACAAATGCATCAAATATTTGAAAAACTTAAACATTTAGATAATGGCAATAGCTCGAAAGAAAATCAAGCTTTAGAACGACGAGAGTTGTTGCAATCATTACATTTGCGTTATTTTACACCAAGAGAAGTGGCACGTTTAATGGGCTTCCCGGAAACCTTTAATTTTCCATTAGAAATTACAAACCGTCAAAAGTACAAACTATTAGGAAATAGCATAAATGTCCAATTAGTTAGCGAATTAATAAAAGTGCTTTGCCTCCAAGAATAGCTCTATTAGCTTTATATGATAATGGAGCAAATAAGCTGAGGAAACATTTAAGCTTACGAGCCGTCTTATAAGATTAGATTTTTTAAACTTAACAGGTAGTCTATAAAAAAACAAATATAAATTATATTTTTTATAAGAAAATCCACATCTCAGCTCAGTCGTATTAGCTCCAATGTTTCTTTCTAATTGCCATTTTTAGTTCAATCATGTTAGAAATCATCAAAACTTTTATACATGGAAGGTAATACATAATAAAATATAAATAATATAAATATATAATAAAAAACTAAAATAGAAATATAGAGTGGATAAAAAGAAAAAAAGATATCAATGCAAATACGGAACCCGTTTTCCGTGAAGGAAGTAACTATAATACAATTGTGAAGGCAGGTTGCCTTTGCACATGGAATCGGTTACGCTGGATACGTATCATTTCTTAATTTAATTTGAGATCCAAGTCGTTGCGATTTCACCACCTATCACTACCTAAAATGGATTTTTTTTTTTTTTAAGTGAAGGAGGGAAAGTCATCAGTAAGTTAGAGAGTTATATTTATGTTAGAGCGAATCTTCAAGACCTGCCCATCTCACACTAATATATAAAAATTGTAAAGTAGTGCTGAGCATGGGTTCGCTGATTTATAGGAAGTTTTTCCATACTGACTTTAAATGGATATATCTTCCGCGGATAAAGTATAAAAACTTTTCAAGATTTCAAGAAGGGCGTGCGAGGTCACTCCTTTCCTAATGTGAGCACACTATGCGCCGTTTTAAGCTTTCATTTTACTGTTTACTTCTATGAATAACAACGACAACTTTCAATAGAAGCGGGACGGAGGACTAAGGCGTAGTGCGAATATATCGCTTCAAAATGTTATGCAGATGAAAAACATATACAGGCATCCCCGACTTAACATGGCTATTTTTTACCGCGTTGTACCAAAACCTTGTTATAATATTTGGAAATTTTTTACCGTGTTGCATCGAGACCACGCCAAGCAGGAGGGGCCTGTATACACTTAACAAGGTCTGTGATCCGTATTTTATGCTTTATATTACAAATGGAAGAACATTTTTAGTATATTCTATCCGCTCAAAATCATTCTGCAAATCATCAAATCTTTGAGTCGAACATTCAAATGTCTTTGGTATCGGAATGCTCCACCTTGTTCATATATAATTTTATTACAACGCAATGTATTTGTTGTGAATTTAACCAGGGTTGGTTGGAACAAATGTTGAGAAAACCGTTGTTATCGTCCAGCAGATGGTAATGGATTAGCAGTGATGGTAAAAAGTCGCCTAAGATTGGCTCGAGGTATCAAGTCAACCATTTATGGCGCTATGTTTGCATTTTTACTCTTTATTAAGGAGTTTTGTAATATTGTCTCGACAAAAACTCGTCTTTTTGTGTACTCATGTGCCTATAAAAAAAATTTGGTCTCTGAACGCATGTCGAAAGCGATAACGAAAATCGAGTGACCGTTTCGAACGTGTATGTAACGTGTGCGTGTGAGGTTATTAACAAATACATATAGAAAAATATCGATGTTGCATTAATTTCAATAAAAGATATTCGCAGCAATAGCAAGCTAATAACGATTAGGGCGGTGCAAATTTCTACGCTATAGAATAAGATATTCATATATCATTGTCTTTTTTTTACTAATTAAAGATGCTCACCTAAACAAAATTTTGTTAATCCACCGTGAATATAAAAGCCTACGCATGTTGCGTTATTAGTCCAATTGGATTGAAGACGCAACGAAAAAGAACTTGATAATAGCAGAGTCAACGATATATAAAGATATTCCAGCATTTTGTTCAAAATTGAGGTTAGGAGATTCTTGGGTACTTTATCTGCACAAGTTACCGATAGCGGTAGTAACGCTGTTAATTGGTAGCCGGTTATTTGTTTTGGCAAAGATTCAATTAATAGTTTCTTGATATGATATCGCATTCTTTCAAACGTTTGCAAAGCAGAAACATATGCGATTATACGTTTTTAAGTGAATATGAGCTATGGTATGCATATAAGTGTGTGTGGAGCAAAAAAAGAAAATTTTTTCAGAAAATTTATTGAAACGATGAATAACCTTTTTGACAAATTATATGCCATAAAATTAAAAGAATGCTCGGGAATTTTCTTATTCGGAGCGCATGAATATTTGAAAGTTCTCATTGTTAAAAGTAAACGCGGATTGAAAACACGCTGAACGTTTTGTAATATTGTCTCGACAAAAACTCAAAAAAGACGTGTATCGTATGATTGATAAACGCCATACGCTGAATCGTACGCGGATCACGTACATTTATGTGGATCTCGGCGTGGTCGGTTTACAAGCTGGCCTGCAGGTTCGTCTTTTTGTGTACCCCTTTTCCCCAAAAAAAAAAAGTTGGTCTCTGAACGCATGTCGAAAGCGATAACGAAAATCGAGTGACCGTTTTGTGATGACGATAAGAGGCACGATATATCTTGTAGAGGGCATTTTTAGTGCATATGGTGAGGTAATTTTTATTTTTTTCCTAGAAACTAAGCCAGGACAGGACAATCTTGTAAAGAGGACGATGAGATGTTGCTTCCTTAAATTGTACAGAGGACGATGAGATGTTTTTAAAATGGGCTACGGATTGGCGAGAACAAATAACAGGGGATCTACAAATGACGAGTAAAGAAGGACTTGTGGACGTATACCCATTAAAAGCATATTATCAATTAAGTAATCAGAACGCCGATGACGATGGTTATATAAGAAGAAAACGACTTTAATATTGATAGTGATGATGAAGCAGCTACACCGGCAATGTCTATAATGAAGGATGCGGAAGAGGAGAGACAGATGTGCTTTCCAGAATATACCATACACTTAGATATTTTAGAAAATGTACGCTGTGACAAAATCTTCAAGATGAAATTTTTGAATTACCCTGGTACTAATTTGAAATATATACTGCAGAATGTTATGAAGAAAACGACGAGCAATGCAACTAGCATTGAGGCTATTTAATGGACTTTATGTTAATAGCTTTATTGTAGAAAAATAAAAGGACAGTTCAATTTGAATAAGTACTAGTTTATAATATTTTATTCATTTATTTAATTGTGGAGTATAAATAATATAATAATAATGTAATACCGCTAAACGCCGCGCAGAATATTTCAGGTATGATATGGGAAATAGGATAAAATGTATCAAAGACATATGTGTAAACAAGTAAAATTAATCAATATATAAATAAAATAAGTTAATTAGATAAAGATAAATGTATAATTACAACACAAATTCTTTTATTAATAAAACATTTCTTCATATATCTTGAAATTCGTTAAAGCATTTGGCGGACATGAAAAGTTAGAATATAGCACTTCTTCAAAATAAATGATGAAAAGAGAACAAATAATGTTTGCTATATAAATACCTGATGTTTGATGGTATGCATATCATAGCCCATATTCACAGTTTTATGTGTGTTTCTGCTTTGCAAACGTTCGAAAGAATGCGACTTCATATCAAGAAATCATTAACAAAATCTTTGCCCTTGCAAGCGTACAAATGGCTGTAAGTTATCGATGACAGATACACAAAAGGTCCTCAACACTCTTCTAATCACAATTTTGAGGAAACATCTTTGGAACATCTACGTATTACGTTGTATTTGATAACAACATTTTTGTTTACAACGAAAACATATGTTTTTTATTATTTGTTGTGCTCTATTCAGTCGTAAACAGAGCAAATTGCTCCATACACATTTTGACAATTTTTTTTTTTTTTTGTTACTCTCGCCACTTATTAGTTGTCAATTTGACAATAAGAATTTTCTTCTATATATTCATTTTCGATATCATTTTTCCATTGTTCTAGAAAAAAAAGCTATTGTCGCTCGAAAACTTTAAATAATTTAAAAATTAAAATTTCTTTAAATTGACGAAGGAAAATTAATAATATTCATTTAACTACAAATATTGTAAAAAAAGATTGTTTGCGATCCGCATAAAATTAGAAAGAAAAATTACAAATGAAAATTTCATTTCGTATAGGGAAAGAAAACACAAAGTGAAAAAATTTGAGGTGGAGTGAACAATTCATGAAAGACAAGCTTATAAAGTTTAAATTTTTTTATTATACGATATTGATATCATAAATAATGACTTTAATATGTTTGAATTTAACGAAGACCAGTTGTTTTTATTTTAACATATCTTCTTAAACAGTTTTACAATTTTTTGCAGCAAAAAAATTATATCAGACAAAAGATCCACATACAGAAGTAATATAAAGTCAGACGCACGCAAGACATATTACTACATTATAGCGACAATGGAAATCAAACTATTATTCAATGCAATCGCTAGTTTTTTAGATGGTTTTGAGGACAAAAAATACGCATTGCTTATAATATAATCATTATATATGTATATAAACAAGTCTCTATATCCTTAAAACAAAACAAACGAAAAGCAAACACAACGACGCTATCAAGGACAACGATATAACATTTTATTCTTCAAGTGTTTTAAAGCTACGAGGACGTTTCTTACCGTAAATCACCGTCATTAACTAAGTGAATCGTCCGTTTTCCATTACATACGTTTAAGGTATTCCACGCATCCGTGATTGAGTTGGGTGGTCATTTTCATTATCATTTGTTGTTATTATTCCATTAATCATTATACATAGATCAAGTAAGAAGATGAATACAAATTTTAAGAATTGAGAAAGTTACATAAGCCTTTGAGAGGATCTGCACTACTCGCGAACCAAATCTTTCGTATCGAAATCTTACATGTCTTTCGAAACTATTTGTATAAGTTATAAGATCGACAATTGCTTTAGACTATGAGCAGCAGTTTTTTTCGCAATTCCTTGGGCATTTTGCATATGCTTACATTCGGCATCCAGCCGAACACACGTTGATCTTTTAGATTAAGAAATCCAATATCTCTTGATGGATGCATCGACAGATAAAAACGTTAAGTTGGCTCATTATTTAATTAGGAATACATATACATTATAAAATATTTAATGGATATTTTCGCATGTTAGAAACGGGGCAATGAATGTAACCTGAATTCCTCGGTAGGCTTGTGGGTGGAAATATTTAGTTTTATGTATTTTGAGTACTAAAGTGTTAGTTTTGAATGAAAATTTGTGTGTCAGAATTTGTTTGCAGAAACAAAGAAAGCCATGGAAAAATTATAAAGGAGTAATATTTGATTTTTCTGTCAACATTCATTACGAGCAAATATATTGTTAGTTCAACGAGTGGAAAAATCACCGTAACGACGCCTATAATATGACCACAAATTCAGCTAATACTGATCTCTACTTGCGCCCTCTGCCTTTCCTTGATGCCAAATGGGTGCGTGCCGATCTCATAGCGTGTCTGCGGAATCCCGAAGATGCTGCTGTTTTATGGAATAATCTTATTCAAGATTGTGAACTAGTTTCCTCCGCGGCTGCTCCAGTTTTAAATGCTGCCGGCAACCTGTCTTATTTAGGTGACGATGGCAAACACTATTGTGGTGTTCAGAAATTGCAATGCTCCTGCTGCCCACCCAGCGATTATTGTGGCCCTCTGTCAGCTTGTAATTGTACTGCTTGCCACACACTTGATTCAGATGCGGCCATTAAAAAGATGACTACTGCTGCTCAGGTGGCTGCTATATATGCTCAACGTGTTGATAGTAACGAAATCTTTCTGTCTTGGTTGTGGGGATACACGCCAAATGCAGCAGCCAAATTAGATTGCCAACGTACCTTGCTAAATGAGATGCATGACACTGCTCTTCAGGCGGCCGGCAATTGCCTTTCCGCTCTACACCTACGACAACAGCTCTTTATCTATGAGCGATATTTTGTAGCCTTGACTAGATGTAAACAACTTCATATGGTTCAGCAACAACAACAACCGCAGCAAAAACCACAGCAGCAGCAGCAGCAGCAGCAGCAACAACAACAACAGCAACAGCAACAAATCTTTAATCAGCAACAAATTCAAACTAATGATAGTAATTTCACTCAAAATAATAATCCGACTATACCGTTTAATTCGTCACTGGGAGGACAAATGAATAAATTTGTTGCCAGTAGAGAGCGGTTTGGTAAAATTCGCCACGCTCCTTCACAAGAACTACGATCTCCCCGAAAAGATGGAGAACGAGCTACACTTGGCTTGGCTCGTGTGTGTACAAGGGCCGCTTTGAATTTTTCTTTTTTTTTTCTAAGGCGAGCTTGGCGTTCAGGTGAAGATACCGAGATGTGCAGTGAACTGTTGTGTGAAGCATTGGAATCTTTGCAAGATTTACCCGAAGCTCTTTTATTTGACACTTCACAGGTAACGTATACAACGCATGTTAGCATTGGGATAAACCCGTGATATAAACAGACGTTTAATTGTAGGTATCACCTCTGTGGATAGAAGTTTTGGAGCGCTCCATTAAATTTCTTCGCCAAGTAGCTTTGGGTGACTCTTTAGGAGGACGATGCACTGCCCCAAAAGAAGATAGGCATACTGCGCTGTGTTTGCTTTTAGAATTAGGCGTTCAAAAAGGTACATTAGCGGCTAGTCTTGAGGCGGTAGTGCTTTTGCTTACACTGTGGGAAAAAGAAAAGACTACCGACGACAACCGCGATGTCCCTCAAAATTCTGGAGCTCCCCTGATTCCCATCCTAAAACGTTACGAATCTGTCGGGAATTATGGTTTAACAACAACTAATTCCTCTGAAGCGTTGCCATCAAGTGCAACTGAATGCTTTTTACGTTTCCTCACCTTACCGGAACTTGAAGCTGCTAACGTAGATTTGAAACAAGCAGCAGTGGTAATTATTTCTCATTTAGATAGAATGGCTCAACCCCATATGTTATCAGGTCATTCAGTGCATGTTGCAAACCAGACAATAAAATTAACCATGACATCTAAGGGATCTTTGGAACCTCAGAACTCCGAAGAAAATGCTCATTGCGGTATGAACACAACTGATGGCAACAATAGTAATGGCGTGGATAGCTCGCCCATGTCACCACAATTACACGAACAACGTATATATGCATTGGGTTGGATTTCGCTGTGTCCAAATCAGTATGGTTTTACAGCCGAACCTGCTGTGAGCATTCCTTTGGCTGGCGTCAATAACACTTGTGCTCAGTATACAGCTCCAGTATTAAATTTTTATTTTCAAGTACAACAGGTTGTTATATCGGAAGAATATGTATTATTTTTAACCCAAGACGGCAAAATGTACACTTGGCGCATATCGAAGCCGGAAACAGAACCCATGTTAATTGAAGAGCTATCAGATGTTCATATAATTTTGGTAGCAGCTCATTGCGAAGGTCGTCACTATTTGGCGGTAGATAGCACAGGTGATTGAAGACAACGAGAGAAAAGATGTTTTAATGTCTATTATATTTATACCGCAGGTAATGCCTATTCTTGGGGAAATGGGGAAGGCGGACGTTTGGGCCATGCAGACACCTTGCCACGAGAGCAACCAACCAAAATTAAAACGCTGGAGCGTTGTGTTAAATCAGTTCATGCTGGCTGCACTTACAGTGCTGCTATCACACTCCATGGCAGCCTTTATACTTGGGGTCGCGGTACATATGGTCGCCTCGGTCATGGCAATTCAGATGATAAACTGTTGCCCACTCGAGTAATTGCTTTAGAAGAACACAATATTGTTGATGTAGCTTTGGGCAGCGGCGATTCTCATACCTTGGCTGTAACAACTACGGGATTGGTATTCTCTTGGGGTGATGGCGATTTCGGTAAACTCGGAAATGGCTCCTGCAATGGTTCGCAACCACCGCAATTGATTGAAGCATTACCCAGAGCGCAGAGAGTCTTTGCTGGTGCTCAGTTTTCGGTGGCCTTAACGTGTGATGGTAAACTCTATTCATGGGGTAAAGCAAATGGGGGCCGTTTGGGCCACGGACAGCTAGATAAACAAGTGCAATGTTTGAGCACACCAAAAATCATTAGCACTCTTCAATCCAAAGTTATTGTAGACGTTGCCATTGGGGTTTCCCATTGTTTGGCTTTAAGTTCAAACGGTGAAGTTTTCGGCTGGGGCCGTAATGATTATCAGCAAATATGTCCGGCATCCGTTAGCAAGGAGCCTTTGCTAAAGTATCCAATATTAGCTACTCACCCATCGGTATACGCATATGGCATTGCTTGCGGTGCAGCTCAAAGCATTATCTGGAGTCAGACATCTGTACAAGGCATACCAGTCCGTGTGCCTTTCGTTATAGATTTAAGTGAACATACGTTTCGATTGTTGGATCAGTTGCTAAATATGGTTTGCGGACAAGATTCGAATAATCGACAGACACCTAACCAGGAATCGGAATGTGTTGCTGTGGCATGTTTAAATTTGCTGCGATTGCAATTGCATGCCTTAATCGCAAACGGTGTACGGCCAATATCAGTAGGATTATCGGAAGGTTCTCGATTGTTAGTCAGTCTAAAAACTCGCATACTCTCATTGGCAGGCGGAGCGAATGTTTTACGCACGATGCAAGAAGCTGCACAATGGGCTCTTCAAGTGGGTTGGAGCGTTCTTTTACCAACCGCTTCAGAACGAGCTCAAACTTTAACTTCTCTTTTGCCGTCCGAGCCTGGTGTTTCAACGGCTGGACATCGATTTATGACTGACTTGCTAGTTGGATCGTTAATGGCAGAAGGAGGCTTAGAGACTGCCTTAAATCAGGCTATACGCTTGGAGTCTAACGACTGTGCCGACAACGGGCATAATCTGCCCTTATTGCATTTAATCAAACAATTATTGCGAAACAATTCAGCCCTTACTCAAGCCAAGCTTACACAACTCCTGTTACAAAATAGCAACGGCATTGTTAAGGTGGAGGAGGAGTCACCATCATTGTGTTCACTGAACGCGCAGGAGTGTTCAAGTCCCAGCTTAGATTTATTGCACAGATTTCAACGTTTATTATTTTCTTATATACATCAAAGCCAAAAAAGTGAAGATCTTAGTGGAGCAGAAATGTTACTCACTAAATATTTGCAAAGTGCGGTCAATTTATGCATACATTCACTGCAAAAGGCGCATGAAATTGCACTTCAGGGCAAAGAGGGTGTAGCCGATATTCTTATGGCTGACATATCAGACACTCTATTGTACGAATTACTTATAGGTTTAATTTTATTGAAACGGGATAAACCTTCGATTATGCCTGCTTTTGACTGGTGTAATCAATTTATCCCACTTTTACATGCTTTGGACAATTTGAATCGTCTAATTTGCGATAGCGATGTGCAAGATTCGGATGATTTGGGATGGCCGGGTATAATATGTCGTGGCAACCCGAGCAAAACTAGTATCCATTCTACGCAACCAGAAGAATGGATTTTGATACGTAAGCATGACCTAGAGAATCATATATTGGATGGAGGAAAATGGATCGTTCTCAACAATTTCGTTTGCGATATTAGTGAATATAAGTGAGTAACTTACTTTATCATTCCTGGATTAATTACACTTTTAAGTTAATTTAAATTTTGTTTATATTTTTTAGAGTTGATATTCCAGGGATCAAGGATTACCTTCGAGAAGGTATTGGTAAAGACCTGACTACAGACATAAGCAATAGTAGTTATTGTGCTCATTTGGAATACATTTTGAATAACTACAAAGTCGGCCGGTATGCTTCTAGCGTCAACGATGAGAAGGTAAATTTGCGGACGTTAAGTAAATATGACAACAAAGAATTTTCTCTCTTTGCAGCCCCACTTACAGCAAAGTAAAGTTCTTGCACATTTCACATCAGAACGGGCTCTGGCCTATTTGTTGGGCTTAATTGCAAACACTTTACAAATGGGTACACCGTTGCAGCCCGCAGAGTTGCAGGGCAGAACCATTTTAAAGTCTAGAATTTTTAGTGGCGGCCTACAAGTACTACAACCTAGCAACCCTTTTGATGAAGAGAAGGGTGAAGCACGCAGTAGTGCAAGTACCGCTGGAAGTACTCCAACGGAGCCCCCACCTCATAACCTACCATCGGTTGGAGCTTCGGCAGTTACTACAAACAATGTACAGCATCGTATTGAGACTTTAGTTTGTGGTTTGGCAGATGGTCGATTAACAGACCCATTGGTAGTGACATGGATGACAATATCGGAGCGCTTTTGTAAAGATAACAACCTTATTTGGCATCAAGAGTTCCCCCCTGAACATCCAGTCCAAGAATTAGAACGTTTGCTGACTGGTGTTCTAATACGCCATCAAAGCCTGGGAGGAATGATTTTGAATACTATTGAGCGGGAACTAACAGGCGTGGCAAACTCGGCAACCAAATTACCAAAGCAAATAGCGGAAATTATAAAACTGATTTATCAAACAAAGTGGTCGGTGGTGCGCATAAGACAGCAATTGAATCGCAGCTATAAAGAAGTTTGCGCACCCATGTTAGAACGTTTACGTTTTCTGCTTTATGAGGTTAGACCGGCAATTAGTCTAGAGCAGGAGGGCTTGAGAAGCCTCTCCATTTTGCACACTCTGCCACGCTTTAAACGTATCGCTCGTAAAATACTTTCAGATATGAGAGTTGCAAAAAAACAATTAGCATGTGCTAAGCCCGAAGACATTTTAAATGTGACAATCCAGAGCCAACATGTGGCACAAAGGCTGAATCAATCCCAGGTAAATATAGTTTAAGTATATTAGTAACAGACTAAGACTACATTTTTGATTAACTACATTCTCGTAGGAATGTCTCCTTGATGCAAGTCATGTACAAAATATAAGCGATGAAAACAATTCTATATCAGCCGCAGAGCCAGTGACAACAATATCCAATTCCGCAACGATATGTTCGCATTTAGCTCGTAATACATCGCACGAAAATCTACTGGATGGAGGAGATAATAATCTTATGTCAACTGAACGCAAAACCGTTAATGAAGAAGTCAAATTACAAGCTCCTGAAATTGACTTTGAGGATAAAAAACCAGACGCTGAACCTCGCCTGAATAACGACTTTATTCGTAAGCTTTGTGAAAAGTGGTATTTTTCTGGCGAGTTGAATGTAACACTTATGAATGAGATAGTAGGGTTTGTTATGCAAGAGGTTTGTGATGTGGAAACTGTGCGACGCGCCATGTATTGTCAAGTGCAGCGCTATCAGATCCGACGTCAGGGCTTAGAAATGTTTCATACTATTTTGCAAGTTAATGGTTTATTAGATGCGGTCAAGTATAATATATTGAGTGGTTACTTAGGTCTGCATCTGAAAAATAGTAAAAACACCACTTTGAACGTCTTAGATGATCTTAACTCTATAACAGCATTTCAGAAGGCAAATCTGATGTTAGCTCAAGCTCGAATTTTGGAATGGGCTATAGAAGAGTTGAAACGTTTAGTCAATCAAGAACAGATCCAATTAAAATCCAAATGTAATGTAACCGGCAAGGACAACTCAAATTTAGGCACTTATGTATTTTTAAAGAAATTGCCTAGAGCACGTTTTCTTCTGAGTATATTTGGAATTTTGGCCAAAGACATGGGTCCAAATGAGTTAAGTCTATTAATCAATTCTGGAACGCTGGGAACTGTTTTGGGTCTACTCAGCCAAACAGGTGGAGATATACCGGCAGTCAAGAAAAGATATGAATTGTCTGTTGTGTATGAAGATACTATATTGAAACAAAGATCTAATAAGGCCAATCTATCTGGTCCGGAATTGGCAAAATTAATGAAAATTGGCACACGTATTGTCAGAGGAGCTAATTGGAAATGGGGTGATCAAGACGGCAATCCACCTGGAGAGGGACGCATTATCAGTGAAGTTGGTGAAGATGGGTACGCATATCAAATATTTGTGACTTCTTTCGTAATTTATAAAAAATCTGTTTACAGGTGGGTTCGTGTAGAATGGTACACTGGCGCCACCAATTCCTATCGCATGGGTAAAGAAGGTCAATACGATTTACGTTTGGCTGATAGTGCCTTAAATATTGCTTCGCCGGATACAGAAACTGAAAAAATTGAATATTTTTCTGATGCTCAGTTAAATGGAGAATCTCATCCAAACCCCTCTAAATTATTACGCTTTGCTTGTATTCAAATGCTGCAAATTTTATCTGTAGGCATTGGATTGCATTCTGAGAAGATGAATAAACATGCAATTTATGGTATATGTTCCATGTTTCGTTCTATACTAAATCCTGATTCAACGTTAGCGAACATTTGTGGTCTTGATAATTGGAGAACATTAGGATTTTTAAAATCCATTGCTGGTAAGCTTGATAATGTTCAGAAGCTATGTCAGTGAATTATTGTTAAACATAAGTGCTTTTTCTGTTAGAAATTCTGTACGCATTTATTTTATCACTTTCGCAATAGGTGAGTCTCCAGCATTATCCAAACATTTAACTTCTTCAATATGGATTAACTTCTACATAAATCTGCTTGAGCAACCCACCCTAAGAGAGCAGGATGTGTTTCGTAAGATTCACTGCCTTCGTTTATTGCAGATTGTTCTTGTGTATTGGACGAGTGAAAGCGATTTACCACGCATGTGTGCGCTCGTCCGACAAATATTTTCCACCCTGGGTAAATTAACACTCTACTGTCCAAACGATTCTTCTTTGCTGCAGACAACAAACGAAAATAAACCTAGAGTACTGTTGACAGCTTCACACTCTGGCACTGTAGCTGAGGAAATTGTCGCCTTGCTAAGACGTTTACATACACTGCCTGTTTGGAATACATCCATAAACTCATTTTTATCGCAAAAGTTGTGCGTAGCTGCTGAATTATTTGGCGAAGACGGTTTAGACTTACAGCATCTAGAAAATGAGTATATATTTGTGATGGGCGTATTGAGTACTATTGGAGGTTGCGATATACGACCGCGAGTTGGTCTTCAAGTACATTTTGAAGGCGATTTATGCACTATTTGCCGGTTTACCACTAAAGGAAAATGTTTGCTTAGTATGGCTTGTCAGTCGTTGAGCGGTGAATTTCGCCTCCTTTCATTGAATACTGCTCTAGAAGGCGCCGACTATAGTGTGTTCAGTTTATCTCGACTGCCTATGAACGAGATGCTCTTAAATTCATGGTCTGTTCTTCTCTATGGTCCTGGAGAAAGAAAAGAGTCTGTTCCCAATGTCATAGATATAAGTCTTTTGCGTTCTCAACAAATACAGTTAGCTGTTCTTAATGCAAACTGCGTTTTATATCGTCATCAAATAGCACTTAGAAAAATTTTGAAGCAACGTTCCCCTGGAATGTGTTCATACTCATCAGAAGAAAGTGTATCTGAGGAGGAGCAGATACAAAAACCAGTTGGAGATGCAGATACCCCGCGGACACTGGATTCAAATAATGAGGAATTTTCCAATGCTTCTTTTTCAGGTGCAAATGAGAATGAACTTTTAATACAGAGTATATTGATTAGAGCAACACAACCATCCCCTGTTAAAGCGTGCTATAATTACAACGAGTTAGCCACAGCTGCTTTAAATTGTGCACAGGTGCTGGCTTCTCAAGTTCATTCGGAGATAAATGATTCAGGACCGTTAAGCGGACGTAGCGGTAATGTAATGCCTTCTATTCAACCTACTATGATTCATGGCACACCAATTTACAACATGAGTGTATTCGACGAAGCTACAGGGACTAGCAATCCTGTGGCACTTGAAACGAAATCGTCTGATCAATCAATAGCCTTTACTACACTCCTTATTTCACAAATAACTGAAATGGGTTTCAGTAAAAAATCTGTAGAACTGGGTGTTAAGCAACTTACCATACATCCAGATATAATACCGACCCCGGAGCAAATAGTACAGTGGATTTTAGAACATCCGGATATTTGTAACAATACTATAGATCCTATTGACTATAACGATCCATCAGAGTTGGAGACTAACACCAACGCTATGATGGCCAATAAAGTAGCTTTATTGCAGGATCGTGAAACGGACTCTGATAATGAGAGTTTAGATAGCAGCTCGGATACAGTTGAAGGTTCATCAATGCAGGATCAATCTGTAAAATTCGAGAGCCGAAAAGATTTTCAATCAGCAGATCAATATGCTATGTATGTCCGAGGTTTGGTTACCCCCGGAATGATAGTGCGCTGTTGTTTAGATTTCGAGGAAATCAAGAAGGGGGATATTGGCACTGTTCTTAAAGTAGATACGGAAGGCTTGCACGATCTTAATGTTCAAGTGGATTGGCAATTACATGGTAACACATATTGGATGTGTTTTGCTCACATTGAATTGCTTGAAATGTCTCGTGAAAAGTTAGTTTTTAATATGAATACAGGCCGTTTATCTCAAATACAAACGGGTTCTCAGGTACGAATGCGTGCTGCTCCTCGTTATAAATGGGGCAATATTTTACGAGGCAGTGTGGGAACGGTAACCGCAGTTTGTGGTAAACATGTTAGCGTGGACTTTCCACAGCATCCAGGTTGGAAAGGTTCTATTAACGATATAGAGGCGGTGGGAACCTCGGTACAGGGCAGTACCTTATTGGGCCTTAATAGTTTATCAACTCCTGCGTCTACAGATCTCATAGAAGACTGGTCTAGATGTATACGCTCTCTAACTGTATCCTCCAATGAAAGCACTGCCAAACACTTGCTTGATCGTAGTCCTAATTGTTGGCAAAGTTCTTCTAGCACACAAGGAAAACATTGGATTCGCTTAGAAATGCATGAAAATGTTTTAGTACATAATCTTTCTATACTTGTGAGCCCAAGTGACCACTCCCATATGCCTTCGTTAGTAGTTACAAGAGTTGGCGATAGTATTGGTAACTTAAAGGAATATTCGTGGATCTCAATCAAAAATACGGACACAACTGTGGTGCTAATGACAGATGTTCGCCAATATTACCCTTGGATTGAAGTAGTCATTAAGCAGTGCCGTAACAACGGAATACAATGTAAAGTTCACGCACTCAACATACTAGGAAGACGAAAACAAACTGATTTGGACTTAATGCTTATGAATGCTTCTTTCTTGGCCTGTGAATATGATAATCTTTCTGATTCTAATCAAAATCTAACGGCAATGTACATCGACCCAAAATATTCCGCCCTTAGTGATCCTCCTTGTACAGTAATGGTGTGGGGCTTAAATGATAAAGAACAATTAGGCGGACTAAAAGGCTCGAAAGTTAAAGTGCCCACATTCTCGCAAACTATTAGTCGTTTGCGCCCGATCCATATTGCTGGTGGCTCGAAATCTCTCTTCATAGTATCTCAAGATGGTAAGGTGTATTCGTGCGGAGAAGGAACAAATGGTCGTTTGGGCTTAGGGACCAGTGTTAATGTTTCAGTACCACGCCAAATACCAGTTCTACACCAGTATGTGGTTAAGAAAGTAGCAGTACATTCGGGAGGAAAGCATGCTCTCGCGTTAACACTAGATGGTAAAATCTTTTCTTGGGGTGAAGGCGAAGATGGAAAATTAGGCCATGGGAATCGCTTAACAATGGATAAACCTAAAATGATAGAAGCATTGCGTTCAAAAAAAATTCGGGATATAGCTTGTGGATCTTCCCACAGCGCAGCTATTACTTCCGCCGGTGAGCTTTATACATGGGGGTTAGGAGAATATGGTCGCTTAGGTCATGGAGATAATGCTACTCAATTAAAACCTAAATTAGTAGCCGCTCTAAGTGGAAAAAGAGTTATACAAGTTGCATGTGGCAGCCGTGATGCTCAAACATTAGCATTAACCGAAGAAGGAGCGGTTTATTCTTGGGGCGATGGAGATTTTGGTAAACTAGGACGTGGTGGGTCGGAAGGATCCTCGGTCCCCCATGAGATAGAACGTTTGACTGGGATCGGTGTAATACAAATTGAATGTGGAGCTCAATTTAGTTTAGCTTTAACACGCACTGGAGAGGTTTGGACATGGGGTAAAGGTGATTACTATCGCTTGGGTCATGGCAGTGATCAACATGTACGTAAGCCACAACCAATTCAAGGATTACGAGGACGTAAGGTTATTCATGTAGCAGTGGGTGCTTTGCATTGTCTTGCAGTAACTGATATTGGTCAAGTTTATGCGTGGGGTGACAACGATCATGGGCAACAAGGTTCTGGCAACACCGTCGTAAATAAGAAGCCAGCGTTAGTAATTGGTTTAGACTCAGTTTTTGTAAATCGGGTTGCTTGTGGTAGTTCCCACTCCATTGCATGGGGTTTACCACAGTCACCAGCAGAAGACGAAAAGAAAGGCCCAGTGCCATTTGCCACTATTAAAGATCCTTTAGGAGGAACTAGCCTTGGTATATATGATTCAGAAACTGCGAATACTACAGCGAATTCCAATGGTACAACCAAGCAATCAATGAAAACCAATTTGAGTGAAACACTTTTAACGCTTGAAACGAATGGGGCTCGTCAAACTGCTCTAAACTATGTGCTGAATGCAATGAGTATTCTACAAGCTAGACAACTCATAATAGCTGCTTTAACAAGTCACAGTAAAGTTAATTTACATGATAAGCTCACCAATGAAATAGAATCGGATTATGGTAGCTTGAAAGACACAGCCTTAGGAGTTAATCTTAACCATTCCATAGCAAACAATGCCAATGATATTATAGCTCAAGGTGGTGGAGAAGCTCCTGCAGATGCCACCGATCCAGCTGTTCATGAACCATCGCCCGAATTAGACGCCCCAGCTCCGGCTGGGCCACTGAGTGCTTTCCAAAGCTTAACAGGTTCATTATCACTGTCGGCATCGCTCTCTAGTGCAGCTCCACATAAGCATTCAAAAATGTCAGCCAGCGCTATGTCTGTAATGGCCGCTACCATGACACATCAAGAAGAAATGATCGCTGAAACATCGCTGACAGGACTCGATGATTTCACTTCACTATTAGGAGAATCAGAAGCTAAAAGTTTAGTCGAACTACTAAAATTAAGTGTAGCCGGCCGTACGGGTCCTTCGAGTACGTCGCAGACGATTGCGGATACTTTAATTGCGTTAGGCTCGAATAGCACTTCCATTGGCGCCATGCTTTTAGAGACATGTGTTACGGAGTTGGAAGATTTATGTACCTCGCGTCATAGTTTAGAGAAAATTCCGAAGCCCGTAATGCAAGAGAGTAGTCATCCTTATGTGGACAATGTTACGACGACTGGTCATGTGAAAATACTAGGTGCAGAAGCATTGCGCTTGGAATTCGACTCAAATTGTTCTACTGAGAAGAGGAATGATCCCTTGGTGATCATGGATGGGGCCGGGCGAGTTATCGCTATGCGTTCTGGTCGAGAAATTTCTCAGTGGGCTTCTGAAATCCGCATTCCTGGCGATGAAATGCGTTGGAAGTTTACCTCCGATAGTACGGTAAATGGATGGGGTTGGAGATTTTGGGTGCATGCCATAATGCCAACTTCATCAATGAATGAACGAGGTTCTGATCGTGCAGTGCTTTCCCAACCATCAATGGCTTTAGTAATGGCTTTGTTAGATGAGCGATTAGGACCCAATAATAATAGAGTATTGTTGCGCTTAGCGGCAGCATTGGCCGCTTGCGCTCAATTAAATTCTTTGACAACTGCTCAGCGCATATGGTCTTTAAAGCGATTACATGCTGTCTTATTATCCAAATATGCACCGAAACCTCTCGATCCTTCTTTGAATTCGATTTTAATGCCTTTGATTCCCGAATTATTGCGGCAGTATGAATATGAAGAACCGCAAGTACGCGGTGGAATTCATCTCATGCATTCAGACTATTTTAAGACATTGGCGGCTCTAGCTTGTGACATGCAATTGGATGCGGTATTGCCACCAACTGATGTTCATAAATGGGCTTGGTTCAAACGCTATTGTATTGCCGTTCGAGTGGCTCAATCCTTAATTAAGAGAACTGAATTACCCAAAGCATTTTGTTTAGAAGTTCGAAAAAAATTCACTGAAATGATACCACAACCTCAGAGTACCTGCCAACAATCAGGTCCGACTATGATTAATTCCACAACTTCGATAGCTTCATCTACGAGCACCACAAGTAATCCTACTCCTCCTCCTTCACAAATACAAGACGCCGCACCTTCTATAGTTAACATTTTAACCCCAAGTTCTTGCAATTTAATACAGTACATTGATTCGGTGATGTCGTTATCTCTACATGACAATTTAGGTGCTTGTGGTGGATCATCAGGAACTTTGCCGGGAGAAAATGCTGTACGATTGTTGCATGAAGATCAAAATGTTTTTAAAGCTGAACACGACAGTCAGCTTCTCCAGTGGTTGAACCGAAGGCCAGATGATTGGGCATTATCATGGAGTGGAGCCAGTACAATTTATGGGTGGGGTCATAATCATAGGGGTCAACTTGGCGGTTTGGAAGGAAGTCGTATAAAAACTCCTACGCCTTGTGAAGCTCTAAGTTTATTGCGACCCGTACAACTGGCAGGAGGTGAGCAGACGTTGTTTGCTGTTACTCCTGATGGCAAACTTTTTGCTACTGGTTATGGGTGCGGAGGTCGTTTGGGAGTGGGGGGAACTGATTCCTGGGCTGTTCCCACTTTAGTCGCTTCCTTGCAGCACGTTTTTATTAAAAGAGTAGCTGTGAACTCTGGCGGGAAACATTGCTTAGCTTTAACAACTGACGGTGAAGTGTATTCTTGGGGTGAAGGCGAAGATGGCAAATTGGGTCATGGAAACCGAATGAGTTATGATCGTCCAAAATTGATAGAAGAACCTACTGGCGTTGGGATTGTGGATATAGCATGTGGCAGCGCACATTCGGCGGCAATTACTGCAACAGGGCATGTATTAACTTGGGGCAAAGGGCGTTATGGCCGCTTGGGTCATGGGGATTCTGAGGATCAGTTGCGTCCAAAATTGGTGGAAGCGTTGCTAGGCTATCGAGCAATTGATATTGCTTGTGGCTCCGGTGATGCTCAGACTTTATGTATAACCGATGATGACAACGTATGGAGTTGGGGCGATGGAGATTATGGCAAACTGGGGAGAGGTGGTTCTGATGGTTGCAAAGTACCTGTTAAAATCGAAAGTTTATCAGGTTTAGGGGTGGTAAAAGTAGAATGTGGCTCGCAATTTTCGGTGGCTCTTACAAAGTCTGGAGCAGTATATACCTGGGGTAAGGGAGATTTTCATCGGTTGGGTCATGGAACCGTAGATCATGTAAGGCGTCCTAAGAAAGTGACAGCTCTGCAAGGTAAAAAAGTGGTTTCTATTGCAACGGGTTCTTTGCACTGTGTTGCGTGTACCGACACGGGCGAAGTTTACACTTGGGGCGACAATGATGAAGGTCAATTAGGCGATGGAACAGTTAGCGCTATTGCTCGACCTAGACTTGTACAAGCTTTGGTAGGGAAGCACATTGTTAAAGTGACATGTGGCTCGGCCCATACACTGGCTTTGTCTACGTTACAGTTATCAGAGAGAGTCAGACCGCCTCTTAATCCACCGCTAGAATATGATTTAGTTCGAGACTTGCCACCGGAAGCTCTACACGCCCGCTTAGTACTGTTGCATCACTTTTCAGAATTATTGTGTCCCTGTTTGGCCATGCTACCTATCACAGGTATGTTGAGGCTGAATAGAGAAATATATTTAAATGTGGCGTTATTATAAGTTTTCGGTTGTTCTTTTTTTGCCGCGTGTAGGAGACTTAAGTTTGGGCGCTTTAAAAGATGTTTTAGTATATACTATTAAAGAGGCAGCCTTTCGTAAAGTAATACAAACGACGATGGTGCGTGATAGACAGCACGGCCCAGTTATCGAACTGAATCGCATCCAGGTAAAGCGTTCACGAAACAAATCTGGTAATGGTCTAGCGGGTGTTGATGGCATGAAGAGTGTGTTTGGGCAAATGGTTCAGAAGTTGCCCTTACTTACTCAAGAAGCGCTGTCTTTACCGCATAGAGTGTGGAAAGTAAAATTCGTAGGTGAATCAGTAGATGATTGCGGTGGAGGCTACAGTGAGTCAATAGCTGAAATGTGTGACGAATTGCAAAACGGAAGTGTGCCCTTGCTTATAACTACACCTAATGGTCGTGGTGAAGCTGGTGCCAATCGCGATTGTTTCCTTTTAGATCCCACGCTAACATCAGTACTACAAATGAATATGTTTCGTTTTCTGGGCGTATTGATGGGTATTGCTGTTCGTACAGGATCACCTCTAAGTTTAAAGTACGTATTAATGAATCATTATCTATAAGGCGGAGATTAGAGCTTCTATGTATTATATAGTTTGGCTGAACCGGTTTGGCGTCAATTAGCCGGTGAGCAATTAAGGCCATCTGACCTTACCGAAGTCGATCGGGATTATGTAGCCGGTTTGTTGTGCATTCGCAATATGGATGACGATCCTAAGGTTTTTAGTACTCTGGAATTGCCTTTTTCTACTTCATCCGCTAAGGGACATGAAGTGCCGCTTTCCACACGTTATACTCGAATAACCCCTCAAAATCGTCACGAATATGTGCGTCTGGCTTTAAATTTCCGGTTGCATGAATTTGATGAACAAGTGAAAGCCGTGCGGGATGGTATGTCGAAGGTAATACCAGTGCCGCTGTTATCGCTCTTTTCGGCTGCCGAACTTCAAGCAATGGTTTGTGGATCTCCAGATATTCCCTTAGGTTTACTGAAATCTGTAGCTACATATAAAGGATTTGACCCCAATTCTCCAATTGTTCAATGGTTTTGGGAGGTTATGGAAGAATTTACTAATCAGGTGACACGAATCATATTTGAACCAACCTTTCAAGTTTATTCCAACTGTTTTATTGTTATGGGTTTTCAGGAGCGTTCATTGTTCTTGCGTTTTGTTTGGGGCCGCACACGTCTGCCACGTACTATTGCTGATTTCCGTGGACGCGATTTCGTTTTACAAGTTTTAGAGAAAAATCCGCCGGATCACTTTTTGCCTGAAAGTTATACTTGCTTCTTTTTGTTGAAAATGCCACGATACTCCTGCAAGGTACATTGAGCGCATGTTTCATATCAAGTCAACGAATTATTTTTTTTTTTCTTCATTTTAGCCCGTGTTAATGGAGAAATTGAAATACGCCATACACTTTTGCAAGAGCATTGACACGGACGAATATGCCCGAGTTGCCATGGGCGATCCCACCGAAGCAACCGGCAGTGAGGACAACAGCGACTTAGAATCTGTAGCAAGTAATGAAGCGTAAATATCGCAATACATCAAAAAAAGAAAAAAAAAAAAAAGAGAAGAGGACATAGCAAAAAACACAACATATTAGACTTAAAAAAATCTTATTTAAATTTGAAAATACGATGTAGTTTTTATTAGTGTGTGTAGTAGTAAATTTATGGAACAAATTGTTTTAAAATAACGGAAACATAACCGAAACAACCAATGCATACAATTGGTAAGTTTTCCGATTTCTCTCTCTCTCTCTCTCTCTCTCTATATATATATATATATATATATATATATATGTTCTTTATGAGTTTACAATTTCTCTTTATTTGCAGAACACTATGGCCAACTATGAAATCAGCATTTGCTAGAATTTGAAACGGCTTAGTTTTATCCTTTTAAAATTCTAAAGTTTGCATTATATTAAAGGTTTGCTTTGTTTAGTTTAGACGCAATATGCGGTAATGCGATAATAGTAACTGTAAAAAATTAGTTTCATTCTAACTTGCAACTCACGCAATATTCTCCTAATGAGAATTCCTAGAAAAAAAATGCGAACTCATCATATAGAGATAATTAGCTTAGTAACTCACTCTCATTCATTTAACTACATTTTAAATTTTAATTTCTTTCGGAAATTATATTGTATTTAGCTCACCATTCTCTTATATTTAGTGTACTTCTATTCAAATTGATTAAATTAATTTAATTCTTGTGCAATTAAAAAAGCAAATATTCTCCCATATTTTATAATGGTTATTGTAAATTTTTACGTGAAATATATTTGAACCAATTTTGCTTCAGAAAAAAAACAAAAAAAATGTCCGAAAACTTTTAATATATATCCTCTTTATATTACCGTTATTAGTATACTATGTGGCAAGTCCATTCCTGCATCTACTTTGTATTAGAAGTTGTCACTTTCGCTCTCTCTCTCTCTCTCTCTCTCTCTCTGCTTGTCTTTGTTTCCTGTTGCATACAATTGTCAAGTGTCGTTCGAAAAATTTTAACCTGAAAGAATCTGATCAAAAACTTTCAAAAATCGTATCCTAAATAGAACATCGAGATTCAAAATATGATAATCTCTACCATTGCAGTTAGACTAGCAAAAGTTTTAATATTAATAATCAAACGATTTTTCCAAATCCTTCAGGCTATTTCTATTGCTTTATAAAATGTTTAAAATAATAAAAAAAAAACATTTGAGTACTAAAAGTGAAAAGCAAACACGAAATGTTTCGTCGATTATTTGAAGTATGTCCCTTCAACATGAAATTAATGGCGTCCACTTTGTTACCGTTGACTTACAAGTAATTTTAACTATAAATATGACAAATATTTCTTGAAGCCTTTTGCTTACAACGGGTAACCAGAGTTTTTCGTTCAAGAACGTATCAATTAAATTGAAAAATAGTCTCCTGTAACTTTATTTATATATTTTTTTTTATTCTTGTATTAAAAACTTAAAACCTGTGTACGTCAAGCTCTCTCTCTCCTACCGACTACTGAGAAATAAAATGAACTTTATTTGGCTTGTAACATTCATACACAGAGACGATAAAATATATCACTGATTTTCGAATTATAATTGACGGTCTAAACAACTATATACAATAAAATACTAAAACAATTATTTTTTAAGCGTAGCCTTTTAATTCTATTCTAATTTATGGTATCCTCGTATTGGCCCCTAATTACTCCCAAGGAACTCTTCAAATTGAATTTTCTCGTCTTTCAGTTTAAAATTTTTAATTTGTAAGTAAAACGTAATTAATTTCGATAAAATGTTTATTTTTCCACTGCTTCACTGCTATTCTTATATAGGTTCCTAATTAATCACGGATCTTGTCGATCACTTGTCTCTTCGTATTTGAAAGAATACGAACATGCGCACAAGAAGTTCTCGTTAAATATATATTATCGCCTTGATAATGGGAGGTATAATCTGTATTTATTAAAAAAGTTTTTAAAATCGAAAAATTTCTAAACCACGCTTATAAAGTTAATCTGTAATAAAGTTTTATTTAAAAATTTTTATTAAAACGTTGAGAAAAATCTAGGTGAGATAGGTAATCTAAATATTCTCCTAAGACGATACTAACTTTGTTGTAATTTCTTATTTATTTGAATCACTTTCACTTTACCATCACCGTCACTATCGCCATCACCATTATATAATCGCATTTCATCATTATATGACAGCGACTAACTTTGAATTCATAGCATATGTAGATTTAAAGTTTATGTGAGTAGCGCGTAAGATTCATATAATAATACATGATATGATAACTTGTAATCAGTATGTAATTAATTTGATCGATAGTAATCAATATAAAAATGTGTATCAAATCGTTATTGATTAATAATTGTTTAAAACAGAAAATTGAATTACTTGTTAGCGTTAGTTATTATAGTATTTTTGTCTTCATCAAATGCTCTTATATTTTAGTTATCAATTAAATTATGTTTGCGCTTGAGCTTTCATTTCAATGGTAAGTATTCGTATGATATGTATGAAAACCATTAGAGCAGTTCATCACGAATATTTCTTCATTATATATAGAATATAAATTTATTCTAATATATAGAATATATTAGAATAAAAATTTTTACTTCGAAAAATAATTTTGACTTCGAAAACCTTTCTTTCAGTCGTAATATAGCCAACATATAGTCACCAAAAAAAAGTAAGTATTTTATAGAAGGTTGTTATAACCATCGCTAATGTAATCCCAATTTTAAGGTTACATTCCATGCCTGAGATGATTCAGTCGAAAAATTTCAAAATCGTTTTCCTTGCTGCGGTAGAAAGTTTTATAACGATTTATCTATTAATAACAAGTGAACAAAGAGAAAAAAAAGAAAAGAAAAAAAAATAAAAATGTAAAATGGATCTTTGACTTCGAACCCATATGTATTAAATTAATAAAATATATTATTAAATTTTTGCTTATCGATTGATTAATAATTTCTAACAACAGGCTACACAAAATAATTGCCCTACGTATAAATATCAATGTCGATGGATGTTCTTGTAATTATTTTACGTCTCAATATCGGCGATGAATTGTAGTACATAGTTTATAGTTGAATGTGTGTATTTTCAAAACACATAATCTATGATGATCATCAACTACGAGTGTGTTTCTCAGTTTTTGGAGACTCTGATATACGTTCCGAGATTTCTGATGCATAGTTTTTGTCGTAAAAGAACGCAAGGATATGTTCATTTGGTCTGCATTCCTGATGCTGTTATTTATAAAAATTATTTTCATAAGCCTTAATTGACGTTGAAGTTAAAAGGATGGATCCAACGATTACCGTATCCACTGACATAAGAATTTGAAATTAAAATATCGTTTCTTGTATTAGTTTTTTGTTAAATTCTGAATTTTTTGTAGGTATGACAACAATTTTTCTTCAGCGAAGCATTGTGATCGCTTCGCATAATACATTTTTCCATATAACAACTTATAAACAGACAGGTATAGAATCTCTTTCAAATGGATAAGTATAATAAAAGGTGAATCGGGTTTGTTGTATACATCGGTACAAATTTAATATACCCTGGTACCGCAAGTGGTGTAGAGTTTCAAAAAAAAAAAAAAATTTTTTTACTTAAGATTGATTAGCGAATTTTTTAAAATCCGCTGGATTCTTCGTTGCTTTCAGCTGCTGCTAATGTGGACATCTCGAGCGAAAATAAATTATATTCATGTAGTTGTAACAATTTAAATTCTCCAATGGAAGCGCGTAAAATATTACTTAACTAAATTCCTAAATTTCAGAAGGTACAATGGCAAGAAGAGGCCAAAGACGTCAAGTTTGCTTACAATGTACCTTGTGCTATGAACTGAATGTTGCACAATTTGGCTTACATTAAAATAAGAAAAAGAAAATTGTCTATGCAAAGAAAAGTCATGCTAACTTTAAACGGGCACTGGGATTTAGATGGTACTTAGGCTATTACAATACCTTGCCACAGAGAGCGGAGAGAATATAATTACATTTTATCATGAATAATGACAGATTTATCCGGCTACATCCGGGCCTTAATAGCTTCAACGTATGCTGTTTTGTGGTTAGCGTAAATTTCTAGCGTATTTATCTAAAACGCAAGCAACTTTGGCGGTTTCACTTTTATTTACTTTACTTCCACATTTCACAAATTTTTTATGTTCTTTTGTAAAAAATATTCCACTTCTAAATTTGAGATATATCCTCGTAATTACGACAAGAACAGCAACGAGAACAACAACATTCAATATTATTAAAAATTAATTCCTTTTCTAGGTATCGCTCGATTATCTTGGATTGAGGCAAGTGTTCACATGAACAGGTAGTAGTTATCAGGAAATGCAAAAGTAACATTGCTTCCAGTCAGTTCCTTATAAATTGGGGTAAATGTGTTTCGTGGTATTGTGTTGGGATTGGGAAACTATCTAATTGAACACGAACTCGTTTGCGTAAAATGTTAGCAGTAAATAACAAATCTTCTAGAATCGCATCATAGACAGCTCTTGCGAGTACGTGGGATCGGGGACATTTCTGTTTCAAAGGATTTCTGATTTTGCTTGTACGTTTCGGTAGAATTTAAAATTTTGTGCATAGGAATCGACACATAAATGATGATTAGCCTTCTTGTTTCACAAATTAAATTTCGTATGTTCCAAATCGCCCGTAATGCAATTTAGGATTAACGTTACCTTCAAGCTCCAATAAAATTGAAGGGGTGGATTTCTTACATCCATCCGGCTCAGCACTATCTGGCTTAACAATCTTCAATTATCCTGGTCAATTATTTTGACAGAAAAGGAAAGAAGGTTACGATAATTGCTTTCAGATCTGACTTCAGTTATCTGGTAACCCTTGCGTATGCCTTGCGTAGTCAACAAGAAAATGATTATAAGAATCATCGACTGGTACATTCTACACCAGCCGTGTGTATGGAGACGTATGCTACGTAGGGGACGCGACTATTATGACGAAAAAGCACCACGCATAGATATATGAAAAATCAATTTTGTACGTTGGTAACAGCCAAAGGCATTTATTTCCTTTTTTTTTTTTTTTTGGTTTTAAAGACGAACGAAATTAAACGTGTAATAAAAATGAAAATAATGCTCACACAAATGAGCGGCACATTTCAATTTTGTATACGAATTTTGCTAAAGTATAGCATAATATAATGGGAACTACATCAATGATAATAGTAAAGAAAAGTGTTGCTACAAGTACTTATGTTATTCACTGAAAAGTTTAATTAACGGATGAGGCGGTTTTCAACGGCTATTGTTAATTGAGTTATTTGCTTTGTCTATTCCCAAGGGTCCCAGGGCTCAGTAAAACTGCAATTATAAAAAACTATTCACATTTATGGGGCGTGCATTATTATAGGTTGCATCAATGCGATAAACTTCACCTTTTTTCGTTTGAAAATTTCAGATCCCGTCCCTTTGCCTTTACATCGACTGTTTCGAACGGTTTAACGGGGGCAGAGTTCATTACCTTATGATGAGTTTGCTCACATTTGCCTCCATGTGAAGGAACTGCTTGCTTTGGAGGATTATTACTATCGGATTTTTCGCACTGATTAACGACTGAGCTACGACTTTCATTATGCTGACAACGATCGCCACACTTTTGATCAAGTGACGGTTGATTGCGTTGATCAGACGACGTAGCAGGAGCTTGGTACAGTTGGCGTTTATCACAATTACAATCAGTAGATGAGGATTTTTCACATTGACATTTTGGACATTTCGTCAAGGCATCTTTTTCGGGTGCTGTTATGGCTGGTTTGTCAGGCTTTTTGACAGCCTGCGGTGGCGTCTTCTTCGTTAAGCGATGATATAGATACAAAATTGCAAACGAGGCGTATGTGGCCTTGGCAACCTTTACAATATTTTGAAAACTTGAAATCGATTCTCTATTTGAAAAACTGAAATGAACTTACGTTAGCACGTCCTTTAATGGTCGTGCTATTAAAATAATCGGATAATTTAACCATATCGAAAAATAAACAATTAAGATAAAGAATTTATATATAGCAATACTTTTAAAGGAAAAAATAAATTTCGAATATATTTGCTGCAATCATTAATCTATCAAATTAATAAAAATATTTCTGACAGTTGCATGCGCAGACGTCTATCGTCTTCGTAATTTAATTTCAAAAGTCTCTATTCTTTTTGTACCATAGTTTGAAAGGTTACAAGTAGTGGAGAGAGGAAAATTGCATTTTTGAGCATTTAAATGATGTGTAAATTGTGCGTTTCTTGGGAAAAGCCGCGTATGAAATCAAGTCATCAGATTAGACCCAGACTGACAGTCATTAGCAACTTCAGAGTGATGTTCTTGGACGGCTAGAATTTCGTTTATGGTCTTATCGAAGAACATAAGTCTTTTGTTCAATTAGTGTGCCATTGTTCGAACTGTGTATGAACTTTATACAACTTTTTGCAAAATACATTGCGGTTAAAGCTAAGCTTAAGGTTACTGCAAGCATCGAAAAAGAGGTAAACTTTAATAACAAGATTTTCAATGGCTTCTGTAAAAGATTCACGTTCGTTCTAAAGGTGCCAGTTGACGAGTTGTTTTTAACAGAAGTCTAGGTGTAGCTTATTGTTGGCTTCATTCCGTATAGGAAAATTAAAAGTTCTCTTAGTCTGACGATGATCATTGATCAAATGGATCTTATTTATGTTCCCGTTCAAATTCTTCGATTAAAAGAGCCCTATGCTTCCTTTTTGCTTTTTCATTCTTTTTGTAACTCTTTGAAAGAGTTCAAATTCAATGGTGGAATTAGTTTATCTTGAAAATTTTTGTCTGCGATCTTTCAATCTGCGAAATTTTGTGAATTTTTGTGAAATTCATACATTCTTTGATAAGTATGGCAACACGATCACCATAACTATAAGGAACGCATTTAAATATAGATCTATAATTTGAGAATTTCAGATCTAATTTCTTTCTCTCTTTCTGCTCTGGATATTATATTGCAAAAAAATCTTTTTGGTAATTTAAGAGATTTAACCCTGACGTGGACCCAAACTGTTGCAGCAAATTGAAAGATGATTTCAAAGGCGACATTTGCTCAATAAATTTTGTGCATTTATCATCAATAGCAGGAAAAGTTTTGAAGATTTCGTTAAGCACTTTTTCAAATTTTGTTGTTTTGTGGTTTTTGTTTCTTTCGGAACCATTCAATCTGACTACAATTGATTTTTGTAAGTATCTTGTTCGCATCAATTATACGCATTTCTCATATTTGGTGGAGGGAAAGAGTTTTCAATTAGAGGTAAGCTTTCTTCCATATTTCATATTGCTTAAGCATTCAAAAGAGTTAACATATTTTTCCTGGTCCTTATCGTCCTTATTTTATCAATTTGTTCATCATGTTTTCGCTTCGGAGAGTCGTTGCGCCGGATATTGCGGGAGGATTAACAATAGGCAGATTGCAGATATTCCCCAGCTGAGACATCTTGCCTCTTTGCTTTTGCAGATTTTCGCAATGTATCCAAATCTTGCATATTTTAAGGATTGCTTAATGGTAGGTCTAAAATAATCAACATGAAGTATACAATAATTAAAAATTATTGTTTTGGGGGAGAGTATTTCCTTTAATATCAGTTTTGAGTCTGCTTGCCGGGATAAATTTTTTATTGCCATTAGGATCTTGATGATGGTATCTCGCCACCGATTTGATATAAATCCAAAACTTTAGGTGTGAACTAGTGTGCTGTCAAATCTTTATCAAACAATATTTTGAGTACCGGTCAGGGGGCCATTCCCTTAATAGTATGTATATTAAGAAAAGTATTTATTATATGTATATATATATATATATATATATGTCTTTTTCATTCGCTATCACTTTTTGAACACTAATCTCTTAGGGGGCGGGCAGCTTTATGGTGTCATGCCCAGTAAAAATAATAAAAAAAGCAACTAACTTGCCAGGAATCGATTGATGGTTTAGTCCAAATTTACTTATGCAAAACAGACAACTATAAGGTTAGATAGGTAAAACAGAAAAAAAAGCCTTTCGCCAATGGCTTGACTTTGTCTCTATTTTTCTCCTGTAATAGTTTTTAATGCAATTTCTTATATGTTCTGCAAATGACCTTCCACCAGAGCTTCAGGTTGATAGCCGCAATGAGATGTGAGGATTTCTTGTCTATAGTAAAGGCATTTGTTTTTGTTTTTGTTTTTTTTTTTGCAATGTAGGACCTGGCAATAAATGTCTTAAATTCAGTTTTTCTTTGCCTAAAATTCTAGGTTTAATGGCATAACTCATTAATTTGACATACCTTCAATGAGTCTATAATATGTCAGTTAAACAAAAACAGCAGTAAGTTCGTCGGACACATTCAAATCTTTAAATTTATCCAAAAGTTAGATATCGCTAATATATAACCTTGAATTTAATGTTAAGCATCGAGTTGTCTAACTATGGAAAACGGCTTTTGAGTCGCCCGACATTAGCAGATGACGGATCGGAGGCTTCGATTTTTATCGGAGGCCATGGTCTATCCGTGGAATCACTTTCTTTTTGAGAGATAAGTAAGAGAGGGGAAGAGTTGCAGTGCCAATACACGATCCAAATCATCCAAAGTCGTAATCATATGTTCGAAAGACCATGCTAAAGTTTTAGGTCTTAGCAATACAAGAAAATACAAGAAATACAAGAAAAAGAAAAGCTTGCATTCTGCTATTTGGACCTTCTACGATAGTAACATCCGGTCGTCGAAGCAAATGAGTCATCGTGTATATGCTGCTTGAAATCAATTTATTCTATGTAGAGGGATATGAAGGAAGTGAAGTTTATCGTAATCTTCTTTGCCTTGAACGGGAAAGGGCAACCGTACATTAATGCGGCTGGGTCGGCTGAATGCGAACAGAATCAGAGGATTTTGGGATGTTTCGCTAAGTGTGAAAACAGATTCCCGGCGACACCGACCTTATTGTTAGCTCGTCAGACATCGAAGACGTCTGCGCCCTGGTAGCATAATGGCTACGCCTGGTCATTATATCATCAATCTTTTTCGACGCAGGGATTTTCAATTAACTGCGACTAATATCTAATGATTTCAGGTTAATAGGTTAAACAGCTTTCTTTACCCTTAACCAAGTTCGAGTTAAACCGAGTGATTACGGCAGTTTTGCTTGCAACATGCTACAGTGAGATAGCCGAATGGGGAAACGTCATTGCTAAAAATCGAATACTTTCAACAGTGGGATATTTTTTATAGCCTCACCATCTCACTCGTCATCTCAGTGAAAATTTAATATCTGCAAGATGAACCAGCGAATTCCTTTGGAGACTATGAAATGCAATGAAAATGGAAGATATGTCACTTAAGTACTTTCATATTTTCGAGTTAAAGTGAAAGCCGAACCCTTATAGAAAAAAAGTACAGTTGCCTTCATAATAATAATAATTTTTTTTACGTCCACACTTTCAATTTTGCTCGTTAAACCATGAAATTACTTTGTAGCCGGTGGCCTCTGATTTCCATTGCCTACGCCTTTACCTTTGGTGCAGCATACAGTCCCGTTTTTCGTGAATTGTTTTTTTCTTTTTGTTTGTGGAGTAAATAAATTGAGAGAAAAGCTCTATTTTTCATGTATTTTCCTTTTTTTGTTACAGAATCACATTGAATTAATCGCATTATGAAATTAATTAATGCAGTAACATGAGATTAACAGTACACTGCTAAATGGGCTCCGATAACGAATTGTTAACAAAACTGTTGAAAATTTTTCAAAAAATCAATTTTTTTTATTGTTGATCCAAATGATCCAATCCATTACATGGTCAAGAATGATATAAAAAGATTGTTAAAAAAATTGTAATTCTCGAATATGATATCATCACAGTGTACGGGCATTTGAAATTTGAATTATGTATCACTCAAAGAATTTTCATTTGTTGCATTCGAATTTCGTAGAACCTCTCTTAAGCAGCATCGTCTGGAAATATACGCGGAATATAGAATGTAGATTAAATGGCGTTTTTTGTTTTTACATTGATATTTGGTGTAGTTACACTGTGTGGGGCAGAGGACTTTATACTGATCGTGTCTCGGCGCTGCCTTTTTTTTTAACAATTTTTAAAAATTATTTGTGGTTTTTGTAAGGACATTCATTGAATAGATGATCAAGTTAAGCAAAAAAAAAAAAAAAGATTTTATTGTGAAATGAAATCTTGCGTGATATTCGGTAAATAAGTCCCTTGGTCTACATACATACGAAATAAAGAAAATTGCATTATTTTGGGAACCTATCACATATCGCACACGATGAGCTTAACACACCAACGAAGATGTCGTCAGCGTCTTCGTTTTTGACTTTGTTTCCATAATAATAAACTAAAATCATACTGTCATTGTACCGTTATCCCGAATTGAATTAAAAAGCAATAAATGAATAGAATTTTGTGCAGTTTACCGTAATGCTATTACAAAAGAACAATTAATTGGTGAAGAAGTGTTACTTTTTTTCGCATTGCGTGTATGTGCGCGATTTTCATTAAAATTCAAAATAACAAAAATTAAAAGCAAAAAATATAAAACTATTAAAGAGTAAAGAAACATTTCATATTCGTTTCGTTAAAACTTAACTAGGAAATGGTTTGAAGAGTAATAAGGTTTACATACGGTTTTACCTAATTCGGTAAATAAATATAGGAAGTTTAGTTATCTATATACATAGATAGAGACCGGAAATGATTTCTTGCCATCAATTTTAGTTGATCTAATATATGAAGAACTAAAAATTATTTTATAAAAATTATCTTCACATAAGGATAAATATCTGTACATTGCATTATATGAAATAATCCGATATAATTTTATAGGAGATTATTAAAAAATATTTTAATGTTTTTATTGTCGTAGTTAAACTAGAAAATACAAGAGTTTTTATGCGTATATAAAGGTATATGTACATGTACAGCAAGACTTTAAAAGTAAAATGTGCGCGTATTGTGTACATGTGCGTAAATGTACGACGAACACATGTTGAGAGAAAAATATGTGGTGACAACAAAACGCGATAAAGTATGACGTTAAAAGGAAAAGCCAAAAAAGCAGTAAAAGCAGCGAAACAAAACATTAAAACAATTCGCAATAGTCAAAATTAATTTGCAGACTCAGAGGTGAGAGCATTAAAAATAAGAGAGAAAGAGAGAGGTGGAGATCGAGAGAGAGTGAGTGCAATTTAAGTAGAAGTGTGTTTGCAGAGTTCAGTAGAAAGAGTAAGAGTTGTATAAAGGAAAAATATGTATATGAGAGATGGTGAGAGAGATGGAGAGAGAGAAAAAGAAAGAGAAAGAGAAAGAGAGAGAGAGAAAGAGAGAGAGAGAGAGAGAGAGAGAGAGAGAAAAAGCGCATCTGTAAGAGTCAAGTCTAAGAAAAGAAAAAAGAAAAAAGAAGCAATTCACGCATACGGACGATGTACTACTATACAATAAGCAGAGTGTAATAAATTTATGGACAGAAATATGTACATACACACGAGCAAAGTGAACGAACCGCCTTTAGTTACCAGTTTTGACTCCCAATCTATGTAAATTGGAATCCAGTGTTGTGCCGAAAATCTTATAGACACAATGTGTTCCCGGTTGGAGTTTTTCGCTGAGAAAAAGAAAAGAAAAAAAAATATCTTAATATAATTCATTGTTAAACCATACAAACGCATTAACTTCTTCTTAAAAGCAAGAAAAGAAAAAAAAAAGTTTAAAGAAGAAAAGCAAAAGATTGCATTGAATTAAGTGATAATGATTTACAGCAATCGACAAACAACAATAAATTGTAATAATATATTGCTTTTAGAAAAGAATTAATGTCGAACAAAAAATTATTTAATGAAAAATGAAAAATATTTATTGCGAAAAAAAAATTTTTAATAATAACAAGAAGAAAACCGTTTAAAGTTTTCCAAAGTTGAAGGGAAAAAAAAGAAAAAAAAAAAAATTCATTTTAAAGTCGTGTACCTATCTGTATGTGGTTGGATGTATGTATGTATGTACGTATGTATGCATGTATGTATGTGATACATATGCAAACGAATGCATAAAACTTAATGTGTACAACAAAATAATTAAAACGCGCCCAGTTTTTAATGAGTTTTTCTTTGCATCAAATTGTTGTTGTTTAGCGAAATTTTTTTTTCCTTTATTTTATTTAGTAATTTCGTTTAGTCTTTTTATTATTTTTTCTTGTGTGTATTTATTATTTTTTTATACACTTTACATTTTTTTAAATATGTATATACCTACATGTATATATATATGTATATATATATATATATTTTTTTTTTTTTTCATTGTTCACATATATTTCGTGTATCTATGAAATTTTTTTCTGAATCTGTTGAGTGTATCTGCAAGATTTATGTTTATTTCCTCTCGTATTCCTCTTTTTTTCGCAGAGAGTGCCAAACATTACAAATCAATTAAAGAGAGAATGTGAGAGTGACATATAGAGAGCGAACGAGAGAAAGAGAGTGAATTTATTTCTTTTACTTACCATGCAATGCACTCCGTTCTCTCGGTTTTTTTTTTTTTTTTTCTCATATTCATTAACTGGATTTGTTGTTGATGTCTGTCGTTTTTTGCCATCGTACGCCGACATTGAAATATTTCTTGCGTTTTTATTTTTTTATAAATTTTGTTTGTGTTTTGTTTTTCTTTTTTGCACAAAATTCGTGACTTTGCAAAATATGAAAGCAACAACAGTAAATATCGTTACATGAATGTACTTTTATTAAATATTCTGGACATCAATTTTCTTTTTTCTTTGTTTTTTTTTTTTTCGAAGATGCTCTCAAAAGAAAAAGTGAAATATAACAAAAAAAAAAAATTAATAAAAATATGTGCAAACCCAAAAATGTTATCATGACTAGTAATAGTTGGCATAAAAATATAGTAACGCTAGCGTTTATTGAACTAAATGTTTATGCTTAGTGAATATTTTATTGAAACTGCATTTTGTAAGTTTGTAAAAACGTTACGCAAATGTTTTCCTCTCAATTATACTCATTGGATATTCCGTCTCAGATGTATAATTATTTCATTATTGCCGAAATATTATTTCAAGCTGTTCACATGTAAAGGTAAGCTTAAAATGTTAAATTTTACATCGCTGAACTCTCTCTATAATAAATATTTTATTTATCAAACAGAGTCATTTTAATGTCCATGCCAAGCTTTAAAATAAGTAGAGATATGCGGCTAATTAAAAAGTTCATTTACCGGAAATGATTAAAAAAAAGCAACAACAACAAAACAAAAAAAAAGCTTGTGTTTTTTACCTTGAGTCGAATCTATTAATAACCATCAATTGCATCTGTATGTGCGATATTTGATTGAACGAAGATTTATCGAATGTTAATTGTATCGCACCTACTGAATATCGTTTATATACATAGATCACATATTTATGACGATATCTTTCCGGTTCGATTGTTACTGGAGTTTCAAACGAATAAAGTATACAAAGCTTTAAAATATTGAGATTTTAATTTAGAAAGAAGGACAAAATAATGATCTCCTTGGCGCGTCCATGCACTGATTTATCTGCTTTACACTTAAGAATATATTTTCGTTTCTACGTCAAGTTTTGGGATGACAGGTGCATATGTCCAAATTGTTTTTACTATATTCATATTTCAATCCACAACATACACACAACATATATAGTTAACAAATCAGAAAGTCGTAACATTCAAGCGTTGCTCTTGTGAGACACAAGTTCTCCTATTCGTTCACTTGAGTTTGACCAGTTGTGAGAAGCACTTTCCTGAAGGAATCCCTTTGCTTGATGAAAGCAACTAACAGCTCAAAATAGGCGGCAAATGTTTGCCTTTCGACAGACATCTATTTTTTCTTATCAGTGCTCATTGCCACGGAACATCTTGACTGGTCAACTGGTACAGAGCATGTTCAATTTTTGCCGACCGCACGTGGCTAAAAGTTGATTTGATTGGTATAAGCAATAGGTGATCGATTCCATATAGTTTATGACATTTTGTGAATGACCTTCGTTTCAAGTACTTTTTCTGTAAAGGGTAGAATTTATTTCTCTGGCTAAATTAATTATAATAATAATAATGTCTCGTATCTGTTTTTTTTTTTTTTTTTTTCTTCCTATCGCTTTTTCTCTCTATTTCATTTTCAAGAACATCTATGTCAAACTATAGTTTTAATGTCAACTATTATGATGGCAAGCGTGCCAGCCGTACGCAATGAACAAACGGACATGATTAATTCAACTAAACATCATATTCATATCTTAGACACATATGTAGTCTAAGGAGTCGCTGATGCGTATGATGTGCGCCATGTCCACTGATAGTCAGCAACATGTACGATTTAAACGATTCTTATGGAATATTCTAATGTTTTAAATCACTTGGCCGCAAGTTTCAGTTAAAGCAGTCAAGTAATAATAAATTATTTGCCGCAAACACACAATCCACATCTCACAATGTTTGGATAAATATGTTTTGTTTAATAAAAAGTAGATGTTTTAATTCAGATTATGCGTTATTTTGGTCATCAAAATAATTTCTTAATATCTAGGTCTATCTCTTCTTTCTCTAAACTTACTTCTAGAATAATCAAATTACGAATATTTGAAAAGTATGATAACACATTGTTGACCGGTGACGAGTTGACTCATTCAGTATAAATAAAATTTATTGGAGTTTATTTAAAATGCTTACTACCAATATCAATTACAAAATAATCGCCAATAACATACACATAGTTTCTGTACAAAATTCGCCGGTCAACAAAGTGTTAAGATACACTCGCAATTGAAAATGAAATGAGATATTTGCCAAGTAACTTAACAGACTTCTGTAAAAATCCATTACATTGGCATGTTAATTAGCTAGCAGGATTTCAGATATTAAAAGCATAACATAGGCTTGCATCCAATTTGTGTTCACTTCTAAATCTATACTATTGTTATGTATTTAACCCAATCTTGTACGTATAGAAGCGTGGGATTACAAATTTGCAAGCACAATTTGTCCCAACTAGGCATTGCGGTATCCAGCTTAACCTATGTAAAGGAATTGAAGTATTTTTCTCGGGAAGAATAACGCTGGGAAGTGTTGAAATTTAAATTGGAAACGACGTCCCCGTCGCAATAGAAAAGATTATGCAGTTGGTATTTATCATGTGTACATAGTATTTTTCAAAGAAAGAAGAAGAAGAAGAAGAAGAAGAAGAAGAAGAAAAACGAAAATTCGAATATATTTTTCGGGAACTATTTGTTTTTATTTTTTAGTATTAACAAAAGTTGACAAGGGGATAATCGCCACATTTGTAAGCAACGGATATAATTGAGTTGGTTTGGAGTGAAAACACAGAAAGCAATGAAAAAAGTAAAAGCAACCGCGAGCAAATGATCTTCAACTTGGACTGAAAGCATCTCTTGATTGCGACATATTCATCAGACCTGTCTCTTTCTCATTGCCACAGAATTGAATGGAAAAACGGTCACTTTCAAGTTGTACGATGAGTTCTTTAAAATTAATACAAAAATTATGATTATTCGTTATTTGTTTCATTAATGTCATTTAAGGGGTGTTTCTTCGAGGTGATATCAATATGAATTTTTGTTTTCTTTAGATATTGGTTGCATCTTAATCTAAGGACGATTTCATGTAAATGACTGCCTGTGGACTCTGGAATTTTTGAAGATTTAATAGAAATATATCGTATGATCTTTTTTGGGGATTACACGATCATTGAACTTTTCTCCCAATAAATTGATTTTGTCACGAAATGTATAGCATAGTGCACCCATATATCGTCCAAGTCGAAATTATCTTATGACATTTTCAAGTTCATAAAAGATATTTTTTTTTGTCCACAAACCAAGCGTAAAAGCCCCTCAAAAACATCAGATATAATTTTTTTTCCACCATAAGGGCAATAATCTTTATTTATAATACTAAGTTATTTAGCCAAATATGGGCTTCATCTTACATCCTCTATACGATGGATAACTTTGTATGTATTATATTCCACATTCCAATTGCAAGGTCCAAATAATGTATTGAAAAAAAAAAGTTGATCCAAATCTCAATTAGAAGTGGGTTTTTTCGGAATCACACACTGCATGTCGCTATATAGTTCGAATTTCTCAAAATCTAATGTCCGTTAAACGCAAAGTTATGAAACGAAAATAACAGTAAAAGAGATCTGGTAAACTGGAACGGTTTTCCGCTCAGTAAGCTTCTTAGCAACTATGCTTCTCTATAACTAGTGTTTTCGCAAAACTGTATACTTTATAGTTCGAAAATTTTTTTTTATATTTTTACTCACGACGGATGATTTTGGCCTTTCTCTACATAACATAATAGTTTTTCATTTCGTTTTATTGAGTTATTCAGTGTGTACGTCCTCTGTGACTTCTGTTGCTTGATTTGAGGCAATCTACTGCCGAATTCCATCAAACAACTTTTATAGGCTTATAGTGATGCTGCTATATCATATCCCAATTGTCGGTTTTGATGTCAACGATTTAAAAGTGACGATTTGGATGTCAATGACAAGCAATCGCCTGGAGAACGGGAAAAGTTCGGAGACAATGGATTCCCAGACTTATTGGACAAAAACCCAATTTAAACTCTTAAAGAACTTTCGAACAGCTTAGCAGCTGATGAATGTGATAAACTGTTTCTAGTCGCTTACATGGAAAGATCCAAAAGCAGGGGAAACAGCTACTATACGAATTGGTTCAGCAGATCAGCAATAACGGTTAACAGACGCAAAGTCATCTTATTGCATGACACCGCTCGGCTATAAGTTGCAAGAGCTGTCAAGGATACACTGTTGCAGCTCGAATGAAAAGTGCTGCCACGCCCAGCTTACTCAACAGTCATAACACTTTCTGATCACCACTGCTTCATACCTGATACGGTAGCATAGGTTCGCTGCCACATGGTTTCGAAATGCTGAAGAGGTGCGAAAATGGATCGATAATTGGATCGCTGCCACACGAATATCACTCTTTCGTTACGGTAGAACGGAAGAAGTTGTAGAAATTGATGGCAAATATTTCGATCAATATATCAACCTTTCCGCGATAAGCGCCGTTTTTAAGCGCAAAAGCGACTAAAATACACGCAAACACATAACAAAAACTTTTATGTGCGTTCGCAATTGTTCATTGAATGTTTAACGCCCAAGATATCCTTTGAATTATGTTTTAGTTTCAAGTTTCAAGATAATATAAAGATTATAAGAAAGTAAAAACTTAAGTTTAGCTTTAATGAAATTATTTACTGATAAAATTTTCAAACTACGTATTAAATTGTTTTAAGCAGTTTTAATCACACAAAGTACAAACTTTTTTCGAAACGAAATAAAATATCTTGAAGGAAAAAGTTAAAGATGTACGTTCTTGTACCTATACATTCCTTGTGGTATTCCAGCTGCTGCGCTGAGATGGGCAACAATTGTTTCGAAAATTTACTTTAAAAAGATACTTTGGCTGGTCTTATAGCTCTCACTACACACACACACAAAAACATGCTCTTCGAACTATACGCAGTTTTTGCTGCATTGCGTCGTCTTCCCTGTACACAGACTTTTGCTTCACTATACCGTATGGTTCTACTGGTCGCAACGGAACCCATACTAGGACAAAACAATTTATATGCAGCGCATACTTAAGGGTCTTCAATATCAATATGCTAATGGTTTCTGCTGCGTTTAATTGAAAGTTTCCCTTCACTAAGGTATTGGTAAGCTAGTCTCTGCAATGTCTTCTTTTTAATATACAATGTACTTTTGAGGCACTTATGTACGGTCCGTATAGATATATGTACTCTCTAGATGGCGGCATCATTTGCGGATCTCGCACTAATTACTTTCCATATTTACTATAACAGACAATGTAGGCGTTCGCCAATTGTTCAATTCCACTCCTTCCTTTTTATCAATCTTATCAATCATTACTGCTTCCGCACATTGTTGCATCGTTTATTCCGATTCCATCAATATTACTCTACTCTACTCTATCCTACTACTACTCTATTATGGCGCATAGTAAAATAAAGTTCTTTAAGAAAGCATTAAGGTCAATATGTGGCCA